ATATGCGCTACGGTGTGAATTAATATGTAATAGATTTAAAGATTTTCAATTTGTGGTAACAATCATGTAATCTAACTACCAATATAATTCAACTTAGTCACTTATGACTTTGTTAGACATCTACTAGTTGAGATTGGACTATAATAGTACATATATCATACAACCTATTTAAGTCATTTTTTACTTGGTTAACCATTCATAATAAATATGTGTTGTTTACCTTTTCTAACAATTTGAGGTGTCACAAGAAAACCATCATAATGAACGCATTCTTAGTTACCGTTAACAAGTGAATATTTTGAACAAAAAACGATTGTTCTCCAACCACATGCTATCAGGGCATATATACTGAAGCACATGAGACTATTATTATAAGTAGTTAAGATCCACCTTAGGGTATGTAGATATATTATGTAGGTACATAAGAATGTGATTTGGGTACAAACACGTATAAATAATGGTTTCTTAGGTATTATTTGTTTATTATCGGGTATCTTCAAGTGTAGTTAATTTCAGTCATTTCCATGGAAATGTGTCAATTCGCGTATTCGGTGAGAACACTTCCCCTCTCGGCCTTGGTGAACTAAATGTTGTTGTGTGTGCTATGGTGTGGATTACTACGTAATATGTCTAAAAAACAATCAATTTGTGAGAGTAGTGATGCATGAGTAACAACCAACAAACTTATCAACCTCATTTCTTACTTTTTTAGCCATCTATAGTAAACATGTGTTCTTTTCTTTACTTACATGTCAGGGAGTCGTGAGAACACAATAATGATGAATTTATCTCAGGTTACTAAGAGCAATTGAATATGTTGAACCAAACACGGTCAATTTTTCCAACCATATATAACCAGAGCATATATACGCGTTAGCGGAGCATATGACTTTATATTACAAGTACATAAAAATTGGTATATGCATGAGTGTTTAGGATGTGTGTTTGAATGTTATAATTAGAATTGTTGAATAAAAAAAAATAAATTGACTCTATTTATTTTTATTAGTTCTTTTAAAAAATTAAATTTAATTTTTAATAAAATTATATTTATAGTTATTTTATTTTCACATTTTAAAATAAAAAACTAATAACATTAATAAAGATTTAAAAAAAATTATACAAAATTGTGACATATATATTTAATATAAAATTTTGATAGAAAAAATTATTTAATTTTATTTTCTTGTAAATTTTATTTTCTATAGAATAAGGGTTTGTTTGTTTTTTTTAAAAGATTTCAACATATTTTTCTACAAAAATAATATATTACACGCACTCATTATATTTATATTATCTACACATTTATATATATATACATAGTAAGTATTTAAAATACATAGAATACTATACATAAATTTTATTACTAGTATTAATATTTTAAAAAATTGTATCTTATATATACGATTTTAAATATTTAATAGAATAATTATATATATATAGATAAATAGATATTTTGCTAATATTATATTGAATCATATAATAAAGTTTATATTATGTATAATATTTACATAATATTTTATATTATATTAAATATAATTATGAATTTTGTATAAAAATAATATAAATTATTAATATCAAATTTTCTCATTTTATAAGTAGAATTAAAAGAGTAAGTAAACTAATATTGATAAAATGAAATATATAATTATGGTTGATTGTGCACCTTTTTTTTCTCGCAAACATTTTTATATCATTGTCTTTTTCGTAAGATATTAATTTATATACTCCATTTATTGACAAGATTAATTTATTTTTGTGCCAAATTTATTATGACTCTATTTATGCACGTAATATTTGTACGATATCTTCCATTTTAAGCAGATTTTTGCATTAATGATTAATATTTATTACAAAAATTAACATATGTGCATAATTAAATACCGTATATTTATTTTATTGAGATTTTATTTTCTTTCAAAATACACGATATTTAATTTAATTTAGGCATTTAATTTTTAATGCCTATATCTACAAATATCCTAATCGTGTCCACCCCTGTGCCAAATTGATTGTTATTTCTTAAAGTGAGATAATAAAATTTTGAGTGAATAAAATTGTTTAGTATAAATGAATTATATATAAGTTTAACGAAAAAAAAAAACGGCTGAAAGGAGTAATACTTCTAAAAAATTATACAATTTGATTTTAATGGATAATAAGATAATTTCTTAACTATTAATATGAAAAAAATATTAAAATATAAATAAGCACATTTATAAATACCGATAAGAAATAATATATACTCATATAAAAATATAATAAATAAAATATAAACATAAATTATTCAGGGAAAATTTTAAATTTTAAATTATTAAAATTTGTTGAATAAAATAATTAATTTTTATGGAAAAAATAAAAAAGAGTAAAAAAACACTATAAAGAATACAAAAATAGAAGAAAAAATAAATATAAAATATAAATTGCATATAGAGTGTTTAATATAGAACAATTATCTGCACTCGTCAACCGTGACTAGAATGTAAAAAATATATAATATTTTATAATATACATAATATATTTTGTCAGTCAAATAAATAATAGACAAATTTGATAATTAAATATATAAAGAATATATTTTGCAATTTTTTTTTTTATTTTCTACATCACCCCACAGTAAAATATGATTCTAATTATTATTTTTATTTACTTATTTTTTAAAGATACATAAGTAAATGTACGCATAATGTAAATAGAGGTATATAAGTGGAATAGTTAATAAAGTGAAAAATAATATAAGTAAAGCGGGACAATTATAAGTATATAAAATAACATTAAGAGTATTTAGATATACTTTAGAAGTACATCAAATTTATACTATATAGATAAAAAGAAAAATATAAAATAATGACTAATATTAAATTAAATAAGTAAAGGAGATAGTGAAAATCAATTTTTTTATAATAGGGACTGAATTATAACTTAATAGAACTGACAGGGTGGACAGACCAACTTTCCCAATTAAAAATCTCAGCACAGAACAATACATAATATAACAATAAATAACATATTATTTATATTAATATAATATAAATATAAATAAAATAATAATCATTTATCCAAACAAATACTAGAGTATTTAATTAAATATATGCACACACACTATAAGGCGTACCTATTATTATTATTATTATTATTATTATTATTATTATTATTATTCTCAATAAGTTAAAAGTGGATTTAATGATCCATACCCTCTAGCTGACTTCATGCAAGAATCCAATCATCATCATCATCATCATCATCAGTCAAATAAATACACGTACCGACATGACATCCCCGCATATCAAGCGGATATTTTTGGAAATTTAAAAATAATAAAAAATTAATATGCATTCTTTATCTTTTTTTAGTGATAGAATTTTTTTTTAATAAAAAAATATTACTATATTTTAAAAAGTATTACAAATAATGAAATTAAAAGATTAATAATTTTAAAAATAAAATTATATTTTTTTATCTTTTTATTATATTATTACTTATAAAATATATAAAATTCACGTGTAAAAAACAAATAGATACACATTACTCATAATAATAGTTCAAAATATTCGGCATATATATATAGATAAATTATATTAAAAATATTAAATTTCTTACTATTCAAATCTCCCTCTAAAATCCAAAAACCCAAACAAACATACCCTACATTAATTTCAGAAATTGTGCGAAGGTCTGGTTTGACACCAAATTTGTTGTCCACGGTATTTCCACAATAGGTTTGAGAAACTGTGAATCAAAGGAACACAAGCATAAAATAAAAAATACAACTAAATTCTAATATTTCAATATTTAACCAATTTCTAGAGTTATTCTCTTAAGCAACATAGAGTTTATTTGATTTGTATTTTTGAGAGTACATAAAAATTAAAAAAAAAATACATATTATATATATATATATATTGTTAATGTATATATATTAATTTTTATAAATTCTAATATTACCCATGTATCTTCAAATTCAACTTGTCAAACAAAAACCGAAGTGTATTGACAACATGTTCTATTTTATTCTTTACATTAAACCAATTCTGTAAGATATGTTTTTATATTGAATTTAGTATTGACCAATTCAATAGGATGAAGACTCCAAAAAGCATTGATCAAGAGTCGGATAACACATGCTCTGTGAAATATGAGTATATGCTATATTTCAAGCGTGTGTTTTCTAAGTCTTTAATCGGTACTTTTTGAAATTTTGATTGATTCTTTAGTGATTTTTTGAATTGACATTATTTGGAAAATAATTACAGTGTTGTGAGTATGTTATGTACTCTATAAAAATATATCATGTATTTTTTCTTCAATTTTTTTTTAATAAAGTGGGGTGTGTTTTTCGTTCTTATATTATATTAATATAAATAATACTTCATTCGTTCCAAAAGTATAGTATTGTTTTGTTGGACATGAGATTTAAAGAATATTGATATTATATTTGTAGTCGGTAAAAAGTAAGGATAAATGACTTTTTTTATCCTTGTGAATATATTAGTGTAAAAAGTAATATCAATTATGTAATAATAATGAAAATGTATGAATAGTTTTATGTTGATATGATTATTTATAGAAATGAGACTATTATTTTGGAACAAACAAAAAATAATAAACAAAAACAAAACTGTTGTAGCGAAACAGAAGAAGAATGAGTATGATATATGAACTTTTGATAATATCTTCTGAATTCTTGATGAATACTATTAAAAATTAAAAAAAAAAAAAAATCAGTACAATATTGAATTAATTTAACACTGTAACTGAATCGAGATATATAATAGTGGTATTAATTTAAACTAAATAGAGGTACCTCATTATTAAAGGTGAGCCTCCACACCCTTAATTGCAGCCATCCCCATGTGATAAAATTTAAAATAATTGAATTCTTAATTTCTTCTGTACACAAATCAATACTACAAAATTACAAATTAGAAATATATAAAAACCCATTGTAGACTTACAAGAACATGAGGCTGTCACCCCCTGTACTTCACTATATTATCCAATCCCATCCCCAATTCCAATTTAATTAATTTCCCATCCCCACCGCAACAAAACAAAACAATAATCATTCCCTTCATTAAACAATACAAAGATTGGCCAGCCACACCATAAATAAACAACCAAAGATGTGAAGAAACCAATACATAATCCAAAAGAAAAAAAAAAAACAAACCTCTGTTGATTTTCTATCTTCCTAGCCAAAAAATGGAAAGTGAAGAAGAAATGAATGCAAGAGATTATGTTAATGGCAGCAAAATTAATCACAATTCAAAAGAGAAAGTAGAAGAAAAAGATAAAGAAGAAGAAGAAGAAGAAGAAGAAGACGAATCGCCGATTGAAGAAGTCCGGCTGACGGTGACGAATACGGACGACCCGACCCTGCCCGTATGGACTTTCCGGATGTGGTTCTTGGGGCTCCTCTCCTGCGCACTGCTCTCTTTCCTCAACCAATTCTTCGCCTACCGTACGGAGCCCTTAGTGATAACCCAGATCACAGTTCAGGTCGCGACCCTACCCATCGGCCACTTCCTGGCGGCGGTGCTGCCCCGGCGGAAATTCCGGATAGGGTCGTGGGGAGAGTTTAGCTTGAACCCGGGCCCGTTTAACATGAAGGAGCACGTGCTGATATCCATATTCGCGAATGCGGGTAGTGCTTTCGGAAACGGGTCGGCCTATGCCGTCGGAATAGTTACTATTGTGAAGGCCTTTTACGGGAGGAGTATTTCGTTCTTGGCTGGATGGTTGCTCATCGTTACCACCCAGGTAATTAAAAATTACTTTTTTATAAATATATATATATTTTTAAATATTAACTTAAATATTTATTTTAAAACATTTTATAATGAGCTTTTAAATTTAAAATATTATAAGATAAAATAATTATACTCCCTCCCTCTCCAAAAAGATCTCTCATATGGTGTTCGCACCGTAATTAAGAAATAATAATATTTAATTAAAAGTAAGTATAAAATAGAATGTAAAAGATTAAAATATCTTTATTTTTGAAAGATTTTAAATGGTATATTAAAGTAATAATTATGGATAGTTTGAAAAAGTAGTAATAATTTTGTTATAAAGTAAAGACCACGGTTACTAAATAAAAAAAAATGAGACAATTATTTTGAAATAAACGAAAATGAAAAAATAAGACAACTATTTCGAGATAGAAGGAATATAAATTTATAATTTTACACCCTCCGGTCTCAAATGTAAAAAGTCATCTGAGATTTGATAATAAATTAAGAAATATTTTATTAATTAGTAGAATATAGATCTGGTAAATAAATAGAGTCTCTATTTGCTTACACATTTAAAATAACAATAGTATTTTCAAAAAAGTAAAAAGGCTCCCTTGTGTTTGAAATTATGTTTTTTAAAAAATTATTAGCTATGAAAAGATATTTGTGTAGATTGAATTATTTATTATGTACTTATTTTTTTTTATTATTGAAAATATTATACATTAAAACATGTATTTTTTTATATATACAAAGTATTATATTTAACATATATTTACTTAAACCAAATATTTAATTATTTATTAATTATATATAAATAAAAAGATTATTTTCATTGATGTTACATGTAGTTTTATTATTTACAAAAATACATGCTTTACTAAAGTATGACTTTGTCTACTTGAAATTCAATTTTATTTTTCAACAATATAATTTTATAATTTTCTGTAAAAATATTTTTATTTTTTACTAAAATATTACTTTCAAGTTCTTATTATTAAATTTCCCGATTTCCAAGTAAATAAATTCAATAATTTTTAAATGTAATCCTCATAAGTACTCCCTGCGTCTTAAATATCCTACAATATTTTCTTTTTGGTATGTTCCAAACATTCTACAATATTTTCAAAATAGAAAATAATTAATTATACTTAATTTCTACCTCACACTTTATCCCCTCGCATCATAGAAAATAAAAAAATAAAATATATATTTCTCTCTCCATCACATCACCTAATTTCTAAATTATCATACTTAATACTACCCATCTAAAAACTCGTATCAAAAATAAATATTGCACCTTGTTTGGGACGAAAGGGAGTATTATATTACTATATCCCAAAAAAGTAAATAAATAAGAAAAATTGAAACTACGCTATCATTGGCAAATAATAGAAACAAAACATTAACATCCTGCTGACTTTAACTACAGGTAAATGGCACTGTTTTATTTTTAATTTTATTAAAATTTAAAGAGATAGAATGGAATCCTAGGTAGATTATTTTACTCCAATAATTAATATTATTGCTACTCCAAACTTATTGGATATACTTTTTAGAGTTTGGTTTCCATAATTTTTTAAGATACAATTTTCACAATTTTTGTATAAAAATAATTTTTTATACTCCCTCCGTCCTAGAAGCAAATGAATCCGTCCCAAAAATAAATATTCATTTTTTTTTTGCATGTAGTTTTAGATATGTTAATATTAATATTATAATTGAATATAGTAAGAATAAAATAGAAATAACTGAAATAACCTTATTAGTACGTGTGATATAAAGGTAATGACATTTGTGTAATATATTATAAGTTGTAAGGATATTTGTAATGTTAGGTAGATAGAACGGTTACTAAAAAAAGAAATAGATACTTTGTTGTGAGACGAACTAAATTGAAAAAATTGATAGTTTGTTAGGAAACGTCGAAAGTATAAATTATTATATTCAAATTAAAACTCGAAATTTAAGGATTTTTTTGATTTTTTTATTTTACTTTGTTTTAAATATTATTTAATATTTTAATCTTATTTTTGTAAAATATTATTTTCATTGAAAACAATATAGACGAAATAGTATTAAATTTTATTTAAAGTTCAAACCTACGATATTTTTATAAGTTTTTCCTAGGTTATCTGTTTTAGTGTGAAAAGTAGGTAGAGATATCTTTTGTTTCCAGTTGAATTTAAGTTTATAGTGTACTCTTCTTCTTCTTTTTTTTCAAATATTACTTATATGTAGTAAATATATATTTTTTAAATTTTATCTTTTTATCTTTAATAAATAAATATATTCATATAATTTTAAATTCAACAATTTTATAATATTAATTTATATTAATTATATATAATACTATTTTTTTATAAAATAATATTCATATTTTATATTATTGAAATATAATTTTAAAAATATTCAAATAATATTTATTAAATAATTCCTTCAAATCCAATTTTCTATAATATATATTTATTTTTAAGTGAAAACTCAAAACCTCAAATATCAAAAAATATGTGAAAAATAAAAGACTCCCGTTCACCTAAAAATTTGTAGATGAATTGATTTTTGGTGTTAGTGGGAGAAATTGTTTCAAAAATATAAAAATATATTATTTTAAATTGAATATTGTTTTATGATTATTATTATATTTTTTTTAGCTTTTTGATTTTTATAAAAAAAAATATTTTGTATTATTTATTATTTTTTAAAAAATAATAATTACAAAATAGTATTAGGTGAATAAAGTCTTCCAGTGAAAGCAAATAAATACTATTCCCCCCGTCCCACGTACCGTGTAATTAGTAGATAATTAAAAATATATTTATAAAAATAATTATCCTATAATATAAATAAGTATAAATTAATATTACGATAACTAATTAGTTTAATTAAAATTAAAAAAATAAATTAAAAATTTTAAAATGAGATTAAAGTGTGTAATCATCTTCCAAAAAAAAATGACATGGAATGTGGGACGGACAAAAACGGCAACATAGACATAGTATGTGGGACGAAGGAAGTATTATTTAAAAAATATAGTATTATAATATTCAATTATAAAAATAGTATTAAAAAAATACTATGTTAATACAATATATATAAAATATATATTTTTACCCATGTATGAAAATTAATAATTAAAAGAAAATATTATTTTTATATTATAAATTAAAGTAATTATTTCATTAAATAACTCAATTTTTTTTACAAATACAACTATTTATTATCTCATCATTATTTTTACGTAAAAAAAAATTAATGGTAAAATTGTCTTTATATCATTTTTAATTATCCATAACAATTAAAATATTATTTTTTTTAAATCTTATAAAAAAATTAAATATATACTTATTAATTGAAAAAAAAAATATATAAAATAATATCCATTCAAAAATACAAAATAAAGAATTTCTAAATAATATGGATTGGTAGGTACTGGGATACGGTTGGGCTGGACTCCTAAGGAAGTACGTTGTGGAGCCTGCCCATATGTGGTGGCCGGGCACTCTCGTCCAGGTCTCCCTCTTCCGGTCAGTTCTCTTCTATTCTCTCCTTTTTATTTTCTTTTTATTTTTCTTTTATATATATATATAATAATAATATATGATGCCATGTTTATAATAATAGTTGTAGTGTGATACAAATAAATAAATAAAATAGCAGTTGCACCCCCTAATTTAATGATATTTACATCTATATAGTCAGTTAGTCAGTCCCCCTAGAAAGCAAGTTGCACATGTGTTTTGTTTGAGAATTAGATTTTAAATATATTATTCTATTTTATTTTTTTCAAAAGAAAATATCAAATTATACACCTAATTGTTATTTTTTATATTATACTAAAAATCAATTTTAAAATTTAAAACATTATATCAACACTTATTTATATCACATTATACAACTATTCAAATTCAAAATTTTTAACATTCAAATCTCAATTCAAAATCCAAAAATCCCCCGAGCAAAACACACCTTTAGTGTCAACTTGTGTAAAATTCCACTTTCTACACACCTACCTACTTGCCTTATAATTTATTTATTTATTTTTTTCTATACACCTACTTGCCCTATATAATTATTATTTTAGATGTGATAGGGTGGTCACGTGCATGACAGCGGGGTTACCCCTTAAGCAGAATGTTTGCGTCCACTCATCTCATTACAATCTTAATTTAATTAATTAATTAATTAATTAATTTGACTGCAACGTGCATGTGTTTGGATTCCAAGTTTGACTTTAGGGTTTGTAAAGTTTGTTTGCTTGCTGGATCTCTAAGTTTGTAATAATTCATGATTGTGTAGTAAGTAAAAAATGATGATGGACTAGAATAGGATACCAAAAACAAAAAATGAATAAATTGATTTGATGTATTTAAAATGAATAAGCAGTTACATTAAAATAAATCAAAGTACATTTTTTAAAAAATATTGATATATTATATATATAATGATATAAATTATATTAAAATATAAGATCTCCAAATTAAATACAAATATAAAAAATAAACAAATAGGGCATGCATTTATGTTGTGTACCTAGGCGGTGATGAAACTAGCACATAAATCTCGGGCACAAAATGTTATAATTTATTTAATATTTAGCTAATAAATTTAAATAAATAATAATGACATAATTATATATGAATTTAGATAGTGTTGCATTGTATCGACACAGTAAAAATCTCCATAAAGCTGCACAAATATACAAGTTTAAGGTTTATTTAATTGTACTTTAAAATTGATTTGAAATAAAATATTTAATTTAAATTTTTATTGAAATAGTATTTTGATATAATTTTTTTAAAGATAAAATAATGTACTTTTGTTGAATATAGTGCATAAATGAATATTTTAATTTGAAATTCTAAAAAAACAAACTCTAAATAAGTTCAATATTTTTTAAAAATATTTTTAGATAGAATCACTTATAATATTTTGTTGTTATATTTTTCTTTTAAATTTTTAAATTTTGATTTATGTAATTTTATATAAAAATATTATTATAATTCATAAAATATATAATATTATTTTTCATAAAATGATATTTATATCAAATATATTTTATTAAATTATAATTTTAAAATTATTTTAATTGTATAATAATTAAATATATATTACTTGGTAACTCAAATAGTATAATAATAATAACAATAATGATAATAATAATATATTAAATATTGTATCTTATTTACAAAATTGTATACATTCAAAATCCTGATAAATTAATACTACAAGTTGTTAGACTTAATGATAAAGAATACATATGATAAGTTACACTTAATTATTTTTTAAAAAATTCATTGTTAAAAGTTTATTTTAATACACTTTCAAAACTAATGGACGGGATCGTCTGTCCAAAATAGAATTTTATCATACTGTCTCATATATACATTGTATATATATATACACACACATATGTATATATAAAATGTTACTTTATACATACACGCACGTATGCATGTAGGGATAGAGGAATAGAGTTTATTTTTAGGGCTGGTGATCACATGGGTATTATTTTTATTATATTATCCCTCTATTTTTTTTTTAATTTATAACTAAATTTTCAAATATAGTTCCAACTATTTTTTAATTTTTATCACATTTTTAATAAAATATATATATTTTTTAATCTCTTTGTGGGATCCAATAGCTTATCATTTTGTATTTATATTCACCTTACAAAAATAGACAATCTTAATTTCTCCAATCCGCCGTATCAATAATAGTATGCTTTTTTAACTTATTCAATTTAAATATACATCATATATATATATATATATATATATCTATGGGATTACATGTCTCAAAAATAAACTCTATCCTCTATCCCCTATCCCCACATACATAGTATGTATGGAACGGAACAGCGGGATAAGATTATGTCCGAGACAGACGATCTCGTTGGTCTTTATATTGTGTTGTTTAACCCAAGTCCTAATATTATATGTTCTTAGTTCATATATTATATTTATATCGTTGTTAATATAATTCACGTATCGTCTATTTTATACCTTATGTATTGTTTGTTTCTAGATCGTGTAACATAAAAACCAACGTGCTGTAATTACCGCAGGGCCTTGCACGAAAAGGACAAGCAAGGAATGTCACGAGCGAAGTTCTTCCTGATAGTCCTAATCTGCAGCTTCTCCTGGTACCTTCTCCCCGGCTACCTCTTCTCCACCCTCACCAGCCTCTCATGGATCTGCTGGGCCTACCCTAACTCCGTCACCGCCCAGCAGATCGGCTCCGGCATGAGGGGCCTCGGCCTCGCCGCCCTAACCCTAGACTGGACCGCCGTCGCCTCCTTCCTCATGAGCCCCCTCATCACCCCCTTCTTCGCCATTATGAACATCTTCGCAGGCTACTTCCTCATCATCTACATTGTTCTCCCCGCCTGCTACTGGGGATTCGACCTCTTCGGGGCTCAGAAATTCCCCATTTTCTCCTCCCACTTGTTCACCTCCGACGGCCAGAAGTACAACATATCCGCCATTGTTAACCACAAGTTCGAGCTGGATTTGCAGAGCTATGAGCAGCAGGGACGGATTCATCTCAGCATGTTTTTTGCACTCACTTATGGTTTTGGGTTCGCCACCATCGCGTCCACTCTGACGCACGTCGGCTGCTTCTATGGCAGGGAAATATACAGGAGATATGTAGCGTCGTACAAGGAGAAGGAGGACGTTCACACGAGGCTTATGAGGAGATACAAGGATATACCCTTGTGGTGGTTTTACATACTGTTGGGACTCACCCTTGCAGTTGCCTTAGTTTTGTGCATTGTGTTGAACGACCAAATTCAGATGCCCTGGTGGGGGCTTGTCTTTGCCAGCGCCATGGCCTTCCTTTTCACCCTCCCAATCAGCATCATCACAGCCACAACAAACCAGGTACTCTACTCTACTCTACTCTAATTATTTAATTCTTATAAATATATATATCTAAATAAATATTATTTATTTATTTATCTGCAGACGCCTGGTCTGAATATAATAACGGAGTATGTGATGGGGATGATATATCCGGGAAGACCAATCGCGAACGTGTGCTTCAAAACGTACGGCTACATGAGCATGAGCCAGGCAGTCTCTTTCCTCAGCGATTTCAAGCTCGGTCATTACATGAAGATCCCTCCCAGATCGATGTTCATCGTCCAGGTACTACATTTATCACAATAAATAAATATTTATTTAGATTCCATCCAATAATAATATAGTATAATTAAATATATATATATATATATACATATGCATGGATGGACTTACATAGGTGCTAGGAACAACTAACCCCTCAGTCCCAAAATTGCTTTTAGTATAAAAAATAATAAAATTATATATTTTTTTTTATTAATTTGCTCCCTCTAATTTTTATTTTACAGTATAAAAAATAATATTTCTTTCGTCCAAAAGAGTTGTCTTTGTTTTTCTATTTTCATCCGTCCCAAAACAATTGTCTTGTTTCTTTATTTAGTAGCCGTGGTGTCCACTTTATAACAAAATTAATTCTACTTTTTGATACTATCCTTAATTATTATTCTAATTTACTCTTTAAAATCCTTAAAAAAGTAAGAGCATATTTACATTCTACTTAATTCATGTGTCAACTCTCAATAAAACATTTCTTTTGTGACGGAGGGAGTAAAATTTTTGCTCATTTGTTGATTTACACTTTTAACATTTAAATTTTACTATCTTTTTATTTTAGTAAAAAATATTACATTTTATACTCATCGGTCCAAATGGACCTTTCGAATTTTTATAATAGATTAAGAAATAAAAATTATGGGTATTTTGATATTGGTGTATGATTGCTTTTACTAAAAATAAAAAAGTGATACTTTGGAGTGAGACGGATGAAATGATAAAAATAATACTTTGAATTGGGAGAGAGAAAATATAGTTTTATTGAATTTTTTTCTTAAACACTTACTTTTCCCCATTTCTCTTTTTTTGCGTTTTTTACGTGGTTAAGAAATTGAAAAAAATAACATTGAATCCATAAAAAAAAAAAATTCTATATTTCGCTCCTTCAACATTTTACGGCGGGTCCTGTCACTGTATATACGCAGTTCTTAGGGACAATTATAGCGGGAACTGTGAACATCAGCGTGGCCTGGTGGCTGCTGAACTCCATCGCCAACATCTGCCACGACGACGTTCTCCCGGCGGACAGCCCCTGGACGTGCCCCGGCGACCGAGTGTTCTTCGACGCGTCGGTGATATGGGGCCTGGTGGGGCCCAGGAGAATCTTCGGAAGCGAAGGGAACTACAGCTCCATGAACTGGTTTTTTCTCGGAGGTGCTGTGGGCCCCATTGTTGTCTGGCTCTTCCACAAGGCCTTCCCCAAACATACCTGGATTCCGTTGATCAATCTTCCCGTCCTTTTCGGGGCCACCGGAGCGATGCCTCCCGCCACGCCTTTGAATTACAACGCCTGGATATTAACCGGCACCATTTTTAACTTCTTCGTTTTCCGGTACCGGAAGCGGTGGTGGCAGAGGTATAATTACATTCTCTCCGCCGCGTTGGACGCCGGCGTGGCGTTCATGGCGGTGGCGCTGTACTTCTCGCTCAGCATGGAGAATAGAAGCGTTGATTGGTGGGGCACGCAAGGGGAGCACTGTAAGTTCGCCACGTGTCCCACTGCCAAGGGCATTCGGGTTGATGACTGTCCGGTGTACTAGCTTATCCTGCCTTGACAGCTGGCAATGAATCGATCCGGATTGAGTTGAATATCGGATTAAATCACTCAACTCTAATTTGTTTATTATCGTTTCAAATTCGTATTATTATGTTGAATTCGTATTAATCCGTATAAATCTAATATTTTTGGCTGAATTGTGTATATGTTAATTTTGTTTAGATACTAATGTTATGCATATAGTAAATTATGTTAAATTATTTAAGATTGAAATTAATTTAAATTAATAGGTAGTCTAATAATAAAATTAGAATGATTTTGCATATATAAAAATATATTAATTAATATTACTATATTACAATCGGATTATGAAATTCAAATTTTAAACCTCTTCTAATCAGACTAATTTATTATCGTGTCGAATTCGTATCAATTAGTATATATAGTCAGAAATAAAATTTTTGACAAAAACCCAATTATTATGTATCAAGTTGTATACATAATTGAGTTAAAGTTAAAATCCTTTCAAAACTCAATTATTTTGTATCAAATTTGTGACTTGTTACTTTTTGCCAGTTCTAACCCTATCCTATCCTTCAACCCACCCCACCCCACCCCACCCCACCCTTATCAGAATTCATATATAATGAAGATCAATCAGGTGCATACCATCATCAATTGTGTACTGATTGATTTATTACAGCTGAGAAAAAAACTCATGTAATGAGTAATTGAGTATGAATGTGTGAAAACAAATATCTACCCACAACAGCTTTCCGATATATGAAAACCTCAGTAATCCAACCAAGTTACCTATAATTCAAATGCACTCTACTTCTTTACCTCCTCGTACTCCGCCTCGGCCGCCGCCTCGCTGCCGTCTGAACCTCCTGTGGAACTCCCACCAGAGCCGGCGCCGCCAGACATGTGTTGTCCAATCTTAGACACAGCTTTGTTCGCCGCATCGATTTTGGCCTTGATCTCATCTACATTCTCGGCTGCCATTGCAGTTCGCAAGTCCGAAATTGCAGACTCAATTTCAGACACCACCTCTGTTGGAACCTTGTCCTTGTACTCGTTTAAGCTCTTTTCAATGCTGTAGATGGTGGTGTCTGCGTTGTTCCTTACATCGATCAGCGCCTTTCTCTCTTGGTCCTTCTGCGCGTGCATCTCGGCCTCCTTCACCATTTTTTCAATCTCGCCTTCAGACAAGCCGCCTGAAGACCGGATTGTGATCTGCTGCTCTTTTCCCGCAACCTTGTCCTTTGCAGAGACTGTAACAATTCCATTAGCATCAATGTCGAATGTGACTTCTATCTGCGGCATGCCCCTTGGAGCCGGCGGAATTCCCACAAGCTCAAACTCTCCAAGAAGTTTGTTATCAGCAGCCATTTCGCGCTCTCCTTGTAGTACTTTGATACCAACTTGAGTTTGATTATCAGCAGCCGTCGAGAATGTCTGAATCAAGAAGCCACAATCAAGTAAGAAAATCTTTCATAATCACTGTGAAAATAGTTCGTAGAATACTGACCTGGCTTTTCTTCGTCGGTATTGTTGTGTTTCTGTTGATCAATCTCGTAAAGATACCTCCGAGTGTCTCGATCCCAAGTGAGAGCGGCGTCACGTCTAAAAGAAGCAATTCTTTAACGTCGCCGCGCAGTATACCTCCCTGAATAGCAGCTCCCATTGCAACTGCCTCATCCGGATTCACCCCTTTGCTCGGGGACTTACTGAAGATTTCAGAAACTACTTCCTGAACTTTCGGAACGCGGGTCATACCTCCGACAAGAAGCACCTCGTCTACTTCCTTAGTCGATATCCCGGCATCCTTCAAACAGCTCTTGCAAGGTGCCTTGGTCCTCTCGATTAAGTGGTTCACCAAAGCCTCGAACTTTGATCGGGTCAACGTAATATTCAGATGCTTCGCCCCTGATGAATCTGCAGTGATGAAAGGTAAGTTGATTTCGGTCTGGGACGTCGACGAAAGCTCTATTTTTGCCTTCTCAGCTGCTTCTCGAAGCCTCTGCAGTGCAAGCCTGTCCTTTGACAGATCAATACTCTCTGTTCTCTTAAATTCGCTGACCAAAAACTCCAACAAAGCATTATCGAAATCCTCCCCTCCCAAAAATGTGTCCCCGTTTGTGGCTTTCACCTGTTCAGTTAGCATAAAGATCAGTAACTACGAACAAAATTGTGTAAAATGTGAATCACTCTGCAGTACAGCATACCTCAAAAACACCATTTGATATTTCCAATATAGAGACATCGAAAGTTCCACCTCCTAGGTCAAAAACTGCAACGAGACCCTCTTTGTTGTTCAAACCGTAAGAAAGCGCAGCAGCTGTGGGTTCATTAATAATTCTTTGTACATCCAGGCCTGCTATTCTTCCAGCATCTTTGGTGGCCTGCCTCTGGGCATCGTTAAAATAAGCTGGAACTGTGATCACAGCCTGGCTTACCGACTTTCCAAGGTAAGACTCAGCAGTTTCCTTCATCTTTGTCAAAACAAAAGCACCAATTTGACTTGGGGAGTACTGCTGTCCATTAATTTCAACCCAAGCATCACCATTAGGAGCCCGGACAATTTTGTATGGAACCATATTCATTTCCTTCTGAGTCTGAGGATCATCAAAGCGTCTACCAATCAGGCGTTTGGTTCCGAAAAGTGTGTTAGTTGGATTTGTGACAGCTTGTCGCTTTGCTGGCGTCCCGACCAGGAGCTCTCCTTTTTGGTTGAAAGCAACTACCGATGGAGTTGTTCTAGCACCCTCGGAGTTCTCAATAACTTTCGGATTCTGAAACAGAGTCATTTCTTCGTTAGTAAAACAAATGGAACGAGAAGTGTAAGGTAAACATTGGTACATTACCTTCCCCTCCATAACCGAAACACACGAGTTCGTAGTGCCCAAGTCTATACCAATCACATCATTTCCAGCTGGCTTAGTGCTGCACCATGTTAAGATTACAGTCAAAACTTCGCTTATAACTTAGCAATTTATCGAAAATATATACCTGAATGGCCTTGCAAGGCCTGGCCACTTGTTTCCCAAAACCCATGATGGTTTATTGCTTCCAGTTATCTAAACATCACATAAAGTATAGCACAAGCAGCAGAATATAAGCATTTCAATAGAATTAAATTACAAATGCTCAAGAATCATTCACACGCAAAGACCGCTAATCTTTATCCATATTCTAGAAGTGTTTCTAAGGATTGGGAAAACTTTACAGAAATGATTGAAGTACTTAAGACAGTGCATCTTATTCTCCTCATCCAAAGCAAAAACGAGAAAGGAATATAAAAACTATAAGTCCAGGGATGCTGTAACATAACAAAAATGAACATAAGTAAGAAATAACGATCTGCTTTCAATAGATACACCAAAGACCATACCATAATCCATTGCAATATATTAATAACAGTAATTTAAAAAATATTAAATCAGATCAAATGCATAACAGCAACGGAAACGCGATAAAAGAGAAACGATTCAATTGGATCCATTCTCCTCTGTTATTAGAACTCTCGGGATTTTGAAGGAAAAAAAATGCGACAGCAAATCCCAGTCACACAATCAATCGGGTAACCGGTTGTTACTTAAGAACAACATCAGCGAAGCTCATGCGGAAACCCAAATGTGCAGAATAGACACCAAATCGCATAAAACAACATCATAATTGAAATATTATGCAGAAGCTCGGGAAAGAGAAGTACAGTTTTGAAAGCTGAAACAGGGGCGGAAGAAACTTCGCGGCGACGGAGCGATCGGAGAAGAACAGAGGTCGCCATTTATCGATTAAATGCTCTTCAATTCGGTGCTTGGTGGTGGATTTGAAGGTTTAGGGGTTTAGGGTTTAAGTAGTAGAGAGAAGGAAGAAAGGAAGGGAAGGGAGAGCAAAGCAAATGACATCCGATAATAAATATATGAAAGAAAGAATAAAATAAAACGGCGTGTCAACAGCTTGATCGGTCAGAATAATATACGTATCGAAAATAGTTTATTGGTGGATTGTTCCCCAAGTTAGGTTTATATTTTACAGGCTCTATTTATTTATTTATTTATTTTTATAATGTGACAATTCGCCGCCGTTATCGAATGGATACTACCGCCACGATATTTCAATATAAAATATTTTCTTAAATTTAGTAGGATGGATCAATGATTACATTTTTGGTTAATGTTTCTTTTAGATGGATTTGAAAATAATTACGCTTTCAATTTATATTAAAATAATATACAATGAGATATTATATAAAATGTGTATTTTTTTTTGTGAAATGCATAATTCAAATAACAAAAATTTAAAATTTTGAACCAAAGAAATATATTTTTGTGGCTTTTAAATAAATAATTTTATAGTATATTCAAAATTTACAAATTTTTATATAATTAATCTATATGAATTATGCATAAATTAATTATTATTGTTATCAACTTGAGTTTAAATCTATAATTTCGTAATCACGAGTTCACCACTATTATTGGATCATCCATTACTTTTAAGAAAGCAACAACATTTATATTTGAATAGAACTTCTTATGTGCGTTGATTTGATTTAAATCAACACACATAATATGATATTTTGTTTGTTCATAATCACAAATATATTTGTGAATATTACTTCTAATTTGTCTATTCATAATATTTATAAAGTGCAAAATTTATTTAAAGTTTTTATAAAGGTAACAAATGAATCAATTAAAATAGTAATATATATAAATGAAAGTTTTTGACAAATATTGAAGAAGTCCAAATAGATAAATAAGTCCCTTCATAGATAATTCGAATTAATATGGCCTCTACACAAGGATGACAACGTATTGGGTTTACCAGGAGTTTTCACTGCATCATTTTCGGGTAGTTAGATTCTAACGTTATATAAAAAAAAAGTTATATAATCCAAAATAATGTAATGTGTAAAAATTGCCGGTACAATTTATTCAAAAATATTAAATTATATATTTATTATTTTATTTTATATTATATTAATAATTAATTTATACTTAAAATATCAATTTAATAAATATATATATATATATATAAAGTATTTAAATTTAAAATTTTACAGATAAAACAAAATCAAACACACCGGTAGTTCAAGTGTATTATAACTGATAGGTAACTGTAGCTGGTGGTGGCACAGCGGACTGGCAGTCACTCGGTCACTTCGCCTCTCCAATTATTAGCATATTTATCAGTTCTTTCAAAAATAATCAGAGCCCCAAATCACATCACGAAGCTCATCTTCAATCCAGCACAGCACATGATCTCCTCCATCTCCACCACTTGCATAAATTCCGCCTCTATTCCCTTCCTCTCTTTCGTTTCTGCTGTCTCTTCCTCATCTTCTCCATCCTCGCGCATCCAAGGAGCTTCGTGTGCCCTGTCTGCCTCCTCTTTGCTGTACGGTAAGTTGCAACTTGGGACTTGTTTGGGGATTATTGGAAGGGCACAGGCTTCGACGATTTTGGATATGAATCAACTGATGGTGTTTGGATGCTACGATTGATTGTTCTACGTTGTAGTTTTAGTTCGTACGCGACAATAGTTGCTGCGCCGCTTTGCAAGATTTATTTAAGCTGTTAATTTCGAAGGTCCAGATTGTGCTGCATAATTTTGTTCTTTGTGTGAGAACTGTAGTTGTGGTTAGCTGTAGATGTATTGAAGTGCTGATTTATGATTATGAGTAGATTTTATCCAGCGATTTCGGTAGATTTATGTTCCCCTGATGTTTGGATAAAAGCTACACTGCAACTTAGAGACTAGAGTAGCTTCGGAGAACGGCAAGTTTGACTCAAGCAAGGAATTCATATATACATAATCTGATCATTTGTGGATTAGTTCGGCCACCGTGTACCATTGTAGATTTTTGTGGCCGGAAGCCACAAAAATTGACGGCATCCCATTCACCGAATCTGTTTTGACCCTTCTGGGTTTCTGCTGCATTTGAATTGGGGAGTATCCATTTCATAAGAAAATTAGCTAAATTTGTTATGTGACTCATATTGCTGATGTAAAATTCTGATAATCTCAAATACACTACACAGTGGAGTGTTTCTTTTTGTGTTTGCAACATTGCTTTGGCTTATACTGTGTTATCTGTTCTTTCACCATCTCAGACATGGACAATGGTGGCAGTCCAAGTCTATTTCCACTGCATCGCTGCAAAACCATTCACCTGGTTGGTATCAGTTTGCTACTTCAAGTTTCTGATTGAATTCGGAGAAATTATGAATAAGATGCAATGCTTCATTGGTTTGAAGAACTGTGGATGTTGCCTCTCTCGGATTTTGCTCAAGATTTCTAGCGCTTTGTTGTCTTATTAACCATATATTTAGGTGAGGCATGCTCAAGGTATACACAATGTTGAAGGAGATAAAAACTACAAGGTGTACATGTCTCCTGAATATTTTGATGCCCATCTTACTCAGCTGGGCTGGAGTCAGGTTAGAGAGCAACTATTAGCTTGACAACATACAATAGTGCTACTGCTTTGTTTTCTTGTTATATTAGATATACATATGACCTTCATCTCTTTTATTAGGTAGAAAACCTGCGTAAACATGTTCATTCAAGTGGACTCATCAAAAAAATCGATATGGTCATTACATCTCCCCTGCTAAGGTAGTGTCTCTGGTATAAATAATCCTTTGGTATCTTCAGTTTCATTTAGTTTCTTAATTGGTTTCATTATAATTGCTTTTTTCACTTTTTTCTGTTAACATGACGATGACTGATATGGTTGATAGACTTGCATAACTTTGAACGGAACTAATTCTTGTGACGTATTTTATCGACAATCGCAACAGTCATGTGACTCTTAAATCATAATTTTGCTTGATTCAGTTGCCACATTTGGGGATTGGGTGAGTTGTTTTTTGGAAACATAATTGGCATCCCAGCGGATAACAATTTTATTTTTGTTTCAGTTACAGTTTGAAGTGATGACAATTTGTTTGTCAAAGCACAAAAGCGCATACTGCTGCATAAGAAAAGGGCATATTTAACCTCATATGTCCTTGTCACTTGTGTCTTGCATTAGTGAGGAGAAATGTGGTTTGTTTAACAGTGTCATTACTTTTGGAGCATTAGTTTTTCTTCTTTTCTTTTTTTGCACCTTACCAACTTGGTCGTTTTGTTTGGTTCCTTTTGTAAGACCTACACAATCAATTTTAAACCCAGAACAAAATGAAAGAAAATGACCTGTTAGAATTGTTTTCGTAGTCGGCTCTAGACCTCGTTTCAAGACAGATAGAACACAAACAGAGGAAGCAAACATAACAACAACAATAATAATAACACTCAATATGCTAGCCTAGATCGACCTAGCTCGATCTAAATCTGGGGAACTCCCATCCAAAACTATCACTATTAACTTCAACCACCAAATTTATGGTTGTCTAGCCTTGTTCCCTAAAAGCAAGCTACATCAGAGGTCTCAACATGTCACCTAACAACCACAAATGTAAAACTACAATATTTGTGTATGTGTGATAATCTGTAAGCGTGTGTCCAACTAATTTTACATATGAACTATACCAAATGCATGAGTATGGAATAATGATATCAGGTAAGCATTTTCAATCTTTATATTCCAGAACAACCTTGTTGGATCTTCAAGAAATACATTGGCTACACTCTTCATACGACTTCTTTCCAATGGGAGTCTTTCGGAAGTTTATGAGAAGTGAGAAATAATATTGCTACTTCACCTTTTATAAATATGAAAGAACAATCAAATTCAATCTTATTTGACTTGATAATCTTCTTAGATCTCATTTGGAATGGGAATAGATATAGTTTCCGTATGAAATTATCCAATAAGATTTTCATGTCTTGATATTGATCCATTTTTCTAGTTGATCCACGTATCAAAATCTTGAATCAAATATTTATTTTAGCAAATCAGATATTCAAAATTTTAATTTCTTCTTCATTATCTGCTTCAGTTTGTACCGTGACATTTTCAAACAAGCAATATAACACATAATGTAAAACCAACATATTTTAAGGTCTAACAAACTTTCTTTTTTTGCATTATTTGTGACACAACGTAGAAGTCTTATCTGCAATATTACAACAGTACAATGTAGCATCTTCATAGCATTAAAAATCACCACCCCCAATTGTGGGATCTTATATACACCTTATAAAAGCAATGTCTTTATCACCAGCCGTAAATATCATTGCTCCTCCTAAATCAAACACTAAAAATCAATGGGAAGTTCTTCAGTTCGATCATCCATGTGCCTTCATCAATCAATTGTGGCCTTGTCTTGGTTTAGCAAGAAGTCTTCGAGGAACTTGCTCTGATATCACTTGCTAGAGTGTTTTCTTATGAAAGACCGATCACTTATATGGATGAGTTTATGTAGTCTATTTCAGGCCTTGTTTCAAGACCGAGTATAAAATGCATATGGATAACAGAAACCAAAAAATAAATAATAAATAAGAACATGTGATATATTAATCAAGTTCAATTTAAACTAATCTACATCTAGGGGACTCTTCCAAAACTATTACTAAAAGTTTTGTAGTGCTTTGACATCACTCCCCAACCATCTAGTTTACACAATTCTAGCCTTTTTTTTTTTTTTTTTATGTAAAGACTGCCTACACCAGAGGTCTCATCATAAAACCTAACAACCATTGATGCAAAACGACAATGTATGCGTGTGTATGACAATTTGTAGGTGTTCAAGTTCAATCCATGAACTTCATCCCGAAAAGTATAAAGTTGCAAACTGAATACCGGGATAACTATGAAGAATGTCTTCAATCTTTATAATTCGAAACATCAACCTCCTTGGATTCTTAAGAAATAATAGTTGTGCTCTATATGTGACTTCTTCCTCATAGGCTCCTTCTGAATGAATAGAAAATAATCAGCTTATGTCCAAACTGACCGGAAAACCCACTGTGCACATTTGAGGCGGCTTTACTTGAAGGACACAATTTTCTTATATAATTTTTTTTTTTTTTTTTTTTTTAAATTTTACTTGTTATATTGAACTCTCTGCTCTTAGTGCAATGTGAACTGTTCCTCAAAATATAATATTAACTTCTTGATCTCCTCATTTTCAAATTTTTAACACTAGGATGTATTTTGTCCTTAAAACTGTAGTTGCCACAGCTTCCTGAAACATCTTGGCCCTTGCTTGAGTGATTGGCCCATCAAGCATGGTTGTCACCCTGTGTCACTGTGCTTTCTTTCTGTGAAATCATTGTTTTGAGTGTTATTGTTTCTGGAATCCTTGGTTTGATTACAATGTTATGCTAGGATCATATGTTTTCTGTAATTTATCTGAGGATAATACTACACCAGGGAAACTGTCTTCTATGTAATGTACTTATCCATAGTCTTATGACTTTATGATTTTAATTCGTAGGACTATGCAAACTGCTGTTGGGGTATTTGGAGGTGAGAGCTATACTGATAGTATGGATATTTTACCTCTCATGGTGGCAGATGCAGGAAACAGTGGCCGTGCTGCAATTTCCAGTCTTAATTGCCCGCCTATAGTTGCAGTTGAACTCTGCCGGGAACATTTGGTATGTCTGTTGAAGAAACAGGCTTGATGTAGCTTGTTTTTAGCACTAATGTAATGTGGCTCCTCATCAATATATATGGTCGCTCTTTAGCTGTTAATAACTTTACTCAGTGTTGTTTGTATATAATATTCTTGATAGGGTGCATGTGATGATATGGAAGTCGGAAATCTTGCTAAATGCCTGTGAAGATTGACATATTTTCTAGTGCTGTATGTGAATCAATCACTCATTTTCTATACAACTATAATCTAATTGTTATCTATAATGTACAACTTTATGTCACTTGAAAATAATATATGAGATGAGATGATTGCAGTATATACTATATCTATATGTATGATGCATACTGTTTTGTGCAATCCCTTGTTTTGTTCGTATGTTTTTCTACTTCTCTAGTCCGTTCACATTTCTATATACGTTTTGCATTGTAGAGAATTATCTTCTAGGAATCAATTAAATCAATTTATTGCTAATATCCTGGGGCGCTTTCTGGTCTGGTCATTATTGTAAGCATCTTCTTATTGCATCACTCACATCTCACTATTGCATACCTTTTAAGGATAAGATTTGATAATGGGTTTCCAAATACTGAAATGTTCTTTCCAAGTCTTGTTCTGTAATTTCAACCACTTTATTTGAAGTGAATATTCAGGAGACATGAAAAGTTTACTTTTTCTATGAGCTTCAATGCAGTCCGGACTAGGGGATTCAAGTCAGGTTGGATGCAGAATGATTATGTGTATGATGTGTTGCCTGTTAGTCTCATGAATGATTAAAATACTGCTTGATGAGGGAAATCTAACTTTATATTAGAATTTCACTTCCAAGGAGCTTGCTTACAATTTTTATTTTTCTCTAATTTTCCAGGGTGTTCATCCTTGTGATCAGAGGAGAACCGTTAGCGAGTATAAACGCCTTTTTCCTGCAGTTGATTTTTCCTTGGTAAGCCATATTATTGCTGCTGCATATTTTGGAATTGTGTGCAATTATACCTGAGATCCTTGCCTTTTATTGATTAAAGCATTAAGATTGCCTCCTATTCACCAATTTTAACTTCTCTTCAGATGGAGAGTGATGAGGATAATTTATGGAAGGCTGATATCCGAGAGACCAAGGAGGAGGTTGCTGCCAGGGGAGCCCAGTTCTTGAACTGGTGAGTATCCTTTCCTAATTATGTATCACAAAAACTCGTCAAGGATAAGTAAACAGACAGAAAAACCATATTGAATGATTATTCTTTATTCTTTTTCCTTATTTTAGCTTCAAATATATTTGACTTTCATATTCTATTACATTAATTACCTGCAATTTGGTAACAAAAACAACAGCTTAATCAATTTACTTTTGGTAGATAAAATCCATTATCAAATGCCTTTATTAATTACATTATGTATGTACCTATATCTATATAGTTTACATGGAGCAACATGCATGTACAGAATATACATCTTTGTACTATATTCCGAGTGAGGTTATACATTACCTATTACATTGATACAGGTTATTCACATTGAAAGAGCAGGAAATAGCTGTAGTCACGCACAGTGGATTTTTGTTTCATACACTGGCAGCATTAGGCAATGGCTACCACCCTCTCGTGAAGAAGGAAGTTTGTAGCCAGTAAGTCCTTATCATTTTTATATTCTAACTATTAGGCCAGCATTCTAGCTTTAATAAATTCTGTCTGCTAAGACGTTTGATGATTTGAAGCGTATTGTCTGTTGATCTTGAATTGATGCTGACAGGTTGACTAAACATATAAGCTTTAGGCATAAAATCACATAAAACAATTATCTTATGCCCTTTTACCAAGGGGGAACTTTATAGAGAAAGAAGGAATAGTGTTTATACGATTTTACAATTGAAAACTGAATTCTTCATGTGAACGTGATATAGTATTTTGCCCTGAATTAACTGACTTTTCACTCACTGTTATGTTTTAGCTTTGCTAACTGCGAGCTCCGATCCATGGTTGTAGTGAACAAAAGGTACATCTCTTATCCTTGAATCTGCATCTGATTCTGCATTTCTGCCCCAGCATTACCAGGTATTGAAATGAGTTATTTATTTCTTAGCATGATTAGCTCAGAGCCTTCACCAACCAACTATCCGGGGAAGATCCCAGCTGGCCCTGATTTACCCAGCAGTGATGTTTCTGACAAGGGCGGAGCGAAAGACAGCCACAGCTAATTATGGAAGTGAAAACTATGCCCCGAGTGTTTATTTAGGTGCATCGGTCTGTATGAGCAGTTTCAACTACTATTTCTGGAGCTGTGGCTGTCGCTATGGCTAACCGTGTTGCTTTTAAGTATTGGGGGAAAGGTAAAGAAACCTATTCAGAAAGAATATTGAAAACATTTATGGCCATGGTCTCTTCTTGCCCTGTAATTTGTGATATTTGTCTCATTTTGAATGTCCATTTCATCAGGAGACAAATTTCAGTTAGCTATAATAGATTTTGCACAAAACACATACTGTGGACAAAGCCAGTGAACTTTTGAGATCATTATATGCAATATATAATTGTGCAATATATGCAGCTAAAGACCTAATTGATTGTTCTTTGGTGATCCAATGTAAATATGAGGTATGTGTGCAATTTTTTGCCACTCTCTTCCTTTCCTTGTGTCATAAAGCTCTTCTAGATGAGGACATTCTTGAATCGATATGTGTTGCAGGGCAGTAAGGCATCGTATTCCATCCGGCAACGATATCACATTCCGGCAGTTCGATATTGCCAGCGATCTAAGACAAGAAAATCTTCCGATCCATTCCGGCAGTGCCGTCAGGCCTTCGCAGCTGTGGATCACTAAGCTTTGCAGCGCCGTTGCGTATCTCAAACTCTCCGGCAAATAAGCCAACTCAGGACAATATATGATGCTTAAACTCCGAAGAGCTGTGTGTGTTTCGAATCCATCGGGGAATGAATATAACTTCGGGCAGCAAATTACGGATAAGTGCTCAAGTGCCGTCAGCCGGCGCACATTGCTTGAGAACGATCGTAGTTTCCGGCAATTCTCGATGGTTAAGGCTTTGAGGGAGCTCAAACCTTCTGTTTCATGGCTTGGCAGAAAGGTGAGGCCATGGCAGCCATTGATTTCTAGCAGTTCTAAGCTTTTGAGCTTGTGGATTCCGAGTGGTAAATCGGAGAGCTTTTCACAGCTGACGATGATGAGGGACTTTAGCGCGACGAGTTTCTCCAGTTCAAGAGGCAAAGCGTGAAGATTCTGGCAGTGTCGAATCTCCAGAGACTCGAGCAGATGGTTGTTTTCGAGGAATTTACCCGACAGATGTTCCAACTCAGGGAGATTGTCGATCACAAGGCTTGAAAGAGAGGCTATCCCTTTCATGTAGTCCATGATTCGCGCGTTGCTATGATGAATTGCTAAATGTCGAATGGATTGAAATGTTGGCGCAGCTATAAGCTCGGGGCATTTTTCGAGGATCAAGCTTTCGAGGTGTGCGAAAGGGGCTGCATCAGCGGGGCTCGACCAGTTAATAAGGTGAGGGAAGTCTCGAATTTCCAAATACTTGAGCGAAGGAAATGGTTCGACAGCTCCACCGTAAAATGCCTTGTCGATATGCGTGATGTTATTCATTCCTTGAAGATGGAGTCTCTCGAGGAAAGGAAGATGCCCGAGCTTCGGCAGATACAGACATCGCCGGCAGTTGATCAGCTCGAGTTTTGTTAGATTCGGGAGTTTCCACTCGGCGAATCTTCTCCCGGGATACCCTTTGACAAGGAGGTTCTTGAGATCGACATGGGGCTCGAGGTTCTTGAGGATGATTTCAACGTCGTCTTCATCTTCTTTTAATGATAAACTTAACGATCGAATCGCTGTAGTTCGCCTCGCGGACGTCGACTCCATAGCTACATTGCTGCTTCCCCATTGCAGCTTTAATGACCTCAGATGCTTCTTCGATCTCATGTTCGCCATTTTCGCTTCTTCGGGGGTTCTAACATTCTCCATTTGCTTTATATGCAGCTCGTCGCGAAGATTCAGGAACTGAAGCTGCGCGATGCTTTCGCCGGGCCTTTCTCCGACTATATACACGGGCAATGTTTGGAGTTGGACCAATTTTCCGAGCATCGGAGGCATGTGAGCCAATGCTTCACACCCTGTTATGTTTAGGTGTCTGAGGCTTGTTAGATTAGCCATCTCCAATGGAAGCTCTAAAAGGTTTCGACACGCCGACAGGTTGAGAGTCTGCAGCTTACGGAGGCTGCAGACGGACCGCGGAAGCCGTTGGATTGGGTTGCTCGACAAGTCTAAATACTGTAAGCAGATCAAAGCTCGGATCGACTCATCCAAGCTCTTTACACCGCAGCCACTGTAATCTAGAACGCGTAAGTACACGAAGTTCAGTGGCAAGAACGACGTAGAGTCGTCGGAGTTATAATCCGGAAACATGTAGAGCAGTGTCCTCAGATGAGTCGCTTCGAAGAGCTCGTCGGGGAGAGACGATGGCGCGACTACATTGCGTGCTATCGACAAGTGGTGAATACTTCCGAGGCCGCAGCTAGGAGCAGAATTTTGGCCGAGAATCGCGAAATCATTGCCCCCGATCATCCTCGCAAGATCGTGAAGAAGATCGTGCATTTTGTACAGCGTCGGAGTGCCGTCGTGAACTTGTTGGAAGAAGGAAAGGCTTAGCAAGTCGTCGAAATAGTCGCCGGCAATATCCTCTGGCTCTCTCCCTCCATCCGCCAAAATTAAGCCATGCGCCATCCAAATGTATATCATCTTTTCGCGACAAATCTCGTGATTTTTCGGGAATAAAGCACAGAACGCGAAGCAGCGCTTCAGGTGCGGCTGCAGCGACGAATAACTCAATTTCAGCGCCGGAAGCACGGTGCTCTGGCATTCCTTAAGACGCCATAGCTCGCTGTCTTCGACGGACATCCAGTATTCTCGATTCTTTGACATCAGCAGACCTCCTAGAGTCTTGGCTGCCAATGGAACTCCCCCACACTTGCTGATGATCGCTTTCCCGATCGGGACAAGCTCCCGAGCTTCGCGCTCTTCTCGATGTCTGAACGCCCTCTGTTTGAACAGCCGCCAACAATCGTCGTCGCTGAGTCCTTGCAGTTGGTATATTTTGGTTCCGGTTAATGCAGCAACTTTCGCGCTTCTTGTCGTCACCACGACTCGACTACCTTCGGCGCCGTCGCCAAGCAACTCGCTAAACGTCTCCCATTTTTCGTGATCCTCGTTCCATACATCGTCCAGGACAAGTAGGAATCTCTTGCCGGTTAACGAGTTTTGTAGTTGAGATTGGAGGAGAGACATCGACAATTCACCGATGTCGGGATTCCTCACCCCACAAGACCTGTGTTTGGTTGACTTCATAATAAATAAATAAATGACGGTAATTATTTAAGGTTAATGATAGTTTTTAGGTGAGATGATTATTTAATAACCTGAGTATGTGGATCATCATTTGGTGGACCTCGAAATTCTCGGACACATGAATCCAAATCTTCGAGTCGAAGTGTTGGCTTATAACATCGTCGTTGTACACGAGGCTAGCCAATGTTGTTTTTCCGATTCCGGCGAGGCCGACGATCGAAATCACCGGCACACCGCCGGTGGCGGATTTCCCCTTTTTATCAGGCAATAGGAAGCTTACTACACTGAGCTTATCGTCGTCTCTACCGTAAGCTTTCGATTTATCGACTCTCGGCATCGTCTCTTTACTTCTACGCGGCAAACACAAACTATCCGGCGGCCTTTGCGCCGCCGCTTGCTGGAGATTGAAGCTGAAACCCTCGACTGCAACACGGTCCAATTCTTTCAGCTTGAGTTGGAGCTCGGAGGCGAGATCGGAGAGGTGATCGGAAAGCTTGAAGGGAAAGAAAAATCCGCCGGCGGCCGCCGCCGGGTGGTGGCCGGTGGTGCGGTGGTGCAGAGTTATCTCGACGTGGAGCTCATCCAATAAGTCCTCGGATTCGTAAGCCATATTCTGGAGCTTGGTTAGCCATAGGGCGATGCCTTTCTGTGATTCTTGTTGCTTTTGTGCATCTTCAAGGACGGCTTGAATTTCGGGCAATGAGTGCTGTAATTTTCTGATGTTGTCGTTGAGGTTGTAGAGATGGCCGAACTTGTCGAGGAAGGGGAGAGCCAATTTGTCTATTACGATCTGCAGAAGAGGGCTTAGAATTAGATCCGCCATTGATGAGAGCTTGGAGAACAACGGCGGATGTTAAAGAAGAAGGAAGAGGCTTAAATATATATCAATTGATTAATATATATATGTATGTATGTATGTATATATGAGGTTGATTGTAACGAAGGCCGGAAATGAGGTAATAATAATAGTATTGTATTTGTTTTGTCTGCTTTGAGATGTGATTTCAAGGGTAATTCCAACGGAACTTCTTTTGTCTGAATACTTAGCTTGTTTGTTTTTCTCCAACAACAAGCATGTGTTTCGTTTTGTGTTTTTGATATTTTATTTTTTATTTTTTTTAATGTAAAATATTAAAATTAGGTAAATAATATAAAAATAAAAAATATATATTTCATCTCTTTTAACAAATTATTTATTTTTCATTTTACTCCATCTCATAATAAAATATTATTTTATTATATGTACTATCTATCTACTTAATATTACAAATGTTTTTTCAATTTATAATATATTATATAAATGTCATTATATTTATATAATATCATACTAATAAAGTTTGTTTAATTTTTTTACCTTTATTTATATTATATTCTAATATAATATTAATATTTTTAATATTTCATATTAAAAAAAAACGAATACGTAGATATAAGACGAGCAGGAGTATAATATATCAAATATTTTAAAGAATTTACTGAATTTTTTGGTTAGAAGAACATAGTAATACTGGACCGCGCACTCTAATGGTTTTGTATTAATTTATTTTTGCTTATTACATTCAAGGATGCTGGGCGGCGCACTTAGGCTCTGTTCATGTTTTTGGATGGTTAGATTTTATTTATTTGTGATACGATGGAAATGTATTAATAATATAAAATATATTATTTAAATTAAATATTATATTTTTTTATTTTTTTAATAAATATTTAATTTAATTTAATTTTTTATATATATAGAAAATTGTGTAAAAGATGTAAAATATTATTTTTTAGAATCACAACCCAAAAAATCTCTAACGAATATACCCTTAATTTTTTTTGGACTATGATAATTGTGGTTTCGTATTGTCAAAATGATACTTTCTTCGTCTCATTTATAGGGTGTATATTATCGTTTTTTTTTTAAGGATTAAATATTTTAATTTTTAATTTTTAATTTTTAATTAAATTAATTAATTATTGTACTTTTAAATTATAATTATTTATATTATAAATAATTATTTTATTGATATATTTTTAATTATTTATTAATTATATTTTTTTTTCTAAATTATTGTATCTACATTAACCCTAAGTGCCATTGCGGAAGGAATATAATAATCATAATAATAATTATTATTATTATAATAAATAATTAACTTAATAATGTGAATGTATTTATAATTTGAATGTGTGTGGCACCGTCTAGACAAGAATTTGGAAAGTATTTTGGTTTGAAATTTTTTCTAGGGTGTGTTTGTTTGGGGGTTTAAATTTTGAATTGGGATTTGAATAGTAAAAATTTTGAATTTGAATAGTTATATAATGTGATATAAATAGACGTTGATGTAATATTTTGAATGTAAAATTGATTTTTAGTATAATATAAAAAATGAAAAATAGGTGCTTATTTTTGGCTGAAAAAAAATAAAAATGAGATGAATAATGTATTTAAAATCTAATCCTCCAAACAAACACAACCTTAATTGAAAATTGATATTTAGTTTGAAACGTGTTTAAATAGAAATTTTAGAAATATTTCAAATAATTTTTAAAATGATAATAATTGATGTTGATTGATGATCTTATATAATTTTTTTTTTGATATAATATATTCTATAAAAATAAAATAAATTTTGTATAATAATATTTTAAAATGATATATAAATACAAAAATGGCTAATATACATATTATTTATACAAAATAAATTTTGTATAATACAATAAGATACAATATTAATTTATTATTCATACAAATTAATTTAAATCAAACTACATATAATTATATTTATATAATATTTATATAATAATATTATTATTACTAATGAATGGTGGGTTAAGTGAGTCCCCTTTCACTCGATGCTTGTTTACTTGTATAATTTTGATTTTGGATTTTAGTTTTGAATAGTAAAATTTTGAATTAAAATAATTATTTAATGTAATATAAATATAATCAAGAAGAGCAACTGTATTTGTTTGTTTTGTGTTTTGATATATATATATTTTTAATGTGAAATATAAAAATCGTGTAAATAATATAAAAATAAAGAAAGTAAATAATATATTAATTTTTTTTTTAAAAAAAAATATGTTTGAAAAATTTTATACAAAGAACAAAGCCAAAATTGCAAACTTTGAAATGCTTGATTATTGATGAAGAATGCAAAAGGTGTCCAGGAAATATTGAAAGAATACAAATAAATTCTAATAATTAAACTAATAAAGATAAATTAATGCAATGCAGATACTAACTTTAAATTAATATTTAAAAAATTGGAGAAATAATTAATTAATATAATGAATTAATAAATAAATGCAGAAACTCACATTATCATGCAGATTCAACTTAGCAATATATATTTGTACATAATTATAATTCTATAACAAAATCAATATATGATATAACTTAAATATATTTTTGAACTAAAAAAAGTACCAGTATATAATTAGATTAGTATAATTAATTAATGCTTCGTTAATCCCAATTGAAAATACTTTTTTATTATTTTCGTCAATTTAATTCAAAATATTTATAAAAATAATAACCCAAAAGTACTAAGATATATATATTTTTTTAAATTTATCATTATACATACAATTTATAAGAATAAAAATATCAAAAGTATTTTATACATTTAAACTAACGAATAAAATATTATTATCTTTTAATATAACAAAATACTCCAAATGGCCATTTGGATCGGAACTTACGAAATAATATAACTAAATTTGTTATAAATTATGAAAAAACCTAACAAACTTATCTATAATAGTGCATTTAAAATTATATAAATCATATGTATTATTTATTAATTATTTTAGATAAATAGTACAACAATAATATTTCAAAAGTAAATTATATATATATAAATATTCCGTATAAAATCAATTCGATTTTCTGATTAAAAATACAAAAATTACACAATAAAAAAACTAATCCCACAATTTTTTATTAATTTGTATTTCCAAATTTTAAGTATATTTTATTATTTAATATAATTTTATATTATTCATATTGAATTAAAAATCATCATTATATTTTATTCAATAAATTAAATTATTTTTTAAAGTTTATATTTTTAATAAAATCAATTCTTTTTTGTATCTCTCGAATTCAAATAACCGAAAGTAGCCAACAAATCAGGAAGAAAAAATCCGTGAAATCAAAGAGGAAAAAAAGATTATCAATCACATAAATTAAATAGATGAAACAAATTAATCTTCTTGAAAATAGGTGAATATAAGTGAATAGTCGAATTTGTTAACAAATGATAAAGTCAGCACCAACTCGCCCGATTTACTTTACGACTTTTTGACACATACGCGGGTTCAAGTTTCTCAATTTCACCGCTGCTTCAATATTATACTTGCTTTGTCTCCATTGATAGTTTCTCCATGTCATCGTTGCTTCAATATTATACTTGCTTTGTCTCTGTTGATAAAACTATGGTATGGAAAATTTTCATTGATAATTTTTATGAATTTTAAAATAAAAAGAAGCAATTTTTTATTTTTTTTGTTTTTCTAATATTTCTTTATTTACACAATATATATATATATATTAGATTTTTTCCATTATTCAGATTTTAAAAAATTAAAAAATTATAATTTTTTAAAATTTTTAAATTTTTAAATTTTTAAATTCTCTATATAAAGAGTAACCCTTTTCTGTAAAGTATTTGTTTATATTTTTATTAAATTAGTGCTCTCAATTGGTAAAGAAATAACATTTATTATTGATTATATATATATATATATTTATTTATTTCAAGTGTGGAGGAATTCTTTAAATATATAAAGTCGTTATATCTCAGACTTGAGAGATGATTTTTATATACCACAGAATGGTGTGGTGATTCACTATCTCAAATTTTTTGTTTTTCATTTTCTTTAGAATTTTTGTAATTTTTTTATAATAAAGTTTTACAGTCTTTATCTACACATTTTTAATATAGAGAAGTTTTTTATTATTTTTATCTAATTTTTTTTAGAATAAAGGTAGTTTAAAAAATATTGTTGTTAGTGGAAAATTTTCTCAAAATTTTTAAAATATGGGTAATTTAAGAAATAATGATATTAATAGATTTTTTTTAAAAAAAAATTATTGTATATATATATTCAATAGCTTTTAGTTATTTGATGAGGTTGATTAAATGTTCGAAAAATGAGGTTTTTTGTACAGAATTCGTCAGAACCTAAAAATTAATTTTCAAGAAATTATATCAACTAAAATTTCACTGTATTTTTTTTCATTTTAATTTATTTTATTCATTATTTGTCCTTGAATACTAGTCCTCTCTTTTATACACATTAGTAATTTTTTTAGCATTATTTAATATTAATTTAATATATTTCATTTTTTTAAAAGTTATAATTTTACTTTTATAAATTTAAAATAATTAAATTATTACTTTTGTTTACATAAATATTATAATTCGATGAACTCAGTTATATATACAGTAAAATTAAAAAAATAGATTTATGGTTAAAAAGTAAAAATAAAAGTGATAGAATAAAAATAAATTTACACACAAATAACAAATCATAACAGAATTATCGATGATAATCTATAAATAATCAAATAACAAAAAGTAGGGGTTATAGACTAATTAAGTTTATTTATTAGGGATTGACACCCAATTTATTATATTGATATGAATTTTAATTCAACTTTTTTTTCTTTTATTTTATTTATTTATTTATTTATTTTTGACAAATGATTGATATTAAATGATTTATATGTTATATATATATATCATTGATCAACTATGTAGTCGGGTAGAAAATCACTCGTTTGATTAAGTGGCTTGGTTTTGCTATGTCTCATATTACGTAATTGCAACCTTATCTTAGACAAAATCGGGCGGGCCAGCCCTTTTATTATTTTTTAAATATTTATTATAATATAATCAAAAAAAAAAGTTTTTTTTTTGGCTTCTAACAAATGATACATTTGATTAAAGATATTTTTTTTATATATATTTGATTACAAATACTTTTTTATGTAACGAATACTGTTAGTAATTTTAAAATAAAAATTAATATATATAATTAAAAAAAATTTAGATTGCGTATTTAAATATTTTAAAAAGTATATCTCAATAAAAATATATGTAATATAAATATTATTTTATAGATAATAAAATTTTATATAATATAAATAAATTAATATATATTTTATTTATTTATAATTAATATAAATTAATTTTATAAAAGTTAAAGGGTTTTAAATGTAGATAAAAATATTTATTTATTGAAGAAAGAAATGTAAATAAAAGTTTTGAATTGATCATACATTATGCGTGATGTTATATATAATAAAATTGATTAATATTTGCTAAATATATTTTAAATTAGTAAATTTTAACAAATATAAAAAAATATTATTTATTATAAAATATACTATAATAAAAATGATAATATCTTTCTTATACGACAGGATTGAGGAGGGAATTCAAACAAATGTAAAGATTCAAACCTAAACCTCCATTCAAACCTTTGTAAATCAAGCAGTGAGATATCTCTCGCTTGAGGGTTGAGTCCCAAGTTCGATCCTGGGTGGGTGCGTGTGTGCCTTATTTTTATTTTTTTAAAAAAAAATGATAAAATATAAATATTTTTATATTTATGTGGAATGTAACTATACTAAAAAAAATGATATAAGAAGATTTGAGTGAACATGCTGCAATAAGAAAAATTAAATTTTTTTGAATGTACGGAAGACTATATATAAAATCAAGCCAGGCCAAGTCATACACGCCCGATCATAACAGTTTATTAATCATGTTGAGCCAGTACAGTTTAAAAATTTTCGAGTCTATTTTTTAAATCAAATACAATTTTTTTTTAATGCTGTATTTAAACTGAATATTTAAACCATGCATCTTTTTGCCAGTTCTACTGGGCATAATACATGTGTTTGTTGAATGGAGAAAAAAACAAGTCGTATTTGTATTGTTTATAAATAATACTCTATTTATCTGCAAATGAATTTACAAAATTTTAATTCAAACTAATACTCTATTTATTTGCATGATTTTAATAAGATATTATATCAAAATACTATTTAATCAAAAATTAAATCAACACTTTGTTTCAAATATCAACCAAATAAACTATATATATAAATATATATATTCTTTATTAACTTTTTAGGCATTTCAAATCACAACCAAACAGACTATATATATATTTTTTTTTATTTATTATCTTCTTAGACATTTCAAATCACAATCAAACAAACTAGGTATGTTTGTTTGGAGGTTTGGATTTTGAGGTGTGATTTGAATAGTAAAAATTTTGAATTTGAATAGTTGTTTGATGTGATATAAATAAGTGTTGATGTGATATTTTGAATGTAAAATTAATTTTTAATATAATATAAAAAATAAAAAATAAGTGTTTGATTTAATATTTAAAAGAAAATAGAATAAATAGTGGATTTAAAATTCAATTTCCCAAACAAACACACCCTTAGTCTCAATTCAAACTAGTTTTTTTACCATTTTAGTATATCTCGTATATTACAGTAAAAATAATTATACATTAATATTAAAATACTCTTAATTTTCACGTAAATTACAAACATACAATTAATTAATTTATATATAAAATTAAAAACAAAAATATTAAAAAAAAAAAAACTCTTACATTTTTATTAACCTATAAAATATTAATAATTTTTTTGAATCTATTACTTTTCTTTTAGAATAGGACTGACCGAGTATTTTTTCTTTATTATCTTTTTAGGCGTACGAAGGATTTCTCAACCAATCCCTCGTCTTGGTCTTGTCACCAATCAAGATATAAAAACACAGTTCATAAATTACTCATAAACTTATTTGCGGCAATTTTTTCTACAATACACTATTTATCTAATTTTTTCTTTAAAAAAATATCAAATTAAAAACTTGTTTTTTATTTTTATATATTATACTAAAAATTAATTTAACATTCAAAAGATCATCGTAATATAATTATTCAAATTCAATTTTTTTACTTTTCAAACGAATCCAAAAATTAATTTTTATTATAAATAATTATTGATATAAATAGATGTTGATGTGATATAAATAAGTATTTATGTGATGTTTTGAATGTAAAATTGATTTTTTAGTATAATATAAAAAATAAAAAATAATTTGATATTTTTGAAGAAAAAAATTAAATTCGAAGAATACTTTTCAAAATACTCCATCGATACTTCGAACCAAAAAGTAGTAACTACTAAGATCTTTTCAAAATACACTGTCCTAATACTTGCATATACCAAATGGATCTTCAATAATAAAAACCTATTCTTTGACAATCCCTCTATCACATACCTGTTCTTACTTCATCGTCAACCAAATTGATTGAATGCTTGTCTCCCCCAAGAGGGCTGATTCTGACCTCCCCAAACCATTCCATCATCGACGGCGGCAGAAGACGATGATGCCAGATCTGGACCGCTGCAAATCATCGGAAAAGACAGATCAGGCCCGCTGCAATTCATCGGATAATTATTGATCGCAGAACCCGACAATGGCTGATTAGGGTTTTCCAAGATCATCGGATTTCGATTATTGATTGCAGAAGAAGACGCCGACAGCCAATTATGCTTTCTCCCATATTGTAATAATTCTTTATGTTCTTGAAGGTTCCCATCAATGGCGGGGCAGTTGACCATCCCTTCAAGTCCAAACCCTCCATAGCTGTAAGGAACTTGGCCCTGCAACAATGGCGGATTCCCAATTCCATCTTCCTTGATCTCACGATTATCATCAAAATCAAGATCAAAATCAAATCCAAATCCGCCATTGCTCATCATCAATTGAAGCTTCCTCAATTTCACACACCGAATCTTCTCCTCCAAAGCATCCGTCATTCCTCTCAGCTCTCCTTCCGACAGCCCGTTGAAGGAATCACTCCAAGTCGGGTACTTCTTCCTTACAGTCGCGAGTTCTTCTCCTTCCTCCATTTTTGTCTGGAAGAAATCTGTCAGCCCAAACGTTGTCTTCCTACAAGTGTATTGCTGGCTGTTGCTCTCCATCGCCGCCTTGTACTTTCCGACCAACCGCCGGATCTCCTCGGAATCGCCACGTGGCCAAATCTCCGGCTCCGGCCGATCTGGACCGTAGATTACAGCGCAGCCACTGACGTTGCAGAGAATGGTGAGTTCTTTCATCTTCTTCAGTAAACCCTCCTTCCTCCTCTTGAACATGTTGTTCCTTGATTTCACATCCTCGATAAACTTCATGTTTAATTTTGCTCTACCCATCTTGAATTGGATATGAACTTACTACATGCAAACTAAATTAATTACCATTACTTAGAACTTATTAATTTATATGTGAATTTTTTTTTTATTTATGGAAGTATTGTATATTTTTAATATTTACATGGATTCGTTTTTTGTATTTTATGGAAAGTTTTTATTTTTAATTCCTTAATTAACATTAAGGATTAGATTTTATTTCCTAAATTGAGATTTGCTTACCATTATTATTATTATTATTATTATTATTAGTTTAAGTTTGTTTGTTTGCTTTTTTTTTTTTTTTTAAGGATTTGTTATTTTGTAATTTTAAACTAAAATTAATGTTTTACTATTTATTCGATATGATTTTCAATAAAAATATGTACTTTTTTTTTAATAAAATTTTACATTAAAATACTATTTATTAAATACAAATTTAAATAAGCAATTCACTTCAAATTAATTTTAAATTACAATCAAACAAACCCAAAATAATTGGTAAGTTTGATAGTATTATTTATACAAAAAATAAAAATATTATTGTTGAATGTATTCTTTAAAGAAAAACTTATAAATTGAAAATTTTAATACAATAAAATTTAAAGTAGCCTAAATTTGATTGATGCTTACATACTTTACAAAAGCTAATGTTAGTGTTTGGTTTTTACTTATAAAAAAAACTTTATAAATGTTTATATTGATTTTTGTTTCAAAAAAAAAAAAAAAAAAATTGAAATTTAAAAGTGTTTTTTTTAGAAGCATATTAGGGATAATTTCTAAAAACCACTTCATGTTTAATTTTGCTCGTCCCATCTTGAATTCGATCGACTGATATAAAAGATACGATTCTACGGTACTACATATTATTACTTAGAACTTACTAATTTATATGTGAATTTTATTTCTTATATTTATGGAAGTATTGTATGTATTTAATATTTAGATTGATTCTTTGTTTATATTTTATGGAAAGTTTTATATTATCATTATTTAACTTAAGGATTAGATTTTATTTCCTAAAATCAAGATTTGTTTGCCGTTATTTATTATTTCATTATTATTTATTATTATTATTTGTTTTTTAAACTAAAATTAATATTATTTATTTGATATAATTTTTAATAATAATAATAATAATAATAATAATAATAATAATAATAATAATAATAATGTACACTTTTCTCACAAAATATTATATTAAAATACTGTTCACTTGGTGTTTTAAATGAATGTATTTTTTATGCTAAATATGAAAATTACACCAATAATATAAAAAAAATACTTTGTATTATTGTTAACCTTTTGTGAAAATATAGTAAATATTATATATTGTGTTAATGTATGTATATATTATATTTTTGTACTCCCTCCACCAATTTTATATGTATTTCTTTTGTAATTTACAAAGTAAATGAATATAAATTTAACATATGAAAAGAGTAATATTTATGAGAACAGTACCACCAAGAAAAATTTGGATGAATAAATTTATTATTTAAATAAAATTTCAAATAAACTTCATTTCAAATCACATTAAAATAAACTCAAAATAATTGGTAAGTTTGATATATTGTGTATATAAAAAATTATTATTGTTGAATGTTTTTTTTAAAATAAAACTTACAAATTTGAAAATTTTAATAAAATAAAGTATATAACGAAAATTTGATTGATACTTATATACTTTAAAAAGCTAATGTTATTTCGACTTGTATTTATATTTATATTTGTATTTTTATTTTTTTTTTGGTTGTATTTGATGCAATGTTATGTGATAATTAAGATAGTGTGACCATTGATTTTTACCAAACACTTTGATTTTTATTTTTATAAAAAATACTTTATAAGTATTTATATTGATTTTTGTCCAAAAATAAAAATAATTTTTGAAATTTAAAAGTATGTTTAGGGATAGCTTCTAAAAAAATAGAAACACTTTTAAATTAAATTAAATAGTTGTTTTGTCTATAATAATAATAATAATAATAATAATAATAATAATATGAAATAATAATAAATATAATATAAAAATAATAAATTGTACATTATGTTTAAATTAATATTTAAAATTTAAAATTATAATTGAAATATTAAATTAAAAAAATATATTTTTTTAACTAGATAATTTAAAATTATTAAATAAATAAAATTTGTTTATCCAACTATTTTTTAAAATAATTTTTAATATATATAATATATTATATTTTATTATCACACTAAAAATTAATATTTAAATAAATATTATAGTAATTTTTATATATATAGTTTTTTATATTTCAAATAAAAAATATACTTCAAACTAAAATACTAAACAAATAAATCATTAGTTGTTTTTAGTTTAGTTTATTACTCCTTCCGTCCCATTCCGGGTGCTACACCGTAGACACGGTATTTTATGAGGGATATAATTAGTAGATAATTAAAAATATATTAGTGTAAATAATTATCCTATAATATAAATAATTATAAATTAAGAACGGAGGGAATATTTTTTTTAAGATATAATCCACACACTTTCAAAAAATAAAATATATTTATCACTTCTTACAAAATATACAAGCTTATTATGCTACACTTACCAAGACAAATAAATTTTAAAAAATGAAAAAGAAATATTATTTTTAGGTTAATAATTTTTGAAATAAATGTTTTGCATCATAAAAAAAAAAAAAAATTGTATACTTTCAGTGAAAATTATACATTTAGAAATTTAAAAGAAAAAGAAAAGTAAATATAGGTTTATAATTTTTTGAGGAAATATTTTGAATAATTTAAAAAAAAAAATGCATACTTTTAGTAAAAATTATACATTTAGAAATTTAAAAGAAAAAGAAAAGTAAATATAAAATTATTAACCTAAAAATAATGAAAATTAAATTATAAAAGAGGAACAGGTATATTTATTTTGTGAAATTATTATTAAAAAATATTTTTATATAAAATATAAAAAATTATATAAAAATATAAAAAATAATAAATATATATACAATTTATTAATATTTTAAAAATAAGATATATATATATATAAAATATGGAAAGAATAAAACTGTAAATTCTGAAATAATATTTTATTTTATTTTATTTTATTTTTAGTGCCAAAAGCTCTGACCACATACATTTATTTAAAAACCGAGCAAATTCAGTAAAATCACTGTGAGTTCCACGTGACCGTTGAGGCTTGAGATGCTGGGCCCCAATATATCTGTTCTGTTCTAAACAGGTTGAAGAAGAGCTAACTCCAAATGGAATTTGTGGCTCCTTCTCTTCCACTCTAAATACCAGATTTTCACTCAACCCACATTCCGGGAGCCGAGCCGACCCAACGCCGAATCTCTTCAGCTTCAATGCCTTCTCTTGCTATTTGATAAGGTATCGTACAACTTCTCCTTTATCAAAGACAAGGGTGCTGGATGCTATGGCTATGGCGTCTTCCTATATTCCCAAGGTTAGTGTAGTTTTTCTTGACAATTTCGGTAATTCAATACTTCTTTTGACTCATTACTTTCAGCGTTAAGTTGAGACTGTAGCCGATAGGCTTTGAATTTCTGTTTAATTGAACTTCGCTCTTTCCATCTGAGCAGGTGGAACGAGGTGAAACTAATTGTAGATGATGTATATAAATTATCTTGCTGTAGTGTCTATTTGCTTTTTCTTTCGCTCTTTGTACTCTAGAAATTTTGCCTGCAGCGGTAGAGTTGAGCAGCTCTTATTCTGAATCACCTTTATTGAAAATTAAGAGCAGTTTTGAGCAACCGAACTTATGTATGAAGTTGGATGGTTCTCTGTTTCTTCGCTGAGGCTCTTGTTGTTTTACCTGTTGGCAGTATATGATTCCTGCAATTTTCGGAGATCTTTTGTTTTGAAGTGGAATAATTTTTTTAATAATATATGAAATAAAGGATAATCATGTGACGTAGGTGTGTTCAAGGTGCAGTTATACTAATGGAGAATAGGAGTTTGTTATCATTAGATATTTTACCTAGAGGAGATACTTTGCATAGAGATTTACATCTTGATAATTGGAAAGATCTTATGATGTAGCTGTTGACAGATCTCCATTTTTTTCCCCTCTAGATCATAGTACATGTTTATATCCTCGACTATATGCAGGTTGTAACTTGTAAGCTTTAATATATCGCTTATACACATATTCAATAATTCATTTTCTTTTATCTTATCAATCCTCTCTTGATGCAGGGTTATGGCATTATTATAGAGAGTAGCTCCCATGGAATTATTTCTTCTGCTTCACGTTCATGTCCATGTTATCTTACTGTCTTATGTGCTTACAACCACTCTAAATGCCTGCCATCCCTTTCCTTGCGCCACAGAATTAACTATCATCTCCTGTACAGAACAAACTACACTAGTAAGCCGTCACCATTTTCACCTTACTTTGCATCTGGCGGAGAAGGGAGATTCCGTCTTAAATGCAGACATACCAAGCTTGCCATATTCAAGATACAAGCATCAGTGGATGTTGCCACTCCTGTTGAAGTTATCAATGACTTGGGCTTGGACACTTTAACATTTTTAGCTGTAACTGTATTGGTGGTTCCTGCTTTCAAAACAATCAAGGCTAGCCCTGTACGTATCCATTAGAATATTCATGAGATTACATTCTTAATTTTACTTTGAGATTTTTTGTGTCCACACCTTCATGTGAGGTTTCTCAATGTAATAAAGGTCTTTGACATGATCATGTGAACAGTAACTCCTCCAAAGTTTGAATGGAACTAGGATCCTCAAAGTAACCTTGTTTAATATGTTAACTTGATTTCCTACAGATGCCATCAGGTTTCTTTGATTTCTATAGATGTCAGCGGTTGAACTTGATTAATTTAACTGCCATGATAGCTTTCTTTCTTTGTTGGCTGTGCATATATGCTAGTAGATTGATATTCATTTTATGATTTGAGAAACTAAAAAAACTCATGCATATTTAATTGGCCACATTTGTTTATTCATATCCAACTGCTGCTAATTCATGTAGTTGCTGTTTCAGATCCTAGGTTTCTTCTTTGCAGGAGTTGTTCTCAATCAATTGGGTCTGATTAGAAATCTTATAGATGTTAAAATTCTCTCTGAGTGGGGAATCCTGTTCTTGGTAAGTTCAATGAATGTTTTTGGCTTTTCATTCCCTGATATTCTTACCCTAGAAAAGAGTATTGTTCAAGTAACCACCAAAATTTATCATTCTTTATTTAGCATCTCAAATGAAAACCTTGGAAAGTGGATTGAGACCTTGAATTTTTTTAAAATATGCTTTTCATCATGTTCTATTTGGTACAAGAAGCTATAATTTTCTATTATGTTACTAAAATAAAATCATACATTGATCCAAAGAAATCATTTAATCCCTTGGATGATTAGCATGCCAACAGTGTGGCTGAAAGAATTTTCTGGAAGGATAAAAGGCAAATCCTTTGAAAAGCTTCTAGATTACAGTAAATACCTCTCCCATTCTAGTTGTGACTAATGATTTAAAAGTTCCTGAGAGTTAGAATGTTAGTCTTGCACATCTTGTGTTCTATTGTCATCTTTTTTCAATTTCCTTACAGGCCAATTAATTTTGATGTGTCATGATTAATCTTATTATTTTATGAGTTGAATCTGTCCTTTGTGAAAAAGCATCAAATATTGTCTTCTTATGTCATAAAATCATGCAGTTATTTGAGATGGGTCTGGAGCTCTCACTCGCTCGCTTGAGGGCACTTGCTAAATTTGCCTTTGGGCTTGGGCTCACTCAGGTATATCTTGAAAAGGTTTTTTGTTTTCCTTTCTGCTTCTTTGTTCTTCTTCTCTTTGTTGTTGTTTGCTTGTTTGTTTAGTTTTTTCCTATTGGTTTGTGGAAATGATGAAGTTTTTACTGGTGCAAATATGATAAAGCAGGGATATAACTTTAAGACATTAAATGAAGATATATTATTCTTTATTACCTAGAAGTAAAATCTAGATGTTGGATGGGACATATTCCCTTTTCATCTGTAGTATCGAATGCCATTCTGACCTCATTCATAACATATGCAAGGTATTGTTTATCCTCTGACTGCTTTTGTTTGGTTTTCTCAATTAAAGGTGATATTATCTACTCTTGCCTTTACTGCATTTGAGCTTCCACCAAATAATGCTCTTGGAACAAGAATATTGGAGTTTCTATTCCACTCAAGACCTGACTTGGTGAGTCAGTTTTTGTACAAGCGAAATTGTTCAAGTTACAGGTCATTTGTCACAGGAAGAGAGAATCTAAGAGTAGATAATATAAGACTAATTGGATTCCAATTTTCATTGCCAGTGTGATGCACACTCGCTATGTTAAGGTACTGAATGTGAGAAGTTGAATCTTGAAAATATTCTAAATAGTGGTTTTTGCTTAAACTGGTCTCTCTTTCCTGGAGTATCATTTTTTTTTTTTTTTTTAACGTCTTTTCCAGAGGATCTTAGTAAAGCATCCATTGGTTGTATGGTTGTTTCAGTCTTGTGGGATCTTACTCATGCATTAAATTTTTTATTGGGGGTGAATTACTATGTCAATAATTATGTTATTTTAATTTCATATACACGCCCTAAACCATTCTCAATGTGATGTAGACATGTTATGAGTTGGACCCATCAACTGTGTGTTTGATGGATCCATTTGAGTTTCACCATGCAGCTTCCAATAAAGTAATTTCTATCTTAAAGTGATTGAACATATTTATTTCAGTGATAAAATATTCATGAATGATGGATCACAGTAAAAATGCTACCTTTTACACTACTACTTAATAGTCAAAGGCAACTATGAATTGCTGTCCTGTTCACCACAAACTGGTCAATGTTCATTTAATTTAAAAGGAAGGCGGAATATTTTGATGCACATACATCTCATAAGACAGTGGTCCTGATAATATAATTCCTAATAAATTCCTGGTCACTGATGAGAGCGTCAATGAGAACTATGATCTCTTGTTCTTACAATGCTTAGTCTAAAAGAAATTCAAAAGACTACTTGAAGGGAAGTTTGAAATAATTATTTGATATTGGTCCTATGCAAAATGGCCTGCCTTCTATTTTATATGCTCAATTTAATACTATCCATTATGTCATTACTGACTTTTAATTTTGTCAAAAATTGCAGGTCAATATCCGAAGCATTGATGAAGCTGTGGTAATAGGTGCTGCTCTTTCCTTGTCATCCTCAGCATTTGTCCTTCAGGTACTTCAGTCAGACTAGTTCTTGGTTACATAAGAGAGCTATAGAAATTGGAAGGAGATAAACTGTATTATCTTGAATTGAACCTTTACAACAATATTACATGAATGTATATAGGAAACTGAAAGAGAGATTAGAAGAAGAGAAACAACATAGATGGAGAAACTGAAACAAAAAGACCAGGAAGACTACATGAACAAACACTATAAATATCAAACACTCCCCCTCAAGTTGAAGCATATATATCATAAGCTCAAGTTCTCACATATGTATCACAGTCGTGAACCCCCTAAGCATTTGTGTAGATACATGTTCTCCCCCTCAAGTTGAAGCATATATATCATAAGCTCAAGTTCTCACATATGTATCACAGTCGTGAACCCCCTAAGCATTTGTGTAGATACATGTTTTGGAAGTTTGTTAGAGTTTAGGAAAGTTTTTTGGAATAGTAAAAAATTGAGTAAAAAATAGGTACTTGATGTGATGTAAGTGTTGGATGCTATGTTTTGTAAACAAAATAGGTTTCTGATATTGTATTTTAAATTAATAATAGTTATTTGATATGATATATCATAGAGAGAATTTTTATAAATAGTGCCAAATATGTTTGAAACATATGTAAACAGAGCCTTGGTTTTGGGACTAGATGTAGGGAACTTGGATGACAAATGTAATTTCTCCCACATAATATGACAACCCATTTCAATCTGGTTAGTTCTTCGACAAATGATCATATTGGAGGCAATATGTGCAACTTAATGGTAGCACATTAGTTCTATAGGAAATGAATGCTAATAACACATTTCAGCTGGAAGAATTTTTTATCATGGTACATTTTGTAGAACTTTTGAAATTCTGATTTTCTTTTTTCTTTTTTTTTTTTTATTAATAATGAAATCAGAATCTATTTATGGACATGATACAAACCAGATATACACAAATAATAACAATCCAATCTAAGATAATAGTGACCTAATCTAAACAATAAATCACTTATTAGAGTTGGTGTCAGAGTTCTCAATGAAATTAGAGTTGGGGGTAAGGGATCTAAATGGAATCAGAGTCGGTATTAGGCCTTCAGAGTTGGATGCCCCTTGACAATGACTTATTAATTTCACCTTTTATTCTCTTTCTCGCAATGTTCCTTCGACTCCAAATACTACAAGTTCTTCTCCTAAGATTGTTGTTGATATGGACCATAAGAAGTACAGTATTTTGAAGTGGACCATCAAAGACATGTTGGAACTTGGAAATATCGGGCGGAGTAACAATTAAATAATGTGATTTTCCAACATGTCTTCGATGGTCCACTTCAAAATACTGGAGACCTTATATTTTGGGAAAAGCAAGAAACAAACTGTGGGTGTCTTTTCTCTTTTATGCCTCTGAGTCTTTTCAATCCCTTTTGAATGTCTCTATTCACACATATTATGTATATATTCATTGTATTGTAAACATGCAAAGTGTTATATAATCTTCTCTTTCAATTTCCACGTGAACCATCTCCTTCTTAAAATCTCTAGAGATATGTTCCTATTGAAATCATCTGTCCAGGTGGATCCTCAAAATGAGTTTGGTATGTTATTACCCACATATAGTGACACAAAAGAAAAGTAACAAATGAAACTACCTTGAATTGGTAAATCCGGGGAACTAAAATAAAGATGCATGCACATGCTCTGCACTTCCTCTTTGGAACTCCTGGCCCTTGGCTTGAGTGATTGGTTCTATCAGGAGTTGAATCGGGTTTTTCTTCTGTATCTCCACAATCGATGATGTATTAAAGTAGCCTTGATTGATCTCCAAGAGTCAAGCGTAATGTGCTAACATGTAATCTGTAGCTTCTTGCAGAAAAAGGGGAACTCCCGACTAGATTTGGCTCAGCGACTTTAGGGATACTTTTATTACAGGTATATGTTTTTTGTTTATCCTAATGTTTTCAATATATCCATCTTCATGTTCCTTGATTCTGGTGGCGATGATCATGAACTTTCAATCAAAATGTACATGAACCGTCAATCAGAATGTATGAAGCAATGACATATTTTTAGACTGCTCTACAACTGACATTTGCAGGATATTGCAGTCGTCCCGCTTCTTGTGATATTGCCAGTTTTGGAGAGCCAGGTATGTTAGAAATATTAAGACAGTACATTGTATATTTTAGAGGCAAGTATGTTTTGGATCTTTCCGTCGTGCTTCAGATTTTTTTTTCTTTTTTCTTTTCTTTTCACTCTTTCAATCATTGTGACTATAGTTTTGTTCTAAAATTCCCCATAACCCAATATCAAATCAAAACATTTATTTTTTATTTTTTATATTATGCTAAAAATCTATTTATATTACATTATATAATGATTTCAATTTAAAATTTTTACCGCAAACTCAAAATTTAAACCCCCAAACAAACACGACCTTTCTTTCCCACCAATAAATAAATAAATACTAGTTTCGGGAGATTAGTTTTTAGTTCATTTAGAAATACAATAAATGTCGTTGCAAAATTACTTTATATAGGATAAACTGTTTTATTATTATTTTAAGACTTTAGATGACCTCGTCTAAAAATAGTTGTGCAAGTAAAATATTTTTGCTAAAGTCTTCCAGTGCCTGATTTGCCACCATTTCTCTTAGTCATGTGCATGACTAAGCATCACATTTTCTTCTGTTTTCCCGTTGCCTTTCGTTGCATGCTTGCCTTGAATTTTACTTCAAATAGCATAAAATCAATAAAAATCTATTCAAAGCATCAATATATAAGTATCAAAAGTGCATGCAGAATATAATTTACCAAAGAGTCACATGGAGACAAAGAACTAAATCAGCACATTTACCCCAAGTAATATATTTGGTTGGGTGAGTCAGATAATTTAACTATCCAACTAACCTTCTATATCGTGCAACCTACTTCCATGTTCAGGAAACAACTTTATATTTGCATCTATAGAAGAATCCACATTCTTACACACTGTCATGATTGTTTCTTCTGGCATATCAAGTATGTACTTTGTGATAGAATTAAACCATCTTTTGATCGAGCAATCTCAATCCGTAAGTAATACCATAGTGGTCCTAAATCCTTAGTCTAAAATTGTTTGTGCAGGTGCTCCTTTAAACGTGTGATGTCATTTACATCATCCCCAATTATGACAATATCAATAACATAGACAACCAAATAGACTCATCATCCTTTGGAGGCATGCTTATAGAATACAATGTTATAAGACAGATATTGTATCATTCTAAATTGGTGAAAAACAAGATGGAATTCTTCAAACCATGCATTTTTATTTCGAAACCTAAATAAAACTACCTGATTAACCTGATCCACCTAGCCCTGTCTGGATACCATGCGGAATGTAATTCAATGTGTATTAATCAAGATTAAGGTACCTATATTTATACAGTTACTCAATTAGAGGTTTGTGATTGTGAGTCAAATCTACCAACAAATGATACAATATTATTGGGGGTAATTACTATTTCTGATATATGTGTGTGTTTGTTGAAGTAACGTTTCTGCAAGCAGTATTATTCACATGTGTGTTTTCTACAGGAGCGTTGGGTTCCTATAGAAGGCTACTTTTTTATTCAAATATAATAGCTTATCTGAAAATTGGTTTTGTAAGAAGCTATGTATGATGTGGCTATCAGCATGCACTGAAATGATTTCCTGAATATCATTATTCCTCCATAATAGTTCCCAAGTAAAACATCAATTGCCCATTCCACTAGAACCATTTTTTTTGTGAATTTGGGGTTCTTCTTGTGAAAGAATGATCTGAAGAAGCCGACCACTGCTGTTGCTTCTACTTGACTTCTAATACAGATTTAACATCTACTATCTGCAGAATTTGGTCGAAGAAAGTGTTTGGCCAATGCTTGTACAAGAAAGTTTAAAAGCTTTACTTGGATTAGGCCTGCTTTCTCTTGGAGGGAAATATTTTCTGAGGCGGGTTTTTGAGGTGCAAACCCTATATCCAAATGGTCACACCTTCATATATACTTCATGTCTGCCTAAAGATTAATTTTGGTAGCTAACTGCAGGTAGTTGCAGATGCAAGAAGTTCAGAAGCTTTTGTTGCTCTATGCTTGCTTACAGTTGCTGGGACATCACTTATAACACAGAAATTGGGCTTCAGTGATACGGTTGGATATAGTTTCTTTTTCCATAGATGTCTAATATGAATGCATAGCTATGGTTGATGCAAAATTATGTTTGTTTTATTTGTAGCTAGGAGCATTTCTGGCTGGGGCCCTTCTAGCAGAAACAAACTTCCGAACGCAGATTGAAGCTGATATTAGACCTTTTAGGGGTTTACTTCTTGGGCTATTTTTTGTGACAACTGGAACTTCAATTGATATGCAGGTACCATATATTCTGACATCATGTGAGTGTTTTCTATTTTATCTTATTAAGTTTTTCTCTGTTCCATGTCTATTTAACATGCACATGTCTTCATTATATGCAGCAACTTGTCTATGACCCTATTGCCTGCCTATTTTTATTTGAATTTTTCAGCCAGTAGTTCTCTTCTGGCAATTTATGTTTTTCACCTTGTCTTTGGTTCTATAGAGTTTATCATATCATTTATACCTACATTCATGTTATGCAGGTTCTTATTCGAGAGTGGCCAAATGTGTTCTCACTCTTAGCAGGGTTAATTGTTATTAAGACACTGATTATAACAGCAATAGGTCCAAGAGTTGGACTAACTCTCCAAGAGAGCATAAGAATAGGCTGGCTTCTCTCCCAGGGAGGTGAATTTGCCTTTGTGGTTTTTTCTTTGGCAAACAGGTATATTTTATTCTTTTGCTTAACCATGTGCCCTTGTTATTGTTAGCTTTCCTGTCACCAGCTAATATTATTTTTTGTTACAGGCTTGGAGTGCTACCACTTGAACTGAATAAACTACTTATAATTGTTGTTGTCCTGTCAATGGCTTTGACTCCTTTACTCAATGACATAGGGAGAAAGGTAGCAGATTTTGTTGGCGAGAAGTTTGGAGATGAGGCTGTAAGTTATTACAGAAGCACTCAATTTTCATAAACAGCTGTGTTAATGGTGGCATTCTAATGTGGCTTGAACTGATTAAAGTCAATCTGACTTCAAATATAATTAATTTTTATTTATTCCATCCAGGCGTGATATTGCTCTTACTTGGAGCAGTTAGTTAAATGATTAAGTTGAGTTGGAAAGTATCAGTTATTTTATTTTGTTTTGTTTATTAATACTACTTGCATTTTAAAATCACAAAGCTATTGTGATCCATGTAATTGAGCTAATGACCAAACTACCATTGTGATGCAGAAACTTGATGACTCTGTGAACTTTGATGTTAGTGACCCTGTTGTTATAGTTGGATTTGGGCAAAAGGCTCAGGTAAGACTGAATTATATTGAAGTGTTGCAATGAGCCAAAGTTAACCCATTTGGTTGCTGAGCCATTTCACATGCAGGTGCTTGCCAATTTCTTGTCCACTCCATTGGCTTCTGGGGTAGATGGCAGCGTTGGTGCAGGATGGCCATATGTTGCTTTTGACCTTGACCCTTCCGTTGTGAAGGTAAAAACTAAAATGCTTGCAAATGTGAGGAATACTCTTGTATTGTTGCTCGGGTCTAGGACTATGAAACGAACCTGTTGTCCTATTCTAGATATGACTACACCTGATATCACTAGTTTTAAGTTTAAGAAACTGGATAATGTTTAGTTTTTATGTGTAGAAATGAAGTTGCAATTCTGTCTGACCTGGCATCTCAAACTTTGATGGGTTTTGTGTATGTTAAGGTGTTTAATGAAACAGATAATCATTGGACCCAATAGTGCTTTTTGGGTGTGTGTTTTCCTTTGCAAGTATCCATCATGTAGGATATTATGCTTTCAACCCTTTTTTTTTTTTCCCAGAAGAGGAATCTTTTGTTGATTAACATATCTGATGTTATGGGTGTTTCAGTTATCTAGAAAACTAGGTTTCCCTGTTCTCTATGGTGATGGCTCCCGTCCGGCTGTTTTGCAATCTGCTGGTATCAATTCTCCGAAAGCTGTTATGATCATGTACACAGGGAAGCAGAGAACTATTGAGGCTGTTCAGAGGACCCGTTTGGCTTTTCCTGGGGTATTTTTTTTACCCTTCTCTCTTCCACTCTCTTTCCATTGCATGTTTGCATGTATGTCGATTTTTCATTTGGATCAATTTAATCAAGTGTCCAATGACACAAACCACCAATCCTACTTCAAAAGGACAATTAAGTGTGTGTTTGTTTGGAGGTTTGAGTTTTGGTTTGGGATTTTGAACAGTAAAAACTTTGAATTTGAATAGCCTTACGATTATATAAAATAAGTATTAATATGATGTTTTCAATGTAAAATTAATTTTTAGTATAAATAAAAAGTGAAAAATAAATGTTTAATTTAATATTTTTGGAGGAAATTTTTTTAATGAATAGTAAAAATTTAGAAAAGATTTATAGACGAACACACAATTAATGGAAAACTAAAGTGAAAGATCACATACCATTTTCATAATATGAGTTTAGTGCTTAGTTTCCCATATAATGTAGATATATGCATTATATATTAATAATATTTGTTTTTTTTCCAAAATTAGAACTGTTATGATTCTGGTTCTATTTCTTATGAACCATTTTGTATAAATGAGTTATTCTACTGTTCCAGTTCTGGATCCAAATTTTCTTTTCAGAATTGAAACTTGAAGTGTTATAGTTACAGTGGGTTCCCAGTTTCAAGTCGACTTGTCGCGGTGCCTATGTTATAACTTTGTATGGATGTAAACTTTGCAGATTCCCATATATGCTCGTGCTCAGGACATGAGACATTTGTTAGATCTGAAGAAAGCTGGTGCAACTGATGCCATTCTAGAAAATGCTGAGGTACTGCCGCCACAATTCATACAAAAAACTCCATTGAACAAATAAATAAATAAAATAAAATAAAATTGTTAAGCATTTTCACTCCCGCTGCTTTATATCTCTACAGACAAGTTTACAACTTGGCTCCAAGCTTCTTAAGGGGCTCGGTGTCATGTCAGATGACGTGAGTTTCCTGAGTCAAATAGTGAGAGATTCAATGGAATCGCAAGCTCAAGAAGCCTTATCAAAAACAGACGAGCAGGAATTGAATGTCATGAAGCCATTGAAGGTATTCAAATAGCGCCATTGTCTTTGCATATGGAAAGCAAATTCAGAAGAGTAAAATTTACGTCATCATTCTCTCGAGTTAATTTAATGATTGAAGTTATGCTTACTTTTATACAAAATTTCCTGCTCTCAGCAATTATCTCTCTCTTATTTTTATTGTCTATTTACCTATGTGTGCATGTAGTAACCAAGCTATTGTTATTTCGTAAAGGTGAGGGTTGCTGACATAATTGAGGAGCAAAATAACAACCAGCCACGAAAAATGAATGGAAACAGTACATTGAAGTTGTCGACAGCAGGAGTTGATGGATCTCTCTCCGGGCCTGGGATTGAGAACGACGAGGATGAGGCTAGAGGAGTGCTGTATTGTGAGATCGATGTAGAAAGACACACTGATGAAGGTGATGCTAGCGAGTAACCAGCCGAGTTGGCTTTTCTAATGAGGGGAGGAGGCTTCAAGGTAATTGGCTTTTCTTGATGCAATTTATGAGCATTGGATTCTATTGAATTTTGCTTATTATTACTATTGCATGTATATATGAAAATTGTGCAAATACATAACATAAGCAGGGGGGTGGTCTAAATGACAAATTCTAGTAACCACTGCTTGTACATACATACATACAGCCATTGTTTACTACATGGGACTAATTAATATTTGTATTATATTAATGGAGCTCATAGTTGGTACTTAGGGTGCCTGTGCTGGTTCCTCGAGCAATAACAATAACAATCGATATGTCTACATCGTACATAGAGCGTAAGTGATGACCCGATAGTGTGAAGGTCGAACTTGTGACCGTGAGATTATGAGTTCAAAACCCTGACACCTCAGATCACATGTCACACATGATTCGCTCGCCCAATGTGATTTTACCTGTCAGACCTAGTTTACAAAGTATTAGGTTTGGCCGAAGGTTTACCCAGTGCGCACTTTCGTCGGGTACAGCTGGGTTTATCTAGTATAACTTGTCTTGATGAAACTAATTTGCAAGAGTATTACTAAAATTGATTCAGAATTCTCACAATTATTGTACCTATGCAGTCGAAAGTGGGTTTCTTTGAAATCAATTAACTAACTATTCATTCAAATATAAAAATCCATAAGATGAGAGAAGTTTAGAAGATGTCATAATTTGCAGCAGCAACCACAAGTGCCCAACCCTACAAAAAGGGCAGAAACTAACTAACAAAACACAACCACCGAATTGAACAATAATACTCTTATATATATTTCAACACACTAGGGGAATATGTATGTATTTATTTTATGATGATTGTAGAATCTTCTTATAATCCATGAATGTTCCGTTGAAGGGATTCACCCTGCCTTCTGAGACAACCCATAGTTGATCCACACTTCCCGATATCAAATGTTCGTCGTGACTCACCTGCACACCCCCACCCGCCACAGTTTAATAATAACAATAATATATAATTATAATAATTAGTAATGTTAAGGGACAATACCATCAGAACTCCTCCTTGGAACAACACCAGACCTTGGATCAATGCCTCCACGGCGTCCAGATCCTGTCAATTGGTGGTTTTGTTATATACAAGATTCAATACAAAAACGACAGTTTCTTCAAGTAATTAATAGCAGCTTCCACAAAACAAGAAAATTCAATCCATGATCTATCACAATCCACTTATTATATATGCATTTCCTATAAAGATGTTAAAATCACAAAATAGAGGAACGAGAAAAACTCACAAGATGATTCGATGGCTCATCAAGAAGTAAAATATGAGGCTTTTTGAAAGTTATCTTGGCAAATGCAACCCTGCTTTTTTGACCACCTGGCATTTTGCTCAAAAACATATCAAATAAATTCCAACTCACCGAGCAGGCAGCTATAGAAGGCACAAGTAACAGAGTGACCTTACCTGATAATGTATACATTGGCTGTAGGGCAAGGTTCCCAGTTATTCCAAATGAACCTAAATGACTCCTTAGCTTCTGTTCCGGCACTCCCTGCACACCACAGAAGTAAGTATTTTCAAACTTCAAAGATACAAAACGACAACTGAAAATACATTCTCTAGGTAAAGACTAGTTCGATACCAAAATTTCCAAGGTAATCAACTATGGTATTTCTAGCTTTCTATCAGTATAAGTCCTTAGAAATAACCAAAATCTACAGAATCTAAATGTAGAATATAGTCTATGATCGCCAGTCTCGAAGTACTTGCTCTTAAATTCTACAGAATTAACTTAAAAGTTAACACGAGAGATGCTCAGATGTCCACTATTCATGCAACAACCAAATACAAATGCCACATGATATTGGAGCAGGACTTACTGGGAAGCAGCGCATCATGTAAAGAAGTGGATTCGAAGAGAGGTCTAGGCCATCAACATGGTGCTGATTAAATACAGCAATGCGAACCTGAAAGGCAAAAGGCAATACTTCACCATCAAGCAGAGAGGGTATTAATTTGACAATTTGCATGTCTACAGCTTGTCAACTGTTCAAATTGTTGGCTCTACTCAACACCATTTATTTTGAAAAATTTAAGCAGTCAGTTGCAAAACCTACAAACTATTATGTTTTAATCAATGCCTGATCTTGCCCAAGCCAGAAATATCCCCTTGAGTAATTGACAGAATAAAGAATCTGAAGTTAGTGGACCAATTGATGAAATTGGTCCAACTGAATAGAGTTTACAAGAAATCATGCATTATAAGGTGACAAACATTGGCTATACCTTTGCCGAACGGAATACTGTCCCGGAGGTTGGTTGAAGCTCCCCAGAAATAAGCTTGAGTATGGTTGACTTTCCAATACCATTTGGGCCAACCACTGCAAGGCAAGTATGCAAATATCGCCAGTTGGTATAAAGTGCATATAAGAAACTAACTCATAATTAATATGCATAATTGACAATCTCCCTAGGAAGCAAAAACTAGAGAAGCATAAGTAACACTAGACAGTAAAACAAAACCATTCAGTGCCTTCAGAAAAAATAAAAAGTAAAAAATAATTAATAAAAATCTTACTTGATACTCGGCTATCAAGATCAATTCCGAAATTCAGATTCTTAAACAATATTGGGCCCCCAGGATATCCAAAAGATGCATCACTGCCATGATTACAACCAATCAACCTCAGGAAGGTACACAGAAAAAAAGTAGAGTAATGTTGAAGAAATAGGTTCATCTGATTAAGCAGTGCAGATAATGGAGAAAATGGCACAGGTAGTAGCAACTCTGCAGGTATTATAACTTGTCATCAATGTAAAGTGTTGAACCTGAAGCTTATGATTGGCGGGCCGGGTCTATCATCAGGAGATGGAAATTCAAATTTGTAGCTGCTCACAGTAAAATCAGTAACACATTTCAGAAGGTGTCAAGATCTTCTCTAATTTACCCAGGCTAATAACAAAAGATGAGAAATGGTGACATAAAAAAACAAAGATAATGACTGAATAAAAATATCCATACTCAGGATCATTGATAATTTCATCTACATGACCCAACCGTTCCAGTGCCTGAAAGATATATGGATATAAACAATTTTCTGTTAAAATCAAACAGCAACTGAAACAATGTTCTGTCATTATTCGACCTGGTATCACACAGGTCATTTATTTATTTATTACAGAAATACTAAATATATAAATTTAATAGAAATATTTAACTCTGAAAAGGACAGGAGAAAAAGGATGATAAATATACCTTTATTCTTGATTGAACAAGAGATGCACGCTTTGCATTATATCGGAACTTGTCAATGAATGACTGCAAAAAAAGAAACCATTTAAGAGAAGAAAACCAATTTTGCACCAAAAACAATAGGCAGATTACAGCAGATGAATAACACCAGTCAAATCAGTTATGAGAAAACAAGAACCTGCATGTGTGATCTAGCACGTTCGTGTGCCTCTATAGCCTTTTGTTTGTTTTTCATTTGCTCTTCCCTTGTCCTCTCGAATGTGTCATAGTTTCCTCGATATGTGTGCAATTGTTTCCCTTGAAGATGGAGAATGTCTGTGACTACCTGAAAGGAGTCCATAGAGAGTATTCTTTTAGACAGTAGTAAAACAGAACAAGCTAACCTGGAAACTATTATCCAAATCAAACATCCAAGAGGAGTAAAGTCATACAGTGTTCAAAAATTCCCTAGCATGTGACACAACAATAAATGTCTTCGGCCATTTCACCAGGTAAGATTCAAGCCACAGGACAGCATGGAGATCAAGATGATTCTGTGAACAAAGTCAAAACATGTGTTAACAAAACATTTTTACATACAATGAGATATGGGAATATGCATAATGTACCGTAGGTTCATCAAGAAGTAAAAGATCAGGCTCAATAAACAGGGCCCGAGCAAGTGCAATTCTCATTCTCCATCCTCCAGAAAAAGCTTTAGTCGGCCTCTTTTGCATTTCTGGAGAAAAGCTAAGACCCTAAACAAATTTTGCATTAACAGATCTATCAATATTTAATAAAAACAAATCCTGAAAATATGTTAGTTAACCACTAAATGAAGTGGCTGCTTAACTATTACTTGGAGAGAATGATAACAAGAAAGACCATATTATATTATATCTTTCACCAAAGTATATCTTGTATTCCATAACCCAAGACAATTAAGGATATTGCATCATGGATGAACTTTATTCTGAGTAAAGCAATTAAGGTTAGGAGCAATATCATCAGCATTTCTCCTTGATATCATACAGAAGTTAAACATCTAAACAAATACTCTCAATCCCAAGAACCGCTTATTACATTAATAAAATGAAAAAGAAACTAACCGCAAGAATGGAAGCTGCGCGTGCCTCAGCCGAGTAAGCATCAATGAACTCAAGCCTCTTATATATCTCTTCAAGCCTCTGTGCAACTGAATCCTTGTCAACTCCACCATTTTGCTCACTTTTGGTCTTTCCAGTATCTTTATCCGGGTTCTAAAGGAAAGTAAAATCCAAGAATTTATGTACCGAAAATTAATGGAAAATGGCAACAGATGGAAAACATCTGAAGTTGGCTCCTCGAACCTGCATCGCAAGCAAAGAGGATTCTTCCTCTAAAAGTCGAATTCTTTCCACATCAGAATTAAGCACACATTGCAAGGCAGATGTATCATCACCAACTACTTCTTGTTCTACATGTAATATCTGACAATTCTTGGGAATACCATCAATAGCGTGCATGGCCATGTACCTGAGGAAGGTAGTTTTACCAGTACCATTCCTCCCAACAAGACCTACATGGAGAAAAAAAGTGTTATCATGAATGCATAAATTAGATAGGGTGCATATACAAAATTAATCAAATAGCTAAAAGATCAATTATAACTCTTTCAGGCCTTGAAAATTGACTTGAATTAAACTACAAATTTCCTTGCTGCAAATTATTGTCTCATAATGTTAATTAAGTATGGAGAGAATAATTTGAAGGAACCTGGTTCCAAGATAACCTAATCACGAAAGGCTCTCATTCACAAACTGTGATGTAAATTTCATAAGTAAAACCCCAACAAAGTTTAAAGTTTAGTTACTGCTTAAATGAATGCAAGTAGTGCACCAATCAATTTTTTCTTTTTTACTTCCGACAGTAGCAGCTCACAGATATTCACAATAAGAACACTCCTTACTAAAAAATAAAAATCACTGGGTAGAATTTTAAAGCACTTGATAAATTAGGTCCTTTGTTGATCGTGAGAGACTAACCATAGTGCCTTCCGAAAGATAGTGTAACACAACCATCCACAATAAGGTCACGCCCCCCAACAGAAATATTGAAGTTTTCCATGTGGATATCTCTCACAGCTGCACTGTCACTGTTCTCATGGGTTACAACAGCATCAGGAATCCCAGCTCTAACTGCTTCCATTTCCTTTAGGTGCATTTGGTATTGTGCCTGCAAAACACCCAATATAGAACAAACTAATACAAAAATAGATGCTAACCACTTCAAAACCTTACTTCATCTCTCATTTTTCCTTGCCTTATGTACTAACTAACTAACTACCCATAAAGATAAATAAAGATTCAGCTAATCTAGGATTCAACTCCCAATACCACACTATAATATATTCGTTTTTTTCCCTTTTTTTATACCTCTCTATTGCGTTCATCCTTCCTCTTCTTCCTTTCAATCTTCATCTTATCCCGCTCAGTGAGTAGAGGCCCATCCACTGGTTCTGGTTTCTTCTTAGGGGCTACTTCCTCATCCATTCCGTCAAACATTCTCACTGGTGCCAATAGGCTTCTCACTGCAGGTTTTTCTTTTACCAATCCATGTTTCCCAAATTTATCTGAGAGTTTAACACATACCTGTAGCCATTGAAAAAATTATACTCCAATCTTTAAGAGAGCAAGGAGATAATCATAAGACCCTGCCTAACTATACATTGCTAGTCTATGTGGGAATACATTCTGCTGAAACATTGAATCGCTTTATATTCTTGACAAATACTTCTTCCTAATTCAATGAGGTTGCAAGAAATCTGAACTCCAATACGAAGACAAAAATGAAAAGCCAAGCACCATTCTTATCCAGGAGTAACATTAGAAGTTGAGATAGAACACGTAACAGTATAAATACAAAATTAGAAAACCAATTACAAAATAAAAAGCATTCAATTACGATGTCGAGCAACATCAACAATATCCATTGGCCATCCAGATTGCCGAAAAGTAAACAAATAAGAAACAAAGCTTGAATACAATCAACCCATACCGATCGGCATTCAGAGTCGTCCTCTACGCATCCAGAGTCCACGAGAAGCTCCCCAAGGGCTTCGAATACACCTTCCCCGTCGTGACCGAAATCGAAATCCTCGTCGGCGAGGACGTTGATGATATAGTCTACAATTGGAAGGTCTAACTCATCCAGTCGCCTCCCTAAAACATCGTGCACCACCGCGCTTGCCACTTCCGCCATCTCAACGGCGGAATCAATCAGTTTCAGGGATCGAGTATGCTTCGTGTGGTGAATGGTGATGGCTTCGCGTGGAGCAAGAAATATGAAAAGGCGGCGAGGGAGATAAAATCATAAAACCTGTATTTCGTTAAATTTCAATTTGACCATTGAACTTTATCAAAATTGCACTCTCACCGCTCTCATGTTTTGCTACTGAGCAAAGAAAATCAAAACCAGTCTGAGTCTCACTCAAACCTACATTTCCCATTTTTAGTCTCATTTAAACAAAGTCTTATTTAAAAGATTATTCATATATTTTTTTTCTTCCAGTACGATTATCCGGTCTAATTTTAATTTTGTATTTACTTTCATGTATTCAAAATTGAAAACAATAATACTTTCTCTCTCTTTTTCAAAAATTGTCTTTGTTTTTTCATTTTCTTTATTATTTTATTATTTAATAATTATGATCTCCACCTTATAACAACACTATTTCTACATTTTAAACTATTCATAATTATTACTCTAACCTAGATATTTTAGTTTTTATATTCTACTATATAGTATAAATAAAAAAATTACAAAAATATTTTTTGCATATTAATTATTATATCAAAATATAATATAAAAAAATTACAAAAATACTTTGTTAATGTCTTATATAAAAAAATTTTACAAATATAGTGATGATGAAAAAGTAAATATGACCAGACTCTTAGAAGCGATGGGAAGGAAGAATATTATTTAATTTTTTTACTTAATAAAATATTTAATCATCTTTACATTTCGAAAATATTTTATATAAATATAATTACAATTTTTTTTAATATTTTACTTTTATTTAAAATGTTTTTTTAATTAATAAAATACTATAATTTAATAGGAATAATATAAATATATTATTATAATATAAAATAACTATTTTTTATTTATCATCTATTTTATTCAAAATATTTTTTTATTTAATAAAAATAATTTAATTAAAATTAAAATTTTTTATTTTGTCATAGGACTACATAGTTCACCCACAATTTATTTTTTTAAAAAAAAATTAAAATACTAAATAAACAAAATTACAATGTATGTCTAATTTATATTATTATATTTTTTTTATTAATATTCATAGAAAATTATAATGCTTCTGTTTAAACTTAAAATAGTATTCTCTCCGTCTCATACAAGATGCAACGGTATTATTAAGTAGGATAATTTAGAAATTAGGTGATGTGATGGAGAGAGAAATATATAGTTTATTTTTTATTTTGAAAATATTGCAGGGTGTTTGAGATTGAGGAATTAGTATTTTTTTTATGTGATTTTTTTATTATTATTATTATTTTATTTTAATAAAAATAATTATATATTTAAATAAAAAAAATATTTTTATTTAAATTACAAATATTCACTTTATCTTTGTTATTATTCTATAATGCAAAAATATTATGGTATTTTAGATTTTATAATTTTCATAAATCTTTACAACCGTTAATTTTCTAGAATTTCCTATTGCCATTTACTTCGATCCGAACAGTCTCCGGTTGACTACGTAACGCCTCCCCTTTCCCCGGCGGTAGTCTCCACCGGTCAAAGCAAGTACGATATTCATCGTCATAAGAATTGAAAAAGATACTTGGGGTTGGTATCTAATGATGGTCCACAGATGACCGCAAATTAAACCCAAATCCAAAGCTACTGCTTGCCGAGAAATACGATTTGGAGATCAAAAGGTAACCAGTAAAGTAAAGGGGATGGCCGCAGGAGCACCTTCAAGCATGATACTTAGCCCCCAGCCATCTTGGTTTACTCCCAAAAGGTACTGTACTCTTCGTATCTTACATTAGCTCCTATCCTATTATTTATTATAGAGCTTAGGAGCTAATGAGCTTATTTTGTTTATTTGTTTCAATTTAGATGAGTTCTATAGCCCCCATCGAATTACTGTTGTTAACAGATGAAAATTAGAATGGGCTTTAGTTGCGGATGAGTTTCCTATATGAAGATTTTAATGAATATTTGGATGATATTAACTACCCTGGATGGTGGATAAGCCACCGTATTTTGATTTCCCGTTTTAGGGTTGACCGTATTGATATCTCATTAAGTTCTTTGATTTGATCGACATTGTCAACGCTATAACTTTTAGTATTAATATTCCCATTTTTTGTAAAGATCTTGCGTTCGTGCAGGTTGCTCGTTATTTTCTGTTCAATTAACTTGATAAATTACATAGACCGTGGAGCTATTGCCAGTAATGGTGTAAATGGAAGCCGTGGAACTTGCGAAAGTGGTACATGCTCATCTGGTAGTGGAATTCAGTAAGTTCGATATCATCGACATTTGGTGGTACCTTCAGCTTTAAACTTTCTCTAAACCATTCATCATATCTTTTGGTTTATGTAATTTATAACCATTGCATTTGACTGTCAATGTCGTGCTCTATGCTTGTGTGCCGGTTGCTCATTCTGGGTATTCAAAACTGCAAAGTCTACTAAGCTAAGAAGTAAATTAATCCAATTGTTGTCTCAATGAGATTTTGATTGGTTATGCAAGAATCTTGTAATTATAATTTCATTGTAGTGACGTCTGACATGATAAGCATGAACAGAATGACGCATTGGAGGTAGAGCCCTTGCTAACCTATAAGATCATAAGCATAGGAAACCCTTGACTACTGTGAGATAGAGAGACAAGTGGGAAGAATTCTTTGTGAAGAAGGCGGGAAGAATAGGAAGCATTAATGCCAAGCTCAGTTGATGAAGAGCACAGGAAATCTGCAAATGTAGATTAACATGTTTTCACCAAGTTAGACCAACAATCTGCAGGAGACTACTGATTCTCATATTAGTGACTTCAGTCTTGATCATTAATGGTGAAGGATTTTATGTGCTTACTAGAGGAACATATGAAGAGCTAACTTCAAATTTCTAATCCCTCCCTTATTTGTCGAAAATAAATAAGATGCATACAGGCTAAGCAAGTAATTAAATGGCTAAGTTAGCTTGCTCAAAATATCTTAATAATCGAATATAATTTTGTGTATTTTCATGTTGGCTCATGATACTTTTCTGTAGTTTCTTTCAATAACGGAAAACAAGTTTTTTCGTGTTCATAGTTTTGCAGTTAACTTTGTCGATAATACTTGGCTGTTATTTTAACATCTCTCACCATTTTCGTGTGTTTCTCTAATGTGGTGACTTCTTTTATAAATGCAAACCAGCTACTTTGTACAGAACATGGTACTGATTTTCTTGAAAACATCTTCACTCAAATGATTTCCCCATTGAAAATGTTATATTTTTTGTTACATGTTCTGACACTAATATATTTTCTTGCAGGGGAGATTTTGATCTAAATAACTTTGAGGATGGAGTTATTTCATCAGCTTTTATGGTTGGACTCCTTGTGGCATCTCCGATTTTTGCATCTTTGGCCAAGAGGTAAGAGTCTTTTATTTTGTTACTGTACTCCGTCATTTTGTCATTTGTGATATACTTTGTTCTTTATTATAGAGAAAAAGAGTGAACTATTAAGAATGTATGTGAAAATGATATTCATGCCAGCTGAAACAAACATGGATGGTTTTTGGAAAAGCAATTCCCAAAATAAGACATGATGTTTTTCTGTTTGTGGGTTCTCTATTAAAAGAAAAACATTGTTTAACAGGATAAACCACTTCGCATAGCACAACTGTGTAGTAACAGTTGCTGAGTCTATAAAGTTGGATCTCACAATCCTGACTTTGTAAATATAGAAGAAATAAGCGAATTTAAGAAACAGACCTAGCTAGTTTGGAAATTTTGTTTCTTCTTACCAACTTTACAAATTCAGATCCGGTAGATTGCTAAAGTGACATATAATGTGTTAAAATCGTACTATCTATATGATATATATATATTCTTTATATACGTGATATTATTGAAAAAATATGCTGAATATATTTTCTTTTTAATGTACCTACGTAAGTAAAAAATACCAAGTGATTTCTAGACCAATAAAGTTTCATTTATTCTTTCACATTTTATTAATTATTTTGAGTATAGGTAATTTTACGCCAGTTGTTTTGTGATGTGTAAATTATTTTTCTAGTTACTAAAAATAGGACTATCCTATATTCAAGAAATGCTACGGAACATATATTCTTCTTTTTTTTAATATACAGTGTGCATTAGCCAATTATGGAAATTTATTTCACTAATTAATTGTTCTCTTATTCTTGTCTTTGTATGCATATTGCAGTGTCAATCCTTTTAGGCTTATTGGAGTTGGTTTGACTGTATGGACCATTGCAGTTGCTTTTTGTGGGGTTTCATTTAATTTTTGGTCCATTGCCATCAGTCGCATGTAAGAAAATCTTTTCAAATTGAGTGAATGATATTGGACATTAAATTCATTGCTCATATAGTAACCTTTTTTTTTTTTTTTTTTTTTTTCCTGGATGTTTATTAATATAGGCTAGTTGGTGTGGGAGAGGCTTCATTTGTAAGTCTTGCTGCTCCATTCATTGATGACAATGCTCCAGTTTCACAGGTTGGCATCTCCTAGACGTTTCATCAATATTGATATTAGAATATGCAGGCTTCTTTATCATATCTTGCCAATAATTGAAGGTGTGTTTAGATATGTTTGGAAGTATAACTAAGTGTTGGATGCGATATTTTGAATAGAGAATATGTTTTTGATGCAATGTTGTCAATGAAAATAGGCTTTGGATGTGATTTTCTTTTGACAAACAAATTTTGATTAATAGGTAAAAACAGTTTTGAAATCATTAGTAAATAGAGCGTCACTCTCCTTATATTGGAGACAAAGACATGACAAACATCCTATGTATAGCGATTTGTCAACACATCACTTGGAAGAGTTTTGTATAACGTCATAATAAAATAGGAATTTATTGTGAATCGCTTGATTATAGCAATTGTTAAATTATAGGACTAGCTAATTGACAACTAATTTTCATAGCTCTGTTTAATTCTCCGCCTATGTCTCTATCATTGAAGTATTGAATAAAGTATTAAGAACTAATAGAATGAGAACTAAGGAGAGAAATGCCTCTAGAATAGTTGAGCAAAGAGCACAAAAGAATTGAGGTTATAACCTCTTAGTATTGTTTTGGTTTGGATATATGTTGTCTGTAGGTTTATTAGACAACTGACAAAACTATTGGTTACAGACTTTGCATCGCAAAATCAAGACATGCAAATTGTTAATTGAAGGAATAAATGATTATGTTGTATGGAATGCGTGAATATTCTAAGAATAAATGTACAGAAAGGTAATTGGAGCACACACCTTGATTTTATTGGAAAATTTGAAAAGGTTATTAAGGAGGTAATGATAAAGCCTAAGTCTAGGAATGACGAACTAATTATTGCTAATGTAGAGTATACTTGTTGTCTACTTCTAATTGGTGGAGATTGTGGATGGTTGTCTCAATTTGATTGGTTGATGGCTTGACCTCTTCAAATCGGTGGATCATTGGGATGATACGATTGGTTGAGTGATTCATCTTAAGCGTGTATATAGTATATACATCCATTTGCATGCATGTAATGGGGCTTTGGGGGAATTTTAGAGATGCACATTCCATAAGTGAAAGTTGAGGGATGGGTCCCACACTGGTAGGAGCCTTGAGATATGTAGAGTGGAAATGGTCCCAACTGAGCATTAAATGGATTCAGTCGAGTAGATGATGAAAATGGATTTAGCCTAGGAAATGATGAAATCTAGGGGAAGTTTGACTTCAAATAATCCACTTTTATTGAAATTAATCTTGAGTTTGGTAGCTACTTGGAAGCATTTCAAGATTTGTTTGATAATCAAGTGAGACTCTATAGTTGCATCACTGGAAATTATTGTGTCATAAGAGTGGGCCAGATCTCTCACATTGTACACCTTTGAAGAATCCTTGGAATCACTGGAATTTATTGTGTCATAAGATTGTGTCTACATGATTTATCTTCAGGCCATTGAGTTTAAGTGCAACTAAACACTCCAATCTCATTATTTCCTGTTCATCTACTTTTACTTATTTCTTACTCCTTCTGGCTTCTCCTTTCTAATTTACGCTCTCAACAATTGTTTCTCTGTGATAGAGGACAGCATGGCTGGGTGCTTTTTACATGTGTATACCAACTGGAATTGCGGTGGGATATATTTTTGGTGGATTGGTATGTTTTCTTTTTTCATAATTTCCTTTGTGAGTAATTGGATAACTGTTTTATGACAAAGTTCTTATTAATGGCATGCTGTGTGCTTCTGTTGATTTCCTTTCCTGCGAAAGTTATTCACTTATTTCTTATTTTATTTATTTTTATGAATTTTAACTTATTTCTAGATTGGAAACTTTGGCTGGCGCTGGGCATTTTGGGTGGAGGCAATTTTTATGCTGCCTTTTGCAATATTAGGCTTTGTAATGAGACCTTTGCAGTTGAAAGGTTAGTACTTGCCTATTTGTATGCTTTCCACACTTTTTGATGCACCACTCATTTGTTAATGGTTATTTCATTCAGGTTTCAATCCTGCTGGGTCTCAGAAATGTTTGACACCAGTTGATGATGCATTAGAAGATCAAGGTGCTGGATGTTACAGATTGATAGTAATCTAAACTATAAAACAATATTTTCTCCTAATTAAGTTTCTCATAGAGGGCACTGTACTCAGTTCTATAAAATGCTTTACCAGATAAGTTTTTTGGTTCAGTAAATTACCTGATAGTTGTCTGATTCTGCAGATGATTTGCAGTTTATTTAACTGAGTAATATTCTTTAGTCTCTAGAATGAATTCAAGAAATTTGTTCGAGTAGAGTAATTTTAATGAAATGATAAATGAATATTTACAGCATAGGACTTTATTGACTGTATTCATTTTTTGTTATCTTTCTCTTTCATCACCCCTATGAGAAGTTCTTGTATCTGGAGTAAACTAGTGGATTTATTGGTTTTGTTGGTTTACTTTGTTGTTAGATAAAGAACTGAAGACTGTTTTAACTATCTGACAAATATATATATATATATTTTTAAAGGCAACCAATTATTGAGGGAAACAGCTTCATCCAAAAGCTCAGAACTTTCATGGTGAGTAATTTTCCTAAGAATATTATTTTTCTGAGTCAGAGTTGTGCAAGGCTTGGTTTTTGTAAATATTACAGGTGGACATCTTTCACAGTATTCGGGGAAGATATGAAAGTTCTTTTACTTGACAAGACTTACGTTGTGAACGTATTAGGTAAAATAAATCCTATTTATGCAACAGTTTATTTGTTCCACCAACTAATTAACAGCAGATTGTATAACATTTTCTTCAAATGTTACTAATTTCCAATTTTCTTTCTTTCATTTGGAATGGTGATTGCAGGGTATATTGCCTATAATTTCGTCATAGGTGCCTATTCCTACTGGGGACCTAAAGCTGGCTATAATATATATCACATGGTATTACTATTTGTTCCACTTAAAATTGGTTTTGTTGTTTCTTTCTTGTTATCCTATGAATATAAATTTCTGTGTCTCCAGAGCAATGCGGATTATATGTTTGGAGGTGTTACTGTTGTCTGTGGATTATTTGGTTCCATAGCAGGTGGTGTGGTTCTAGATCGTATGACTTCCACAATACCAAATGCTTTCTGGGTGAGTGTTATGAATAAAGCAATGAAGATATGTTTGTAAATATGGTATTATTGCCTTCTATTCTGACTCTTACATTCTTTTGGATGTAGCTCCTTTCATCAGCGACTTTTGTTGGAGCAATTTTTTGTTTTGTCGCCTTCTGCTTTAAGAATCTATATGCTTTTCTGGTCCTTTTTGCAATTGGAGAGCTGCTGGTCTTTTCTACTCAGGTACCTCTTTCCTAAGTTTTTATGTGCTGATTGCATTTGTCATCCAAAAATGCTATAAGAGAAGATTTCAAATTTCTGAAAGAGGGATTTTGAGGATAATTTCATTTATCAAACTTTTCTTTCCATCTTCTTTGTCAAAATTCCCAAATTTATATGTTTTCTGCCCTTTAAACTGGTCGGGGCAACAAACTTGCCAAAAAAACTCTGTAAATGCAATCTCATGTTTTCTCATTTGCTTAATTCTAGTTTTATCAGTTGGCTGTGACAATGAGGGTTGGTATATTTGCGCTGGTTCACTTTGTTGCTTGTAATGCAAGACGTTTGCAGGGTTACTGCAAATTTTCTTTTGTATTGGCTTTGGCATTGTATAGTATGAGTTTATATTATAAGCTCTAACATCTGTTCCAGATGCTCATAAATACATGATATATGTATGATTACAGGCCCCTGTAAATTTTGTCAATCTACATTGTGTTAAGCCAAGTCTTCGGCCTTTATCAATGGCAATATCTACTGTGGCTATTCATGTATTTGGTGATGTGCCTTCTTCTCCCCTTGTCGGCCTTTTCCAGGTGAGTGCTTACTCTGATATAAGTATGTCTATCTCATGTTTGAACAGAATTATCATAACTGGTTGTACTGCAGGATCAAGTCAACAATTGGAGGGTGACTGCCCTTGTTTTAACATCTGTTCTATTTCCGGCTGCTGTAATATGGTTCATAGGTATACTACTGACCTATATTCTTGTTTATTCATATTTTTATTTCTCATTTAAGTGGAACAGAGTTCATTGTTGCATCACAGTTTAGAGTTTCACTGCTATAAGTATCATGGTTGAATTACATTTAACAAAATTAACTGTGACTAAGCAGATCCATGGTGGCGACAATACTGGAATTCTAGACTATGAAATTTACATTTTCTTAGCACCGAATACTGTTACCTATGTTGTGTATTATATTTGCTTTGCAGGATCCTTCCTTCACAGCGTGGATCGGTATAATGAAGATAGTGAGTCTCCTCAGGAAAATAAGTCAAGTTCAGACCCATTGCTTGAAGGAGAAACAAGAATCATATGAAATCTTCTTGTTTTTTGCTTTTGCTCGAGGTGTAGGTATATCTTATATACGTAATTAGTATTTCCATTGTTGTTACTCGTATTGTGGTTCTTCACTTCCACTTGACTTCAAATTCTTGGAGTAAATTCAATATAACAGAAACATCTCTTGATATTTTTCACAGAAACTATTAGTCAAATGGTTGTGGGAAGGGTTAGGTATGGCTTTCCAAATATGAGAAATATGACATGTTAAATGGAGAGAAATGAAATGACTGTGTGAGAAAGTCGTTAAGTGCTAATCAGTGACAATGACACAGTGCAACCTTTTAGAAATAAAATAATTATAAGATCTATTTAATAAAATTATTAAAGAATATATCATTAAATATAGGAAAAGTTAAAAAAAAAAAAAAAAATTATTTTATACTTAAGTCTCATTATTATTTTTGGATTTTTTTTTTTTTTTTTCATTTTCTCAATAAAGGACAATAAGTCCTTCGAGGCCTTAAAATTGTTTTAGTGCCTCGGAAAAGGTACGTGTGCATTATATAAGTGGACGTGACCTTGCCAACGCTTGTGTGGAACATGCCAGAGCCGATGTGGGAGGTGATGGGGACTCACCTTCGGTTATTGATGCAGAAATTCGCAATTTAGAAAATATCTCAAATTAGGACTTTATTTTTCTCTTTTGGCATCTAAAAAATGCACGTGACAGGCATGTACATCATGGTCTCTCTGCTACAGATTTGGACTTTGCCGGAGTTATGTTATACATTATGAGTCATCGGCGGCATGACATAAAAATTCATATTTTTTTTAATAAATTTTTAAAGTAAAGTATTTTGAAGTTTCATAGCAATAGATATTTGGTTACAACGTTCTCATTAAAAGCAGATTTTCAATAATTTAGCTGATTTTTTACTTGAGGATTCATTCCAAAAATGCACTGATTGAACTTTACTTGGGGGAACCACTCTTGGCGCTTGTGGAGTAAAGATTCTTTCTTCCACATCGACAACATCACCCTCTACCGTGCTACAAAATCGGTCTAGTTCTTACAACATTATTCCCATATTTCCCCCACTCCTCTCCATAAGAATATTATTCAGAAACGTAGTATACATTTTCCCTTTTTTTTCTCCTGTCGATTACACTATTCATTCATATAATGGTAGGAATTGTACTTTCCATAAAGGAAGGTGCATCCTTCAACAACATTATGAACAATTGTGGTGTGGCAAATAGTGAGATAGCTAGAAGGACCTACTCTATACATCATCAAGGCTAGCAATCGATCCATTTTGTCAATTTCTTAGCCCAACCTTTAGGCGGTGCTGATAAAGTTGTGCTACTTTAATATTCTTCCATGGGGTCATTCGGAATTTGTATTATAGTGTTAGAGCTTGAACTTGCCTTATTGTGTTTTCCAGTAATTTGTCCTAAAGATAAAACAAAATTGTTGTACTATTTATCCACGATCGAATTTGAATTCTAAGTTATCAATTTCATTCATAGGCTAGGAGTTCATCTTTATTTAAGTTCCTAAAATTAGATTTTTAATTTGTTAATTTTATTTTTGTTTATTTTTATTTTTATTTTACTTCCTTCAAAACCCTCTTTTAGTATTTATCAATAAATATGTTATGAGTTCCTCGAGGAGACTACCCAACTCCAACTACATTGTTCTATTTTTATTGTTAAAGTAGATATTATATATTTTATTTAATTTTTTCACGGGGCATAAATTTGATACAGCATATCTGAGTTATATTCTTCTAGGTACAAGTAAAAATGAAAAATAAAATGCTAAGTAAAATTAAGAAGATCTTCAAAACAAATTTCCAAGAATTTTGATGTAGCGGATTGAAGATATTATAAGTTGTGTCGACTTAAGCTTTTATAGAATTATGCTCCTATTTCGGTAGGTTTCGCCTACTGAGAGGAAAAAACTTATCTTCCGCCATTGTTGGCCATAGCTATGTCTCAACTAATCGTGGGCATGTCCATGAAATTCAGCCATTGCTTTCCCGAATCTTCGAGAAAGCTTTCAGTGAGCCAAAAGTTTATGTAGCAGCAAATGACATGATCCCATTGGATTTTCGAAATATGTACACTTCAACAATATTATTCTTCTATACATATTTGAGTATACATTGCTATACTAAAAAGTGGGAACATGAAATGGAATTGAGTCTGAAATAATCACATTTGACATATTTGAGAACAAGCATGAACTGAAACAATAATATTACAAGGAAAAGAGACCTCTGAAAGAGCATTTGATATTTTATGAAGGTCTCTCAAACACACTATCCCACCAAAATGAAAATGAAAAGCCTTCTCCTTGTCAGAAGCTTCATCGATCCGAAGTAGGTTTTGGGCAAGAAAAAAACATGGCGAATCTACGAGGTAGAAATACTTACAACAGAAGGGTAATTGAAAAAAAAAAAAAAAAACCCTCCTTCAAAATGAACCAACCTTGTAGGAAAACTTGCCTCTTTCAGCTTCAGGTGACACTTGACTTGGCTTGTAGTCATATATATAATGGTGGATCAAAGAGGTTACACACACCAAACAAACTAACAATCATAACTTCATCAAACATATATCAAGATGTAATTACATATATATATTTATATGTATATGTATATGTATATGTATATGTATATGAACTTAGCTGCTTGAGATTACATTATTACTTCCCAAATGATTGAGGCAGCTGAAATTATCGGTATCACGAGGTCCTTCATATCATGTGCATTCTTTGAGCCCGTGATGTATATTTTTCACGAGCTCCTTCATATCGATGCTGAATCCTTCATCTTTCTGTATCGGATTAAAAAGCACAGCTTGATTTATTAAAATGCCATAAGAACAAGCTAATAATGTATTGGATGATCATGAGTTAGTAGGCATGTTATATATAATGCTACAAATAAATAGGATATTTGTAACAAAAATTTTCGTCCTTAAATCCATTTTTTTATGTTATTAACGACATTAGAGACGGATTGTGTTAGCTACGTGAACTTTAGAGATGAAATTTTTGTTACAAATATATGTTATTTTTTTGTAGTAATATATATATATATATATACCTTTGCGACGATTGCAATATTGAGAGCAGAATCTCCGAAAGTCATAACACTGCTGTTAACAACTGTAAGATGGATCTTGTGGAGTTGGACAAGAGTTTTCTCCACAACCCCTTTCCTTTTCTCACAATGGATATTGATGAGGACATCATTGTTGCAAACTCTTGCCTCGATTTCGGGCAGTGTCCTATCGATTAGAGGAGGATCGCGAGAAGATGAATTATCGAATACTTGATGTTTTGTCACAAGCACAGCCGATTCGATGCTTGTCTTGCTCTTATTTTTCTCTTCAAGTGCCTTCACTTTCTCCTGAAGCTGTTTCATGTACTTTATTGCATCTCCAAGAACCGATGCCTTGTCCATCTACAAAAAAAAACCCAAAACATTAATTGAAGTTTGCATAATTAGCTTTGAAACTCAATCAAATTCGAATCGATGTAAACATGGCCTTATTTGATATTTTTTGTGATCAAGAATAAGAGATTAGGGGATGATTGTGTTAGAATATGAAACTGAAATTCTATATTTCAATCATAAGAATAAGTACATATTTATAGTAAATCATACGAATTTTTTAAATAAGATAACAACCATATCAAATATATTTTAACATATTGTATTTGTACCTTTTTCAATCCTGGGACGAGGGCAGAGAGAGCTATGAATCTCTGGTTGAGCTTTTCTCGACGTCTTCTCTCGGCCAAAATATGATCTTGTGCTTGACTCAAGTGTCTGCCATTGTTGCTGCTGCTGCTGCTGCAGATTCTCTTAGCTCCTTGGCATGGCTTCAGCACAAAATTGGGGTTACCAAATGAGTGGTCAGAAGCTGAGAAATTTACTGTGCAGATTCTCTCCTCTTTCGGCTTAACCATAATTCCCATAGGACTCCAGCTGCTGCCTGATTTCAGCTCCGATGGCGACGACTCTGGCGAGGGTTTTGTGAAGTCCAGTGTTCGATGATGATGATGATGATGGGGGTTAAGGTCGTAGTAATTAATGTCTACAGGCTGCTGCTGCTGCTGGAAATCTTGGCAGAATGGCGATGGGATAGAGACGAGGTCGACGTCGATTTGGGAGTCGATCGGCCATTGCTGGAACAGTACTGCACAGCTTTCTTCCATCATTTCCTGCTGTTGCTGCTGCAGTGAATTAAGATTGATGAGAAAATAAATAAATTATCATCTTCAATTAGGAAGTGACCATTTTGTTTGTGTTGCTCACCGCAGAATTTCTGAAGCTTGAAAACTCCATGATCGATCGATGAGGATTTGATTAGTTGCAGGTCCGTTGCTATATATATATAAATCGCGAGTTTAGACGACGATCATACAAAGTCAGGACTAATAATCATATGTATGTATGAATTATTTGAACAAGTTAAAAAGGTGAGTTTGATTTCTTACTACTGTAGACTTGGAAGCTGGTGAACTTTTTTCTAATCCCCACTCTCTACGTATATACATACATATATATATATATATATAGTAATATATAGGTCCAGCAAATAAATGGGTGATTGGAGTGTTTAAAAAATAGATTGTAATTTATTAATTATTATTATTATTATTATTTTTTATCAGAATAATTTATTACTTAATTTTTTGGTGCTCTGATTGGTGTGTGTGTGGAGACTTTGACATTTTGAACAATGCCAATGATGTGGGCGTGCAATTGTAACATAAGATATATATATATACGTACACACCACCATTTTTTTTTTTTTTATTTATTTATTTTTTTTTTTTCTACATGTGAATTATCAACAGCTATTTCAACAGTGCAACTTTAAATAAATTTTTATCAGAACTAATAGCCTGCAACGTAGAAGATAAGTTAACATTAGACAAATTATGTGTGATATGACATGTAAAATCCGAAAATATTGGAACTTTATTTTTGAAATTTTGACCGTAGAAATTTTAAAAAATTAAATAAATATTAATATATAAAATATAACTAATTTTTGTGAATGGAGGAAATTATGAAATATCAATTTTTTATATAAAAATAAATTCAAGAAATTTTTACTACCCTAAACTACAACTACAAGTGGGGTTGGGTCACGAAAATTAATTATAATCCAATTGGTAATGATGGATTAAACAAGTATTTATTTTTTATTTTTATATTATGGATATAAATCTTCATAATTAACATAAACAAGTATTTCATACTTAAAACACAAAACAAACACAAATTATTTGGAAAAATATCATATAATTTTTTTAAAAAAAAAATCTTATATAACAAATTAATTTTTAGTTTAAAACATTACGAATGAAACAATTTTTATATCATATCAAATAAGTCCCATTTTTATACCGGCCGAGTCAAATCAATCTGAGTTAGTACAAATATAAAAACCAGACAGTATATATACATCACATAATAATACACTCTCTCCGTCTCATATTTATATATTCATTTGTTTTTTTGCACAGAATTTTAAAAATAGTAGTATTATATTGTGATAAAATAAAAATAAATACTTTATTATATGACGGACCAAACTGAAAAAATAATAGATTATTAAAAGATAAAGAGAGTAATATATATCACATATTGTGAGGGATCATCATAATACAATATGCAACATAATGTACTATTGCATTAAATACAATATATAAATTGTACAGTACATATTTTTATATTTAGCAACATTATATTGTCTTGTCTTGTAGTTGAATGTTAATTGCTGTCAAGTATTATAAAAACAGAAAGTTTATAATTATCGTACAATTAGGTTTGAAGTTGGACTCATTACATATTGAGAGGCCTAATATGTGCAAATGGATATAAATAAACAAATAAATATTTACATTTGTGAGAGTAATTATTGATTAGGTGACAACATTGTAATGCGACTAAGTCAATGTTTATGTACAAAAAAAAATAAAATAAAGGCAATTTATCAGATAGAATAAATAAATACATTTGCTATAAAACCTTAATAAAGGAATAAAATCTTGAAAGGACACACAAGTTGATATACACGCAACATATCTTTTCAGAAGTACATTGGGAGTAACAGAAATATTTTTAACTTAAAATTATTATTTTATCCTTAATAATAATAATAATAATAATAATAAATACAGTACAATAATATAATATAATATAAAAATAAATAATTTATATATTATATTTTAATAAAATATATATATATAATTAAATTATTATTTTAATTTATGTATTATATTTGAATTAAAATTTAAAATGGAAAGACCATATTTAAATAAGAGTATATAAATTTTTTAATTTTATTTAAATTACTAAATATAATTAATAAAATTTTAAAATAAATTATAAAATACAAATAAAATGTAATATTACATTATAATTTTATTTTTAATTGATATATTAATCTTGAATTAAAATTTTAAAATATAAATAATTAAATTTTAAAAGTATATTTTTTATACTTTAATTTAAAATCTTTAAATATAATTTATAAAATTTAAAATAAATTATAAAAGTGTTAGGGAAAAATACTATTATATTAACCACGTAATTATAGTTTAAAAGCACTTTAAATTCTATAACGTAAAATAAAATTGTTTTTATAATGATTTATCCTAACACAAAATCTGATTCTGCTTTTAACTTCCATTTATTTTTTAAATTAATCCAAATTGACAGTAGAATTAAAGTTTTTTTTTTTTTTAAGTTTGTATCATATAATCTAACAATTCTCAATAAAAAAATATTAATTATATATATAAAATATCAGATACAATAATTATTAATTAAAAATACAACAAAAATAAAAATATATTGATCCTTTGATAGCTCCAAACTTGTTGATGCTAAAAATATCTCATGTTTATCGTACATTCGTCTAATGTGACTTTTTTTCTAAAATTTAGTTTGCATGCTATTAGGTTTAGTAAAGAGTTTACTCAAAGTGTACCAAAAGAATAACCGGTTCTCACGTTATTTTTTTTTTTTAAAAAAAAATGTCACCATTGATTTCTTTAATAAGTAGCAATTATTCCATGTTTTTTCGAATCTAATTTCTAGGTTATTATTTCAAACCGAGAATTTAGTCAAAGCACATTCGAAAAAAATAGCTCCGAGCGATCACATTTTAAAAAAAAAAAAAGTAACTATTATTCTTCAAATTAGTACTCTCTCCGCCTCAAACATCATACAACATTTATGTTTGGCACGAGAATTTAGGTGATGAGTATTAAGTACGGTAATTTAAGATAATTTGAATATTAAGTGATGTAATTAAAGAGAGAAATGATTATTTATTTTTTTTATTTAAGTGATATGATTGGAGAGAGAAATGATTATTTGTTTTGTTTGGGACAAACAAAACAAAAAATGTTGCAGGATGTTTAGGACGGGGGGAGTATTAATCATCACATCGGGTTTGGTTTGCTTTCTTTTGTTGCAACATAGATGAATTCTCGCATCGGTTGAAATGTTAATTGGAGATTTATCAGCACTATATTGATTGTCCGAGTCATAACATAAAAATACTATAGTTAAGTGTTGTCAGTTCTAATTTGTATGTACCGTAAACTTATATTTAATGTATTATTTGATATATATTATTGAACTATCACCTTAACCGGCCTCCCTCCGGAGAATTCTTCTTATTTCTCTATTTGAAAGGAGTAAAGTATCATTTACCATGAGTGTCAAGCAAAATTAGAATTCATATATCATTAATAATAATAATACTTCTGTCCCATTTAAATTGTTCAAATTTGTTTAAATATAGAGTTTTAGATTTTGTGTAATTAGTAAATAATTGAAAAATATATTAGTAAAAATAATTATAAATTAAGATTAAAATGACTAAATAATTTAACTGAAATAAAAAATATATATATAAATTATGATTTTTAAAATATAATTAAAGTATATAATTATTTTTTTTTAAAAAAAAAAAAGAAAAAATAAATTATGTGTACCTGATAAAAATAAATAGTGATCAATTAACTGGAATAGAGGGAGTGTAAAAGCACTCGGTAAACTTTGGAATAATTACTGCGGAAGTTAAAGTCCTCCATTGTGTCATTGTGTGTTGGTTATTACTTCACTATAAGTATGGAGAATATATATTTAATTAATATTTTATTTATAATTAAATATATAAAAATAAAAAAAATTAAAATATGTATTTAAATATTATTTTTAAAAATAATAAAGTTTATATAATATAAAAAAAATAAAAATAAAAATTTATTTATAATTAACATAAATTAATTAAATAAAAATATGAGAAATTTTGAATGTATATACATTTGTTTATTCTAAATAAATTTTATTTATTTATTATTATTTAATTTTATCAATTAGATTGAGGGCATATTCATATATTCCCTCTAGCCACAAACTAACGTCCTACTTACCTATTTGGGACGTCCAACAACTATTGTCCTATTTTTTTTTTTAAACACAAATTTTATATTTTTACCCTTCATTCATTTATTACTTTTAATTTCTATCATACACTTAAGGGCAAATTTTTCCATTCATAACAAAAAGACAATTACCTCAAAAATCGTACAAATATACTTTAGAAGAATAGAAATTGGACGTAATTTAGTGAGTCAAGTGCTGTTCTGATGCATGCTAATAGCACTATTTATAATTAGTTTTTTTACTATTTAGGGAATGATTTAGAATAGTACTATAATTTTATGAACATGGACAGATTTAAAATGATTAAATTTAGTATATATGGACAAAATTAGAAAATTCAAGATCATTACATATTTATTTTACTGATACTGACTACTTGACACACATACAGACACAATAGTAGTCGCATTACCACGTACACAACATAATTTCTCCTTTAACAAATACACTTTTGGATTTTGAATTGGGATTTGAACGGTAGAAATTTTGAATTTGAATAATTGTATAATGTGATATAAATAGGTGTTGATATGATGTTTTAAATGTAAAATTGATTTTTATTATAATATAAAAAATAAAAAATAGGTGTTTGATTTGATGTTTTTGGGAAAATTTTTTTGGATGAATAGTAAGATTTTGATAAAATCCTACAAGCGAACGCACCCTAAATAAATAAATCCAATTGGGATGACCCGACCCAACGATGTTATTTTTAATTAATGATTAAAGATCATAAATCGTGATTAATGCTTAACGTGTTGTCTCAAGTAATTGAACTCCACCACTCATTATTATATAATTAATTCTGCAATTTTCATTTTCATATATTTGGTTGGTTGACACATGAATTGATTTTTAGTTTGCGCTATAAGAAATTGTGTTAAATATATAAAATATTTTATTTTTATTCGGTTGTAAAAGTTTCATTTATTTTTAAGTGTATTGATCTTTGAATATTAATTATTATATTAAAATTTAATACAAATTAAAAAGATATACAAAAAAATACTTCCATCATGGTCTTGTAATAGTAATAGAAGAAAATTTGTATAAAATACATAAAGATATTTTTAATATCAAATACAATGACGTAAAAGACAAATGTGACCAGAGAACGAAAGACAAATGTGACCCGGGAACATAGAAAATAGTATTATTTTAAGATGAATATTTGAAATTTTTTTTACATTTTGATTTTTGTAAAAAATTATTTTGTATATTAATTACTTGCAGCTTCCCATAACAAAGTATCCATTTTTTTTCATTTTAATCCGTCTCATAACAGAATATCATTATCTACTTCGCATTACAAATACTCTTACAACTTACAATATATTAAACAAATATCATCATTATCCTTATATCATACCATACTAATAAAATTATTTTAGTCATTTCTACTTTATTCCTACTATATTCATTCTATATTTCAATATAATATTAATATTTTTAAAATTAAGTGAAAAAACAAATGGATACAATGGGACGAATGGAGTATTATTTTTAAAATTACCCTTGAAAAATAGTAGCCGAAAAGCAGGTGAATATATATATTATTAATCAACAAATAAGTAAATAAATTAATAAATAATTAAGAATTTCGGCATATAACAGTGACAGTGGATCTAAAATAATAAAAGAGTATTAAATGAAACAATTAAAATATGGTTTCGATGTGAGTCTAGAACAATTGAAAGACGACGTGCATTCTTATAAATAATTAGTCACTTGACATAGGAATAAATAATTAATTTAATAATTGAATAATCATATATACTGATATAAATTATTGGTACGTATGAAACAACAGATACAGAAAACGGCGCAATCTTTAGAAATAGTTAAATTATTGAAATGATTAAACCATTTATTTAATTAGATATAATATTTTATTCATATATATAAGGTGACGTGATTAACTCTATTTTATTTATATATATATATATATAAATGCAGTGGGTTGTTAAAAAACAATAGGGGAAGAGACTCCAATCCACTCTCAAATTTTCCTCTATTTTTTAAGATATCCACTGCTATTTCATTTTTGGAGTTTTTATGGTATTTTTTTTATATTTTTGGGTGTATTGTATACTTTTAATTTTTTAGTAGATGATATATAATTTTATATTTTAAAAAATTGTATGTAATTTTATTATTTTTTGAAAAATAATGTATAATTTTATTTTTTAAAAGTGATATAATTTTAGTTTTTGGAAAGTAATATATTATTTTATTTTTTTTAAAAAAAATAATGTATAATTTTATTTTTTAAATTGATATATAATTTTACTGTTTGAAAAGTGATATAATTTTAATGTGTATGGATCTAATGTAAAAATAAATTAAAATTAAGGTGTAATTTATATATATATGAAAGTTAGATCATCTATCTTCTGTAATAACTGAAAAAATGGAGTGAAAGATTGGAGATCGCCTTACAAGCATTCAAAATAACCTGACATATGACTACATATTATACTAGTGGATAAAAGAATATGATGAAATAATTTGAACTGTTCTTCCACAAATCCCATAAAAATATTTTCAAAAAAAATTATTAATATATTATATACAATTATTATTTTAATGTTACTAACATAACATTTTATTTATATATATAAATAATATTCAGGCCCTTAAATATATATATAAATAATATTTTTATCTATAATAAAATATAAATAATAAAAAAAAACACTTTTTCTAAGATTTTTTTAATGAAAAAAATCAATAATAATAATAATTTTGTTTAATATGTATTTTCTTTTTTAACCAGAAAAAACTAAAATAAAAATAAAAGTTTTCTAAATATATATAAATAATATATTCTATTTTTTTTACCTATAATAAAATATAAATAATTAAATAAAATAAATTTTTCTAGCATTTTTAGGTAAAATAATATTAATATTACTTTTGTCTAAACAATTTTAAAACAAAAATAAAAGCCTCTAAATATGTGTAAATCATAGTATTTTTTATCTATAATAAAATATATATAATTAAATAAAATAAATATTCTAGTATTTTTATATACAAAATATCAATTTGGATGTATATGGATCAAATCAACAAGTTATAGTTTTGTATGCATACATTAAAACCACATAATTTTTATATATAAATATTTTATATATAATATAAATAAATAAATAATAAGGCCTGGCCGGGGAGTCTATTTCGCTATTCCAGGGCCTGTCTGGGCGCATGAAAAAAAATATCTATTCAAACAATTTTACTAGAGAAAAAGTCGAAATTCAAATACAAACTATTTAAGCAGGCAGGAGAAGGAAACAAATATAATTCAATAAATAATTGAACACAAAATCTCTCAAACAAACCAAAAAATAAAAAATGTTTGTATCCAAGCAATGGCTACCTACTGCACTTGGTGCAACTCTTGGGTGCATGTTTGCTGTGGAAGAAGTTTGGTTCTCTACCAACTGTAACAGATCGTTTTCCACACGACGATGACCGCGAAGAAGAGTCGTCGACTGGGGGATTATTCCCACTTGGTTTTACAGCCTTCCAAACTTCAGGTGAAACTTCATGTATAACATCAAGTTTTTGACCCGGAATAAGGAAAGAATTCATCTCTTTCTTGGCTGATGGAGACCTGAATGAATGATGAGAACTAGTTAGCAATGGACATTTTAATCCCAAAAAATCAATCCTAGCTGAATGTTACTCACCCTTGAGGCCTGATCAAATATTTCTGAATAGGAGATTTCATTTTTCTAAACTTCTCCAATCTTTCAAGAGGTGAGCTCATTGGCTTGGCTTCCTTGTGTTTATTATCTTCCTGTGTTGCGTGAGTAGCTTCCGATTTTTGCAGTCTTCCTTTGGCTACGAGGTTTTGGTCTGCATTCACTTTCTTTTTCTGCAAAGATTGAAAATTTTACAATGCACATATGATTGAAAAAGTTTTAAGGTTGTAATTCAGAAGTGTGCGCTTACCTGGATGCTACCGCGCCTCTCACTCTGCTGCAGCTTAGTGTTTGGTGCATTCGAATGCGAAGTTCCGTTTTGAGGGATTGGAATATCTGTTCTTCTCTCCAAGTTGGCTTCTTTAAGAATTCCTCTCTCCTGTAATGTAGAAGAATGTTATATTCATCGACCCTCTACATATCGATCTATCCAGTTAGACTATCAAACATGTACTTACATCAGTTCTTAGTCGAAAAGGTTTCAGGCTTGTGGGCTTTGGTTTCTTAAGCTTGCACACTGGACTAGATGCAATCGTAACAGCCTTCAAATTCTTTTTCTTGGATTCAGCAATCTATATCAGCATAAATCACAATCAGAGAACTGGATGTTATGAAGAACCTTGAATCTTGAACATTCTTAGTGTTTATCGTACCTCTTCTTTTACTTGTAGGTGTTTAGCATGCATTGGAAATGATTTTTTTACATTTGGTGTCGTATTCTTGTTGTTCATGCTGCAATCGAGAAAGTGATAGTAAGTACCAAATCTATTGATTAAAGAAATGGATATTCAAAAGCAGGAAGATTTGTTTCACCTGTTTTCAATGGAAGCTGCAGAATGTTCTTTGTCTTCACCATCCATAAATTTGTGCTCATGTTTCTGCAGATCAGAAGAATTAGTTGTATCTTCTGCAGCATTTTCTTTGTCATCCCAATCGACAAACTTATTCTCATTCTTTTGCTCTTCATGAGAATTACTATTTGCGAGTTCGCCGCAGCATTCTGAGTTGCCTTTTCCATTCTCACCATTGACATTAATTTCCTGTCCTTCAGTTTGAAATCCCAAATTTTCATTTCCTTCCCTTTTGACAACATCTGTTACTGCCAATTCAGAATCTTTTGTTGATGTTGCAACTTGTTCCACAACTTTCTCACACAACCGTTTACTGTTTTTTGATTCTTTCTTCTTTGATCCATTTGTGGAACTATCTCCCAACAATTTCTTGGGTTTTTCCAACTTTCCTTTCACTTTACCTTTAGCAGATCTTCCAGATTTAGCTTCTTGATTCGTGGAAAGTTGAGAAGGAAGTAATGATCCATTAGGCTCTCCTTGATCCGTACGACTTCTTAACTTTGTATGAGGTTTACTTGAATAGCCCAATGCACGCTTCCTCTGACTTGAAATATCAAGCCTTTTCATTCCTTCACACAATTTTGAGATTGGCGTGCGAAGTTCTACTGAAGTCTTCACCTTGATGGTCTTCCTTGGAGAGCGAAACAGTAGAGCCTTCGCAACAGCTCTACTTTTCGGCATTTCAACAGCCCCTGGTTTAGAATTCTGAACACTTCGAAATGAACTTTGATTGGCCACAGTTGCTCTGTTCCTCGGAGTTGTAAGATACTTAGCAGCAACTGGTTTTGTCTTAAGCATAGGTGTGGTTGGTTTGGGCCTCAAAAGAGACCTAACAACCCCTTTTTGGCTATCATCTGTCTTCTTAGAAATGGATGATATAATAGCCATATTTGATAGCTTGGGACGTGAAGGCTTGGGAGGAGCTGAAAGTGGGCATTTGGAAGGTGATCTGAAGAACAAAGACCAAACAATCATAAATAAATGCAATTAAAGGCTGCCGTGAAACTTGATGTTATTTAAGCCAGGTTTACTGCTTAAACCTTGAAGCATTTCTATCAAGTGCTTTTCGAAGCCTTATGTTAGGACTCCTAGCTGCCATGACCTGTGTAAACAAATTTTAGCACCATGAAAGCTTTCAGTTGTTTTCCTTAATTTACAATATATGGAAGATTTCTTAGGCCAAAACTTACCCGAAGAACAAAATTCTTGTAGATTGTTTCTGAATCCATTTCTTCCTCGTGTTTCTGGTCACATCCTGAAACACAAATACAAACAACCCTCTAGTTTTTGAAATTTCGGAATTCCTGATTTTGAGAACGATAAAATGACTGTTGAAGATAAACCAATAGGGTATAAAGTGTTCATCATAAACGTGACCAAAAATTAATATCAGCAAATCTAGAAATCATGCGTTTAGCGGTAAATGAAGAAACATAACTAACTTAAAGGGGGAAGTTTGCTAACATAATCATGCTTTCAACATAAATATTAAGAATGATTCAAATTCATCAAAAACAAAGGTCAGATCTGTTAACAAATGGCACTTCAAGATCTCAATAATCAACACATATTTATCCACTCTGGATTTCATAAACTGTAATTCAAATTATTCGAAAAGCAGCGCGTGTCTTTCCTCAACAGGTATACCCTCATGCCTTCGAAATTTGAAATACTAATTGACGAAACAGATCAAATTGAAAAAACACTCAACACCTTACCGACGCGGAGACAAAACCAATAGCGATCATCGGGGCAATAATGGTGCGGAGCGGTGAAGTCGACGAACTTGGGTGCCTCAATTTCTTCGTAAAATTGTTCGTTCACAGCTTCAACTTCTCCATTAGAGGACTCAATTGGATCTTCCATTGACGGCAATTTACTTGAGCTTAATTGGCAGTCCTCCATCCTTTACAATCGATTTTGTAAGAATTGGAGCGGATAGAGTGTCGAGAGAGAAAGAGAAATAGAGAGAGCAGTTAGGTTTTTTGAAAGAGGTTCAAAATGTTTAAGAACTTGCGGCCATTCTGGAACTAGCCGTTGCAATCTGTCCCACCTAAAACGGATATGGTAATTACTTCAAAAGACAATGGGCAGTTTAGACATATGACGTGAAATCTGGGCAACAAAATTTGTTAAAAAAAAATATAAAAAGATTATTATTATTATTATTCTTATTTTATCTAATCAAAGTTCTAATTCTCAATATATAATATTTCCTCTTTCATTTATTTATAATTTTGTAATAGATTAAACAATAATATGATAAATAATAATAAAATAGTATATTGAAATAAAACGAATGGAGTATATATATTTTTAACAAGGTAATATTTAATACAAAATATTCTCACCGTCCACTCACAATGAATTATATTTTTCGCAAAGTAATATTTAATAAAAAAATATTCTCTTTGTCACCTCATAGTATATATTTTTATTTTAAATTGTTCACTTTTTTTAAAAAAAAATTATGACATATTTTTCTATAAATATTTCTATTTTACCGTCAAATTATTATTTTTATAAAAAACAAAAGGGCAAAATATTTTTATACTATTTTTAATTATTTGGTACAATTAAAATTTATTATTACTTAAACTATATACCCAAATAAATATATACTTTTAAAATGGTGAGGGAATATTATTTTATATATTATCTATCCAATTAACCTACCTCATATAAAAAAATATATATACACCAAATTAAAACACTATACAAATACACTCATTATTTTTTTCTTCATTTAAATTATAATTCTAAATTTTTTATTGGTGGAATATATATTAGGTATGTTCGGTTAATATAATGGGTGTGTTCTTATACATTTTTTTTAAAATGTATTTTTTCCAAAAATTAATATATTATACACATTCATTCATTTTATATTATTTATATAATTTTTTATACTTCACATATAAAATATCTTTTTTAACTATTTCACTAAACTAACACACCCATTTTCAACTTATATTGTCATTGCTTATTTTCTGGTGATACATTTTTAAATAAAATTTTATTATCTAAAAATTTACATTCGGTATTTCTTTAAAAATATTTTAAACAGTACAACAATATATACTTTTTACTAAATTTTATTTAAAAAAAATAAAAATCATCCGTATCATGTTAATAAGAAAATTGACCGTAACTAGATTATGTATTAATTAATCCTACGTTATAAAAATTTGATAGAAATAGTCCTTATTAGGCCAGTTACTAAAATATTCATACTTCTTATTTTTTACATTATTTTTACTTTAATGTCAAAGACAAATTAGACATTACATTATTTTATCACACTACATATGTGTTTGTTTGGGGATTCTTCTCCAAATACACTATTCCTCTTTTTTTTTTTTCTTTTTTTTTTTCCTAAAAAATATTAAATCAAACAGCTATTTTTTATTTTTTTTTATATTATCCTAAAAATTAATTTTACATTCACAACATCACATCAACACCTATTTATATCACATCATATAACTATTCAAATTCAAAATTTTTTACTATTCAAATCTCAATTTAAAATCCAAACCCTCGAACAAACACACCTTTAATTTACTTTAATTCGCGCGCAAAATTCACTAAAAAATTTATCGATGAACGCAGTCACGGAGATAATATATATTAACCCCTTAATAGTTTTTATTTCACGTGTAAGCAAGACTCGTGAATTTTTCTTTTCTGAAAGATCATAATGTTAGTATATGCTTATGAATTGTAAAAAGATCATAATGTTATATACTTATGACCCGGGTTCGATCCCGGTGTGTGTATGAATGTAGTTGAGAAAAAAAACATAAAAATCATAATGAAAGAAACTTAACAATATGACCTCTAAGAAACTCTGGAATAATATAAAGGAACAACAATTTCACTGTGATACCCTCAGCCTTCACGACTGGAAAAAGAAGCATGCAGCCACCCTGCACCATTATACTCAACATATAAATAGAAATAAAAAATAAAATAAACAATAAATAAATAAATATATTACTAATCGTCGACAATAAAAATTAAGATAAAATTAATTATTGCCTTTGACAATTTACTTTGAAAGTAAAATTGTCAAATATAAAATCTATGTGGTGAAATCAATTAAGCTTCAAAAGATGGAGGACTAAGTAGAAAATTCTACCAAACAAATATATATCTCAAACAATTATTTAATTCTTAACAAAATTATAAAGAACATAAAAGTTCATAGAAAGTGCAATAAAATGAGAAGTATAAGCTCCCTTTAGACGGAAGGTTTAAAATTATGAAAAAATTTATAAATAATAATAAAAATTACTCATTTCGTCAGCTTTTAATATTAAAAATATTTTTATATTTGTATAATTTTTTTTTTTTTACAAATAACACAAATGAAAATATTTTTGCAATTTTTTTTTTTTTAATATTGAAATATCAACATGCAAAAAATAAATAAAATCTTTAGAACCAGACGAAGATAATATTTTATATAATATCCTTTTTGAAAAATTACCGTTAATAAATAGTGTCTTTTTTTAAAAAAAGAAAAATATCTATGTAAACATAGTTATAATATACCCACCCATAAGAGCCTAGCTCCCAACCACAGCCTTCTTGGGGATGGAAATGGAAGAAAAATGTGAATAAGTCCATAGACGGCCAAACCCGATATATGGAAGAAGACCATTAATGGATGCGAGAAGAGGCCGCAAACAACGGCGATGGTGCTGCTGGAGAAAATCCCTCCCAGGCTTAAATACTTGAAGCATATTTGTTGCAACGCCTCCTTGACGTCGTCATCGTGTTCATTCGATCCGGGGGCGACTTTGGATGAGTCGACAATTGTGTGTATTCCTCCAGCAAACACATTTATTGTGAATGCAAATGGCTGCACAGTTCAAGAACAATTGATTGATACATTCTTGGTGAATAAAGTAATAGGGTTAGTGTTTTGCTGTATGCTTATATAGGATCGTTCTTGAATTTTGATGGATTCGGGATTACAAAAAAAAGAAAAAGGTATTATATATTTTAATATATAATTAATATTTTTAATTATTTATTTTTAGTTTTTTTGATATCATTATTAATAAAAATATACTATTTTATTTTATAAAGTATCGTATTAAAATACATTTAAATAGAAAAACTCATATTTAAATACAAAAAAACAAATTTTAGTACATATATTTTGATATTTTATACATATATTTATAAGTTTTATTTTTTATATAAATATTTATATATTTTTTAAATGGATCTTAAAAGAGTAAAAAATTTTGAGGTTTTGAGTGTGGATTCAAGTAACTCATGCGAGTCGGCCTAATTACAAATATAAACTAAAATTTAAATCTTATACATATTTTACTTTTTCAAATATTTTTATAATCCATCATTCGCCTTAAATGTAAGTCAATTTAAATTGAATTGACAACAAAATTATCTGAAGTCTCATATTATTTTTTTTGATCGTGTGATATATTATAATACTAATCTTCTATGTAAAATTTTTGTTGAATAATATTTTAAATTACATAAGTTTAATGTATTTAACTAAAATCCAGTGATGAATTTGCCCATATTTTCAATTTCACAACAAAATTTGATCAATAACATACCTTTCTTAGAGCATAGAATGATTTGATATGCGTGGATAGATCATTTGTGTCGTGTAGGTCTCGTACGCGTGTAAGAAGATCGCGAAGGAGAACTACGTCGAATAGGGCTACGGTCATTCCGCCACCTAATATAGGATGCCGCATATTCAGCGCATCGCCAATTAGAACTGCGCCGGGAGTGCAATTAGGGTTTCCTGGCATGCATTTGTTCGGCGTCATCCTTCTTTTTCCTTCATCGATTGCAGCTATGAATGCGCCGTAAAGAATGGGAGGAATCTAGTCCAAAGCATTTTGGTGATGTGTTAATGACAAAATCATGAAAATAGTCGAAGCTATCGTGAAAATTAAGTTGATTAATATTTGCTAAGTACATACCTTAAAAGCGACGACAGTTTTCAAGTAATTGGAAATGCATGGCAGCTTCTTCCTCGGGATATCGATCATGAAGCGAATTTCTGTGGTGCTGATGCGATAAAATAGTAGTGAATGATCGGGTGCAAGTACTACATGGCTGTAGTTAGGATATGGCAATTCGCAATCTTGCAAGATCAAACAGACCATGCAAGAGGGAATGTCCACCTACATTGTAGAAAAGCATGAGACTAGAGAGATATCGAAAACATATGAATGAACTATTTTGTTATTACAATATGGTTAATATATATATATATAGGATAGGCCGCAAATCTTATGTTGATTGAGTCCATAGGTATACAGCATATATTATACACAATATATATTGTGTTATGTAAAAATATATATTGTATACTTTTTTGCTATATATATATATATATACACACACGTTGATTGAGTCAAATCAATACCACATCCGCGCGTGTATATATATACTATCCCATCCATTATAATTGTGCCATTTTTTCTTTTTATGTCTTTTAAATTTATGTCCAATCAATTATGTTAAGTATTTCATATTGGATGTAATGTTGGGATTCGCCTACCCTTGTAAGGGGTGAAAGGCTACTCCACTTATGGCCAATTAGTTTTAAGTTAGAACCCCAGATCCCCATCTTAACATAGATTTTCGAGATTATCATCTCGAGGAAGAGTGTTAAGTATCCCACATTGGATGTAATGTTGGGATTCCCCTACCTTTTAAGTTGGAACCCCGGTCTTAACAGAATCTTTAGAATTTTTTCTATTTAACATGTCACTTTTTTTATCAATTATTTAATAAATTTTTTTATAATATTCTCACTTTACTTTTTATCTACTCTATTTTTATATTAAAATTTTATTATTTTTTAATTTCCGTCTTCGACCAAAGTGACATAATTAGTTCGGACAGAAAGAGTATCTACCTTAGGAGTACATAGAGCGCGTCGTAAGTTCGAAGAGCTACCATCGCAAACAATAGTGAGCGGAGCATAAGCAGAAGCTATGGCTTGACTATTTTTAGTTTTGTATCGAACTCCCTTAATCACTCCCTTTTCTTCGATCAGCGAAGCTACCGACCCTTGCTGAAGTCGAACACTGATCCGTCACAAAACATTACTGTTACGCAAAAATATATTTTTCCTATTAAGTCTATTTTTTATTTTAAATATCATATGCAATGCATATTTACCATTCAAAATATTTGAAATCCATAAGAAAAGTATTATGAACTTTGTGTGTTGATATTTGAATATTAATTATTATATCAATACGTGTAGTACAAATAAAGAAAAACTGATAAAAATATATATTAGTCTCTTATAATACAAATATAATGACATTTGTGAAGTAAATTATACAAATATAAGGATATTTGTTTATGTTAAGTACAATGACGTAAAAAATAAATAGTGATGATTTTATAGGACGGAGGAAGTGTATATTCCCCAAACAAAACATACTCTAAATACTCACTTGGGAATGGTTCTTGCCTTTTGTCTCATCCTGTGTACAAACCTGCCATTGTGAAAGCACATCCCTTTTGTCTCTAAGGGATAAGGCAGCATAATACTTTCACCATCCTTGTAAAGAACATAACCAAGAAGTTGTTGAGCATCAATATCTCTTATACAATCTGTAATTGATGCACAATATAATAATCATCGATCTATTTCGTGCATTATCAATCATCAATGAAATTCTATTATGTATTTTCATACCTTCAAGGCCCAAGTCCATCAATTTCAAGAACCCGCCGGGTTGTAAAACTTCGCCCACGATACGGTCCGGCTCTTTTAAGTCCCTTTCGATCACATGAACTTGTCGCCCATCCTGCATTTAGTTGCGCATCAAGTATCTATGGATAGAAAAAAAAAAAATCTATACAAATGATTTTATCATGTGTCGAACCGCATCACCATGCATATCGAGCCTCACATCTTTTTGCAAATGTTATAACTTGTGTTTTGTAATTTGAAATTGAACCCAAATTCAGTAAGCTAAAGATTAAACCTAAAGATCAATTAGAATTTTTTTTTTTAAAGAAAAAAATATTGAGGCCACTGGACACTCGCACGCCCGTGCAAGAATATAGAGACACTAAAGTTTCTTTTAATTTTTGAAAAAAATTGATTTTGGTTTGATATTAAAATAATATTTGATGGAATATTTTGTAAGAGAAGAAAATATATTTTTTTCAAAAAATGCAAAGTTTAAATAGTAAAATTTGAATGTTTGGTGCAAAAGAAACACACCCGAATCTTGATTGCAACCTATTGGCTTTGAAGGATTAGTTTGATTTTGGTCAGATTCATTTTAATTTTTAATTTTTATTTTTTTGTTACGGACCCTCTAATTGTGGAATTTATCTTGAACCATGTAAATTATGTCTCCTTAATCTTTTATATTACTTTCGAATTACAAAGATTTATCGTATTTTTGCCACCAACTTCACAGCAATAACATAACAAAGATGAATTTTAAGAGGAAATTTTCTGAAAAAAAAAAAAAATTACCTTGCCAAGAGCATAGGCCAGCGCCGACCCAGCAACTCCGGCGCCAACAATTATAACGTCGGCGTGGCCATGGAGCTCCGGCTGAACGTCATCGTCCACGACAGATTTCTTTATGCAGTCATTATCAGAAACATTGATCGAATGTGTAGTTTTCATCCATAATGTATAGAACACAACAAACAAGATCAGGAAAATAATACATCCACCAAGAAAATACATATCTTCGACTGCCATTATTGTAAAATCGGAATAAATTTGCTTTGTTGACTATGATTATTAATTAAAACAAAAAAAAAAAAATCTAATGCTTGAGATCTATTTTATTTTGGTGGTTGTTTCAGAATTCAAGTTCAGAAAAATTTTGGTTTTATAGTATTAATTAGCATTCAACAGTTATGATCTAAAATCATGCAAAATGTATGTAGTCTGTGCCTTACACAATTATTATACGCCACCAAAAGTGCAGCTTTCGATCAGCTGGATATTCGGCTGTGCTTGTATTTGTTTTATACTCTATTAGTATCCAATTGAATGTTCATTTGATCAATTAAAAAGAAAAAGATAAAAAAAAAATATTTACTTTGTAGAGTAAAGAAAAAATAATACTACTATGTCCAGTTCTAAGGTCTCATTTACTTTTTACACAATGATTTTTGAATATTAATTATTATATCAAAATATTGTGCAAATTTAGAAAAAATTATATAAATACTTCTATTAGTATCTTATAATATTAATAGAAGGACATTTGTACAAAAACTTATAAATATAAAAATATTTTTAATGTTATTAATGCAAAAGATAAATGTGATCCTTGGAGACGGACAGATGAAAAAAATTTTACTGAGAAAAAAAAGAATAAATTTAAATAAACATTAAGTGAAAGTGTCTTAATAAAGAATTTAGAGTTCCAACTTAAATCACTTGGTGTTAATGATATCATTTCAAAATTCTAAAAATGATCAATATCTAATACGGACACTATGACTTTGATACAACGTAAAGAAAAGGATTCAAGGTTCCAATTTAAAATCAATTGGTATTAAGTAAAACAATCATTCACTTTTATTAAGAAAGAGCGTCTCAACATCTTTACTAATGTGGGGTATATATATCCAATACAACGAAAAATTGAAAATTCAAGCGAAATTACTTATGACTCACTTGTGGTCTGAAAGTATCTATCATTCTCCCTTAATTTAGAAATTGCAATAGTTTCCCTTGTAATTTTTAATATTCTACAAATTTTTATTTTCTTTTGAAATTTTATGCAATATTTTAAAAATATAAAAAAATCTCGTACAATTTTTAGAAAATTTTGTGTAATATTTTTTAAAATACAAAAGTGAATTGTGTAATTTTTAAATTATGAGGGAATATGTTACTGAATTTTCAACCAAAAATAAATAAAAAATATTTTTGCAAAAAAAGAGTAGCGTATGCACAACAACAATTAGTACTATGTTAATCTAATCAAATTTTTTCTAGTGGAAGTTATAAGTATACCCACCACATGGAACAACATTTATGTATATGTATATATACACCGTGAGAATATGCAATCGGTACTTGACGAATGCATTCTAAGTAAATATCTGTTCGAACCTAATAATTATAAACTAAGCTCAACAAATCAATATGTATATATCTTGATATTTTTTGTGAGGGTTAATTTGAACTTATGTTCAATTTCTCTATCATATTATAATAATTTTAACTTTACTCAAAATATTTAGGCCTATATATATGTATGTATATATATATTTACATATATTGGGGGGATATATAAATTCAAATCTCACTTTAAAATATGTATATATATATATATATATGAAATTTTTGGGAAAAGCACAGAAGAAAATCAATATTCATAAGTTGATCATTTAAAGTAGACAATATGATATACTTATTATGAAAAATTAAGTTGTTTGGTTGTAGGAATCATACACTTATGACTGGCTGATAAAATGGTACTTCAATTTTTTTTAGTAAGTATAATTTCTTTACATATTATTAGCGATTGTGGATTCTAATATTATATAAAGAAAACCCATAATTTCCTATTTATTGAATTAAAAATTATTGGTGTACAGATTTTTCCATGTTAAAAATATTAAAAATGCATCTTTTAATAACCCTTGTGCTATTCAACAACAACTCAACATTATTAAATATATATTTATAAAATGATATAAAAACAAAACAATATAAAATGATATAAAAAAAAAAACAAAAATATGAAAATTTGTTCTTTTATAATTTTTAAGTAAAAATAAAAAATAAAAAAGTACATAATTTTTTACAAAATATTAAATAAAAATATTATGTAAATAAAAATTGAAATATAAATTGAATCTAAAAAGCAATTATATTTATGTTTAGCTAGTGACTTAAGATAAAATATAGATTTGATGATATTTCCATATCTAATGCATAGTAAATAATGACAACTTTTTAAGCGTGGTGGAAAGAGTCAAGAAAAACAGCCGGGGCCATTATTACTATATTCTGTCCCCGCCTCAAACGTTCCCTTTTCAGGAATTTGGGTTTGTTTGTATGTTTGTTTGATTATTTATTTTTTTTCATAAATTAAAGTTATTTTATTTAATTTATATAGTTCATAATAAAAACATATATACCATTTTATAAATAGCAGCATCAAAATTGTATTTAAATTAAAAATAATATTAAAAAATCAATCTCAAATAAAAAATACTTCCTCCGTCCCAGATTTCATGTTTGTTACACTGTAGACATGGTATTTTACGAGAGACGTAATTAGTAGATAATTAAGAATGTAGTAATGATAATAATTATCTTATAATATAAATAATTATAAATTAAAATTAAGATAACCAAGTAGTTTAATTAAAATAAAAAAAATAAAATTTAAAAATTTAAAATGAGATTAAAGTATATAATTATTTAAAAAAAAAAAAATGACTATCATGTGGACAGACAGTGTGGACATGGTATCTGGATGGAGGGAGTAACAAATAATCCCTTTTAAACGATATCTTTAGTATTTTCATTCTCATCTAATTAAGGTTGTGGATGTTTGTGCTCTTTCATATCATTTTTAATATATATATATTTATCTGATAAGAAATTTTTTAGTATTTGCGATCATACTTTTCTGGAATTATTTATATATTTTTATTAGCAATTTGATTGCAGTACTTACATCTAGAATATTAATCTTCTAAATATCCATTTAATATTTATTTTTATTATAAATAAATATTTAAATGAAAATTCTGTTATTAGAAAAGATGTGTTTATTTTAATTTTCTAAAAATTTATTATTTAAAATTCTAATTTTATTTTTAAAAAATATATATATTTTTAATATATTTAATCAAATATTATTTAAGTATAAAGTACTTTCTTCTCTATTATTTCTATTTTGTTTCTTTCAATATAATTTGTTATTTGTCATTTTCAATGTAATTATATATTTTAATGATATTTTAAAATTTAAACTTTAAAATTTTTTTATTTTAATTAAATTATTCAGTCATTTTAATTTTAATTTAGAAGTATTTTTATTAAATTATAGTTATTTCATTAATATATTTTTTAATAATTTATTAATTATATGACATCTAAAAGTAGTGTCTGAAACAAATTAATTTTGTAAAAACAGTATAAATAAAAATATCTTCAAATGAAACAAAAGAAGCAGCCATTCTATAAGTAATGTCTTACCAAACACATCCTAAGATACCCACCAAATGAAGCTGCTCCACCATCACCATCGTCATCATCAATTGACGCAGTCCCATTTACCAATTTCTCATAGTATTTTAAACCGCCTCTGCTCTCTCTTCCACCATATCCAATTACATACTCCTTTAATTTTATGGATATGGCCATGCCTATGGAGATTGGCCTCCTTTCCAGCTACGGCTTTACTGCAATTTTTTGCATAGCAATCGTACTACTCTACACGACTTTGACTAAACACAGGGAGAAGAATCTTCCGCCGGAAGCCGCCGGAGGCCGGCCATTAATCGGCCACCTGAGCCTACTTTCCGGCCCGGAACTGCCCCACGCAGTCCTCTCCGACATGGCCGACAAATACGGCGCCGTTTTCACCATCCGGCTCGGCGCAAAGCGCGGCCTAATAATCAGCTCCTGGGAAGCCGCCAAGGAATGCTTAACCACAAACGACGTCGTCTTCGGCAACCGCCCCAAAACCTCTGCTATTCAGCACATGAGCTACAACTTCGCCATGTTCGGATTCAGCGGCTACGGCGCCTACTGGCGAGAGCTGCGCAAAATCTCCGTGCTGAACCTGCTGTCCAATCACAAGGTTGCGCAGCTGGGGAACGATCTGTTGGAGCACGAGCTCAAATCGATGATGAGATCTCTGAATTCCGAGGGGAAAGCGGAGATGAAGAAATATTTTGGGGATTTGACTCTGAATTTGATGGCGAGGATCGTCGCGGGGGATGTGGGGAGCGATAAGGAGGTCGTGGAAGGAGACAAGTGGCGGAAGGCGATCAAGGAATTCTTCAGGATGATGGACGTTCTCACCATGGCCGACGTGCTTCCGTTCCTGAAGTGGTTTGAGAATACGAAGGAATTTGAACGGACTGGGGGAGAGCTTGATGGCGTGCTTCAGGCGTGGTTGGATGAGCACAAGAAGCGGAACCGCCTGGAAGAATCTGGAAGCTTCATGGGAGAGATGATCGGTTCGGCGGAGAAGGTTGCACGTGCCTTTGAAGGCTATGATGCTGATACAATAAATAAAGCAACTTGCCAGGTATTTTTATTTATTTATTTATTTATTTATTTTCGTATTTATTCAATTTTTTACTATTAAAAATTTGATTCAATATACAAAAATATATATATATATATATTCAATTTGAAATCGACAATATATAATTTTATTTAACAGAATATGCATATTACTTCCTACGTTCTATTTAGAGTGTTATTTTTCTTAGTTGGAAAAAGAATTATATATTTTAAATTTCATTTTAATTTTTTTATAAATTTTTAATTTTAATTTATTTTTTTATTATAGAATAATTATTTTTCATTAATATATTTTTAATTATTTATTAATTATATTTTTTTAAATTACCGTGATTAAACAGACATAATTGCCAGGACAGAGGATTTATTTTAAATTAAATCATGTAATGTGCTTTTGTTTTATATTTGCTGATTAAAATCGTCAACGTAACCTTTTGGATCCATGTGAGTTAGCTTAGTCAAATATTATAATTTTTAAATATTTCTGTGTTTAGGAATTCAAATATGATGGTTCATTAATGATTTTATTATTCAGATATATATATATATATATATGTGTGTTCGCTTGGTCAAATATTCTATTTTTTAAATATTTTGTGGTTACACATTCAAATATGATAGTATTTTATTAATTCAAATATTTTGAATTTGAGCTTACTTGCTTTGTCGACTAGTCAAATATTTCCAAAACTTGGACGTTAGGTGCTCAATTTGATAAGATCAGTAATAATCAATAATAAGTGACGTGCACAATTAATTATAAACTGTTGAAATTGTTTTACAAAAATTGACATGTTAATTGTAGGTTAATTTCCTCGGATATAAATAACTAAATTTTGACATTGAAGACATTGTATCAAATTAAATGATTATTTTCTTAACAGTTTGACTTTTTAAATGAAACGGTCATTCCGCAGATCTTACAAGTGCTATTTTGTCTCTACTATAAACTAATGCTTAGCTTTTCCTAACTCAAAGGGCTCCAAAGCTCTATTCTAAAGTCTATATTATGGCCATCTACTAATATACTATGCAATTCTCAAACATTAAATCAAACGCTTATTTCAAATTGTAAGCGAAAACGAAAACAATCATAGTGTTTTTACTACAAACATATAGCAATTCTTGAGATATTAACAATGTTCATAAATTTTGAAGGTACTCATGCTAGGAGGAACATATACAATCTCGGCGACACTCACATGGACTCTATGCTTGCTACTCAACAACCGCGACGTCCTCACAAAGGCTCTAGAAGAACTCGACACACATGTGGGCCGGGCCAGGCGAGTACAATCATCAGACCTATCTAATCTAGTCTACATTCGGGCCATCATCAAAGAAACTTTGCGACTATACCCACCGGCCCCCATATTGCCCCCTCGGGAGTCCGTGGCCAATTGCACAGTCGCAGGCTACCACATCCCGGCAGGCACACGCCTGATGATCAACGCGTGGAAACTCCATCGGGATCCTAGAATTTGGTCCGATCCACTAAAATTCGAGCCCGAAAGATTTCTCACCGACCACAAAGAGATTGATTTTAAAGGCGGTGTTAATTTTGAATTGGTTCCGTTCGGGGGCGGGCGGAGGGTTTGCCCCGGGATTTCTTTCTCCCTTCAGGTGGTGGAGCTAACGATCGCTAGTTTGTTGCAAGGGTTTGATATCGAGACGTTGTCTGATGAATGTGTCGATATGAGGGGGAGCTTCGGTTCGACGAACATGAAAGCTACTCCTCTTGAGGTTGTGCTCAAGCCAAGATTGCCTACTACACTTTATGGATGATCCTTTAATTTGCTTAGAAAAATGAAGAAGGAAAATGTACAATGGAAAATCTTTAGAAGTTTTTGTTGTTGTGTGTGGTTAAATATTCATTTGAATTGTGTTTGAAATATAGACATGTTTTAAGTGTGATCACGTGTATTTAAATGTTGACAATAGATATACTCACTCCATCTCGCTGCTCTTCTGTTTTGTACGAAAGATGATTCATTTTTATTTTTAGTAAATTTATATATTTTAAATATTTTACTAAATATAAATTAATTTAATTAAAATTTTAAATCTCTTTATTATTTTTATGTCTCTCCTATGTAAATAAATATTTTTTCTATATTTAAAATTCTTTATTTTTTATAAAAATTAGTTTTAAGTTAATTATAAATAAATAAATATATTTTTATTTATTTGGGTTATATAAAATTTTATTATTTACAAAATGATATTCATATTCTATATATTTTATTAAAATATAATGCTAGAAATATTTAAAATACCAACAACACTGCTCATATAAAATTTTAACTTGATTGGTTAAAAATTTTAAAGTTTTAAAAGAATTTACCTAAATACTTAAAAACTTTTAAAAATTTAAACTTAAATTTTAAGGGTTTTGATTGAATAAGCACTTCTTAGTCTCATTACAAAAAAAAAAAAAAAAAAAAAAAAAAAAAATTAATCAATTTTGATATGATCGTTTAAAAGTTAATTGTAAATGCTAACATGGCATAACATAATATAACCGTAATATCTTATTTGAGCAAAACACAGTTGTATATGAAAAGTTCGCAACGCCAAAACACGCACAGCCGTGTTCTGAAACCTCTCAGTTCAGACTTCTTCTGCTTCTCGGAATTGGAGGTTTACAAAAAAAAAGTTAATATGTATTTAATTGATCAAATTCTGTCTATGCCCTATTTTTCAAATTTTGGATGAAGAATCAATTTGGCGAAATTTTTTTGCAATTTCTCTATTCGATATTGGTGGGCGCAAATAGATTTCCATGCATGGAAGGGACCCTATTCACCTGAGAGACATCCCAAATTTGTGCTCCGCGAGACGGCGGCAGCCGGCGTCGGCCATTATCCTCAACGCGTTCGAGCAGCTGACCTTGCCGGAGAATGAAAATGACCACTGTCAGATTGAACCTATGGAAAAAGAAGACACGATTGACTGAACTCGGAGGCAGCGAATTCCGTTGTATATGTGCAATAATGGAACCAGCCTAAAATTTCGGGGGAAGGGGGCAAAATATGGATTTTTTATTTTTTATTTTTATTGACTAATGTTTTTCTTTTTACTTCTTACACAGTCACGTAAAAAACAAGAAAAGAATTTGGAAAAAATTAAATATTTTAGAGAAAATTTTAATAAAATTATAGTTAACCGAAGGGGTGACGTTTACTTTTTGCACATACATTTTTCAGTATTAGTATTATATTATTATATTAATTTATAGTAAAAAAAACAAAAATACTCTTAGGGTGTGTTTGTTTGAAGGATTTTGGTGGACTTTTACTATTCATCTCATTTCCCCCAAAATATCAAATCAAATATCTATTTTTTATTTTTTTATATTATAATAAAAATCAATTTTACATTTAAAACATCACATCAACACCTATTTATATCACATCATACAACTATTCAAATTCAAAATTTTTACTATTCAAATCCCAACTCAAAATCCAAACCCACAAACAAACACACTCTTATTAGATTATGTAATATAAAAGTAATGGCATTTGTATAATATTTTGAAAGTTGTAAGGATATTAATTATGTTGGTAGGTAGTACAATTACTAATGATATCCTTGTTTTGGGACGGTAAAAATAAAAAATGGTATCCTTCTTATGAGACGGAGGGAGCATAAAATTTAATATTTTTTAATAAAAAAAAAATTTAAAGGCTAAAATTGTAATTCAACAAAACAAAAATTTTATTATTATTTTTTACACTATAAAATAAAAAATTAAGGGGGACAAATTAATAAAAATACGTCATATAATTATTTTTAGTACTGAAAAACGCATATATTTTTGGGGCTGGAGTCAACCGCCCCTAACCCTTACTAGGTCCGTCCATGTATATGTGAACTTCGGAAGCATCACCGTGATGACGGCCGATCAGCCGGTGAACTTTGCGTGGAGCCTAGTGAACAGCGGGCAGTCGTTTCTACGGGTGATAAGGCCAACCTGATCTCCGGCGACTTTGCCACGTGAGTTTAGATGATCTGCTGGCCGGCCGGCCGTTCTTCACGGCGAAGAAGATCATGCCAATTGCAGTTGGTATTGTTATTCCATAGAAGAAGTTTGAACATTATCGAGAAGTGAGAGGTTTAAGAACACAGGTGTGTGTTTTGAAACACGGCCGTGTATTTGATAGGTTGTTTATAATTATACACGGATGTGTTTTCGTAAGTAGAGCCATATTGGTTCAAATAAGATGTTACTTTAGATTTCGTCATGTTACGTCAGTATTTATATTGTTAGTTTTTTAATAATAGGATCCGAATTGATTAAATTATTTACAATGAGAATAAACTTTTTGTAATATGATCAATGTTGATTGTTGAGTTTTAGTAGCACTATTTTTAATTTTTTCTTAAAAGAATTAAAAAAAAAAATAAAATGACAAAGAAGAAGAAAAGTAGTTGACGATGTCTATTATTTAGGGTGTTTTTTTTTCTTTTTTTTTTTTTAGTTTTATTACATATTTTTATTATTTAAAATTTATTTTTAAAATATTAAATCAAGTAATTACCTTTATATATATATATATTATACTATAATTCTATTTTATATTCAAAAAATCACATCTAGTATTTATTTATATCATATTGAATAATTGTTCAATTTTAAATTTTTACTATTCAAAAATGTAAACTGACAAACAAACACACCCAGAGTTTTATTAATTTAATTAAAATAAAATGTTACTAATATGTTATAAAAGGTTAGTTTTTATTATTTCATAATGATTTTATATCAATTTTATGTTATTCTTGCAAAAGTAACGGTTGTGATCTTACACTGTTAGTATTAATGCCCGGCTTGAGGGTTTCGACATTTTCTATAATTTACTAACATATTAAAAATTTATAAAATTTAACCAAACTACATATGGATTTCATGTAATTTTTCTATTTTTTTTTCTTTTTTTTTATAAATTCTTATTTTAAAAACAGATTTATAAATAATATTATTATCAAAGTCACAAGCCAGCAAACTCGTTTGACTGTTGACATTTTCAGCTCTCTACTTAATTCTCAAATCTCACCATTCGCAGAGGTCATAAACACCATACAAAATATTATTATCAACATTATTCTACTATATATTATATTTATATTATTAATACGATTTTTTATACTAATATAAAAAATATATCTATCTGAAAACATAAAGTAGACACTCGGGAAAGTTACAATAAAATATTTTGTACCTATAACCAAATATCACTACTATATTTTGTCATCCGAAAACATAAAGTAGACACAGAGGGAAGTTGTAATAAAATATTTTGTACCTACAACTATATTTTGTCATTTATATATGTTTGCCGACTCAAATGTATATTTAAGTGTGCCTAAACTAATGTCAAATATTTTTTAAACTTTTACATAAATTAAAAAGATATTATTATATACTCTCTACGTCGGGCTCTAAAGTCCTGTTTACCTTTTGCGTTATTGTATTTAACATTAAAAATATCCTTATATTTGTATAATTTTTTACACAAATATTATTATAATAGTATTTATTATAAAACACTAATAGAAGTATTTTCGCCATTTTTTCTTAATTATATTACATTTTTATATAATAATTAATATTTAAAAATCAACACGACAAAAACTAAATAAGACCTTAGAGTGAGACATTTATATGATAATATTATCAAAATATTAATACATATTTTTTTACTTATAAAATACTATTTTCTTAGTTAGACACAGAGTTTTGACAAGGAGTTTTAAGTATTGTTTAATTAGTAAAATAATTATGATTTAATAAAAATAATTATAAATTAATATTAAAATAACTAAATAGTTTAATTAAAATAAAAAAAAATTATAATTTATGAATTTTAAAATATGAGTAAAATATATAATTATATTTTCAAAATAAATTATAAAAAACAGACAGAAATAAAAATGATGGACAAATTAGACCAGACTAATGAAGTATTGTTAATTAATTTATTAAAAAAAAAATGCATACATTTGGATGGAATCGAGGGAGTATATAAAAATAGTAGTATTTTAATTTATACTTTTATGTAAAGTGATAGATATGCTATAATAGTATGAGTCTCATGTCTATTAAAATTAGAGCATGCAAAAATTGACCCGAAACGAAATAATTGAGTTTGGGTCAAAGATTTCAACTCGATTATATATATGGGTTGGCACGAACCCGATACGATAATAAACGGGTCGGGTTAGGATTGAGGCTTTCAACTCGAATCCGACACGACAACCCGATTATAATATATTAATATTGATTAATATATTTATTATATATATATAATAATCATAATTTAATAATTTTTTCATAAATTAATTTAAACTAAGTTCAATTTTAAATAATTCAACATAATTTACGCTCAAATCAATAAAAACTAACATAACACGACAACAAAATACAAAATTATTTAATTTGAATCAAAAAATTAGATTTAATTATGTATACAAAACGAGTCAACCCGTACCCGACACGATAATAAACGGGTTAACACGAATCCGACACAATAATAAACGAGTCGGGTTAGCGTTGAGTAATTTAACTCGTTTAAAGTATTCAACCCGACATAAATTGATCCACTGCCGGCCGGCTCTAATTAAAATATAGATGTATACTATTTTATTAACACTCTAAATAGTAAACTATATGTTTTGTTAGTAGGTGAAAATATTTATATAATATAAAATAAAATTTATTATTATTTTTTTAAGATAAATAAATAAATAAATAAATAAAAAAAAACCCACAATGTGTTGCATACTATCAACAATATTATTAGCATGCAACGATCAGATTGAAAAGATGTTCATGTTGCATATACTTGCATTTTTTAAATGACACCAGAAACCCTTAGATAAAAGTTCTTTAAGTTATAAAAATATATGTGTATATATATATATATATATTTACCTGAGTATTTAATATTTATATTTATTTAAAATTTATATTTTGTGAGAAAATACATTTAATATTAAATAATGTAAATAATTTCTGACCACCTAAAAGTTAACATCATTTACATTGTATCAAACTCTATATGCTATGCATCCCCTGTTTTTATTAGCATCATTTATCTATATAATATTTATTAGAAGTTAACCACTAGGGCTCCTCCCGTCAAAGAAATATTCCCTTTGTCCGATCGTTATATTTATTTTTTGTGTCATTATATTCAATATAAAAAATATTTTTATATTTATATAATTAATAATATATTTCACTACGCGAATCAGGGGATTTTTCAATTTTGATGTGATGTTAAATATATAAATGAGCATTTTAGGTAAAACTATCAGTACCGAGTTGAAAAAAAAAAAAGAAAAATTCAATAAGAAGTATTAGAACTTTGAAAAGAACATTTGTAAAAGCAGTGCTTGTGTGCAGGCGGCCAAATTTCCTTCATTTATTTTCTTTTTTCAGACCAACAACGACGTTGCTTCACAGTCACTGATATATACATACATATATATATATATAAATATGCAAGACAGAAGAAGAGGTCAACTGAGATTAAGAACAGTCTGTTTAATATTGTCCCACATTTTTTAATGTGTGAAAACTTTTCTAATATATAAGAGTGAAGGGCACTTCATCTATCGTATCAATTGATATCAAAGACATGGGGCCGCATTGAGCTCAAATTCATGTAAGAACTCCTTTAATATATATATTCTGACTCTTCTTTCCTGCCAGACTTGGTCTACAATGACTCCTTCCACCTTCTACCCACATTATTAATTCATCAAAAACCTAATTCAAACACAAATACTTATTACACATATTGAAATACACCCATTTCTTCCAAATTCGATCGATCCATCAATTCCACGCCATTAATGGCAGCAATCCACAGCTGGATCATTCTCTTCTTCTACCTATTCTTATCTCCTCCTCCAATCATCTCCCTCTCCTTCAACCTCCCCGCCATCGGCCCTTCCGACACCAACACCAACATAAACACCACCGGTTCTTACATCTCCAGCCAGGGCATCCAGGTCACCCCCGACGAGCGCGGCGTCAACCAGGCCCAGAAATACGGCCGAGCCATCTACGCAAAGCCGCTGCAACTCTGGGACAGGGCCACCGGAAACCTCACCGGATTTTCCAGTAACTTCTCCTTCGTGATTGATTCCAGGGGCAGTAATAACTTCGCCGACGGGCTCGCCTTTTTTATGGCCCCTGTCGGAACCCCCCTCCTGCCGGAAACCGCCGGCGGCGGCATCGGCTACGGGACGTCCAAATCGGTGGCCAATTCGTCGGCGGAGATATTCCTTGCTGTCGAATTCGACACGTTTCCGAATTCTGGTTGGGATCCTTCGTACCGCCATGTCGGAATTAATATCGGCTCGCTTAGATCGGCTGTAGCCGCCGAATGGCCGAATAATATTACTCATGGAGCAGAAAACAACGCCTGGATCAGCTACAACGCGGCTTCCATGGTGCTTAGAGTTGACTTCACTTCGTTTACGAGGAACGGGTCGAGAATCGACAGAATCGAACATATCGTCGATCTTAGACAACACTTGCCTGAACATGTCATTTTTGGGTTTTCGGCGGCGACGGGAGCTTTGTTCCAGAGAAACACTGTCAAGTCATGGAACTTTTCTTCCACATTGGATCTTCCAGAACCAGGGCGGGGGCCAGGTCCCGGACCTGGCCCTGTCATCGGAACGAGGAAGAAGACAGGGATGATTGTCGGATTAAGTCTTGGCCTGTCGGCGGCGGTTCTTGTCTTAGTTCTTACAAGCTACTGCATATGGAAGAAGTCGAAGTCGAAGTCGAAGTCGAAGTTGAAGAACAAGAACAACGATAGTGGATACGAACAAGACGAGGAATTTATAGAAATGGACAACGAATTCGAAAAAGGGAGCGGACCAAAGAGGTTCTCTTACCTCGAATTATGCCGCGCAACGAGTAATTTTTCAGACGAGGAGAAGCTCGGCGAAGGGGGCTTCGGAGAGGTATTCCGGGGGTGGTTGAGAGAAACGAATTCTTACATTGCCGTAAAAAGAGTATCTAGAAAATCGAAGCAGGGTCTAAAAGAGTATGTTTCCGAAGTCAAGATCATAAGCCAATTAAGGCATCGAAACTTGGTGCAACTAATTGGGTGGTGCCACGAGCGCGGCGAGCTTCTCCTCGTCTACGAGTTCATGCCGAACGGAAGCTTAGATTCTCACCTCTTCAAAGGCGGCGAATCCCAATTGACGTGGCCTGCGCGCCACAAAATCGCGCTCGGATTAGCCTCGGCGTTGTTGTACCTCCACGAGGAGTGGGAGAGTTGCGTCGTGCACCGCGACGTAAAATCAAGCAACATCATGCTAGATTCGTCCTTCAATACCAAACTCGGCGACTTCGGTTTGGCCCGTCTCGTCGACCACGAAAAGGGGTCCCAAACGACGATTTTGGCGGGAACAATGGGATACATGGCGCCGGAATGCGCGATCACCGGAAAGGCGAGTAAAGAATCGGATATTTACAGCTTCGGCGTCGTGCTACTAGAAATTGCTTGCGGGAGAAGAACATTCGAGCCTCGGTTTCCCGAGGGTCAAATGAGATTGATCGATTGGGTGTGGAGTCTATACGGGTTCGACAAGTTGCTCGACGTGGCCGATCCCAAGTTAGGCTTGGAATTCGATGCGCGGGAAATAGAGTGCTTGATGATCGTCGGGCTGTGGTGCGCGCACCCGGACAAGGAATGTCGGCCGTCGATAAGGCAAGCTATACATGTCTTGAACTTCGAAGGCGACTTGCCAGAGCTTCCGCCGGCGATGCCGGTCCCGAGGTTTTACCCGTCGACGGCAAGGATGGCGGATAATGTGTTGAATGTAGGTTCGGACAGTGAGAATTACAGTTCTTATAGCCGTTCGACGAATGCACCTACGACTACGACGTCTTCTTCGGGCTCGGGCACCATGCTTGTGAAGGATTGATTAAGAGAAATTAACAAGCATGGAATATGTATGAGATCTAGGAATTTTGTATACGTATTGTAGAAAGACAAATACTTGGAGGTTATATAAATTCGATTTATTTATCTTTTTTATATAATATTTTACTATAAACTCAATACATATGTATGACCTTATATTTACCTTTCTTATTTCAATTGTAAATTTTGTTCAATTAATAAGTAAATAAAGACATAATACAAACATCATAAACATAAATTTTATTCAATTGAATCATAAGTAATTATTCAATGGCCACGTTGTCCGTTTGAATGTGTTGTGAGTAACACTAACACACGTCACCACAAAAACCTCTTCCGTCATCCTTATCCATGTAATGTCAGCCTCGTGTCCCTTTTCTTTTCTTTTCGAGCTCTCTTTTTTTATTTATTGTATTTTTACTAATCGGAGCCACCGTAGCTCGCTAATCTTCGCCGCCGGACATCCAACGGATAAATATATATAAATAAAAATCGATTCTTGGTAATTGTTAATGGCATCCATATGCCCTCCGACGTTTCCATCGTCGCGCACTGAGCCCATCTCGCACACGCTCAGCGTCGTCAACTCCAGATTCATCTCTTCAAAGCCTAATAGAAGATCCCTGCACTCTGGTATTTCACTTTCTAGGTTTTCTGATTCCACTCTCTGCTGCCGCTGTGGCGGAAGCAGCGCTGGTGGGGGTGATGACAGCGATTCAGGTTTTGAGGATTCGTGGAGGTGGGATTTCGGCATCCAGGAGACGATTAGGAATGCGATTAAGCGGTTTGAGAATTACCTGGGCTCGTTTAAAGATGCGAGCGAAAATGGAAGTGTGGTGACGGGGGACGAGGAGGAAGACGATTGGGATTGGGCGAGGTGGAGGAAACATTTTTTAGAGGTTGAGGAAGAGGAACAGATTGTTTCAATTCTGAAGGTAGTTAGCAATTGTTTGATCAATTTTATGGTTGTAGATATTGTGCTATTGGATTTTAATACAATCGTGTAGCTATTAAGGTAGACTGATAAACATGTTTTTGTCTAATCCTCGACAGTCTCAGTTAGCAAATGCAATTGAGAAAGAGGATTATGAGGATGCTGCTAAGATTAAGGTTAATATTGCAGCTGCTACGACAAATGACACTGTTGGAAAAGTGATGTCATATATGAAGGTAGGAAACTCTGTTTTCATTCAATATGCATGATATATATATAGGTGCCTATATGTTATCTAACAATCTATTAGGTTTTGAACTAAGTGCAGAAATATGTAGATGAAGAGTCTTATAGAGATGCAGCTCTTCTAAGGGATTATGCTGGAGCTGGATTGGTGAGTAAAAAATGCTCTATCGAGCGAATGAACATGTCAAGGAATTTTCTTTTTTTGTCCTTTGTGCTTCTTGACTGTTTGCCTTGATTGGAAAGTGGAAACCATTTGTCATTTCTGTATGTTTCTTATCAAAATGTTTGGATATCCTTAACGTGCTGCTGCATTTCAAGATATAGGGATTACCTAATTGAAGTCCAGCCTTATCTCTATACTTTTAACAAGCAGTTCTTTTGCAAGGCACTGTATTGTTCTATTCCATATGTCAGATTGAACTGAATCATATTCTCTCATGTGAGTATCTTACATTATGTGAAAAATTACAAAACAACCAGGGAAGACCATAGGATGAAAGATTCCTTCCTTGAAAATCATCTATTCTTATATTTGTTGTTTTCAGCTACATTTCATTTTATTTTTTTCTTTTTGATCTTACACTCAGGTTGGTTGGTGGGCTGGAATTTCCGAAGATCACAGTGATCCTTATGGTCGCATAATTCATATAAGTGCAGAGTATGGTAGATACGTAGCAAGAAGTTATAGTCCTAGGTAAAATTTTTGCTCTGGCTTTTGATGTTTTATTATTACGTGATTTACTCTAAGGAAGATTATTATGCAGTAGAAATTCCGGAATGGAATAGTTGATCCAAATATATAACACTGACCATTCAGTTGTTACATCTTTATTTTCTTTATGCTAGTCTCTTAGATCTTGCACTTAATTATTTTGCGTGTGCTTTGGTGTATTGGAAATTTTAAGCCGTTATTGTTTTGGATTTATTATTTTAAATCGGAAAATAGATTTTGGAAATTATGTTTTGTTTGGATATGTTTCCAAAAGTGATTAATAGTATCTGTTGTGTGATGTATGATAAAAGGTTGATTTTATAGTTCATAGTTGTGAATATAATAAATAGTTGATTTGACATTTCTTTTTGACGGTTGTGGAAGATTTAGGGTGTTTTTGGATTGAAAGTTTTAAATTGGAAATTATGTTTTGAAAAGGATGTTATGTTTGGATTGATAATTAGTATGTGTTGTATGATGGATACTAGTTTTATTGATTTTGAAATAGTAAACATGTGAATGAAAAATAGGTGTTGGGACCCGTGTTTTAAATGTTAAATAGGTGTTTGTGATGTTTTTAGTATCATATTTTAAATGAAAAAAAAAAGTATGGATGTGGTACTTTTATGGATTTTGTTGCTACATCTATCAAATCTTTGATTAAAAGATGTGGCTAATTCTTCATCAACATGGTAATAAACGTACTACCCCTCAGACATGCCGCCTTGCGGCCCTGCATAACTCTGAATCATATTCTCAAGCCCTGATTTCCACTTTATGCACACAATACTGCATTGGTGATGTTATGAAAGAGCATATGGACCCTTGTGTTGTTCCCAATGGACCCTGGTGTTGCAGTGCTGTTCCCCCGCCACAGCCAAGCATATGTTTTATTCTCCAACCCTAAACTACAGATTGGCTGAAATCAAACCCCTGATACGATATGTGTTCTTTATCCACAAAACATATTTAGTGTAGTTTCCTGGATTCATTTGGCCCAAATCCAAGGTAAGCATTACTTGAAAATTGAAATAATGTGGCACAAGCAATCAGCGTAACTGCAGGTTGGTCAAATTGCACCACTGGCTGAAAGCATGCCTTAATCTATGTTCCACACACCAAAGGAATAGATCATAAAAAATAAAATCCCTATTGGGTGTGGCAGTTGTTAGATCTTTTTTTTTTAGTCATCATTGCATTTCACTTCTCATGGATGGCTTGGATTTAAATTTCACATAAACTATAAATTTTGGTGGTCTTGTTTTGTAACCATAGGGAGCCAACTTTTTGACCCTTATATAATTGGAAATTGACACTACATTTGTTTGCATGCTAAGGTAAAATATTGTGTGTGTGAAGTTTCATGATAAATGAACAAAATTTGTTCCTATGTAATTTGACTGTTAGCAGGATGCATATAACCACCAGTATGTTTAGTTTGTACTTACTGGAATTAGCTCTTATTATAGACTTGTGATTAAGTTTCGAGTACTAGTCTATACTTGAGGGATGGAGAAGCTATTTTTCAAGAATTGAATATTTAGTTTTGTTTCGACATTTTAAAAAGAGTGAAAGAACCCAAATACAATGAACAAACATACTTCTAGCTCTTATTGTTTCTCAAGTCTACTTGAAATTTTCAATAGATTGCTATCTTTGTGCCTTGTAGAAGTGTTTTTATTGGATGATGTTTGTTGGATTTTCATTTTTAGGATGTAGTATATGAACTGTATGTCTATTGTCTGGCTGTTTCTTCATTTGTGTATGTCAAAGCATATTTTAATAATTGAACATAAAACTTGCTACGGAGCCAAGAGGAAAGTTTCCTATGCATGTGTGTAGGTGTTTTATATGCTGAGTTAATTTCTTCGATTGTGTGCACCAACTCCAGTTTTCTCTTACGTTGTGCAAGAATTCATTTGTTGTGCTGTGAATTATTGAATTTAGTGAGTTCTTTTATCCCCACCATGAAACTTTTTTTTGGTTTTCCTTTATGTTTTAGGGAAAAAAAAAAGAAAAATCAAAATACTTGAATGCCTTCTCACAACCTTCTGTATATTGATCATTCTTGCTTGTAGCCTAATTTTTTGCTATTATGGAAGTAACTCAATTGCAGCAGTGGAACTACTTCTGTTTTATTTGATGCAAGTTTCTTGCCATGTTAATTTAGGCCATGAAATTCATGCCACTATAAACTGGCAGCTGGTAAGTATTACCTGCTAGTACGAAATTCAAATTATAGCTTAAAATAATTGTAAAATAAAATAAACAGATTTCAGAAATTAGGAACTTACCTGTTTTTCTTCTTCCAATAGCTAGCTTGAGTCTTGATTAATCGAAAGTGTGATCTTTCGTTATTGCTTCATTTAACCTTTATTGAAGTCTTGTGTTCTTTTACTACTAAAGTTAAGTGATACTTATGTGATGGAAGGATATGCCAGCCCTTTTAGTGGAAGTGTGATCCTTCCATTATATTAAATTTTAATGCTTAGTATGGGTTCATTGCTCACCATTGATTTTGTTGATTTATCTGTGTTGCTTGGTAGGCAGCTAGCGACAGCCTCGGCTGGTGCCCCCTTGTTTGAGGTGTATCTTACAAACAGTAAACATGGTGGTTTTAAGCAGCAGGTATCTTCTGTATTTTTCATAATCTAGTTTATGAACTCACTAGTTTCTTGATTGTGCAACATGATTTGTTCTTTTCTTTTGCTGCATTGAAAGAGTTAAATTTACCCAACCTGAGGCTTTGGCCAAACAAACTCTTAATTTCCAATTCTTATTTTCTCTAAAAGATAAACTCTACCTTAATACCTGGCTTATTTATAGGGTCAATAGACCAATTGCAATAAATACTAAGGGACTTAGCAAAGCTAATCCTAACCAAAGTAGAATACCAGACTATTTCTAACCAAAATAGTATGCTAACTAATTCTAAAAGGACACAACCAGGGGTTGTACTCCAATACTTATTCATGGCATAAACAATTTTTCCCTCTGGAACGCCCTTGTACCCAAGGCTGAAGTCTGGGAATTGCAGCTGAAAGAATGTTCATTTCCTACTTGGCCAGTTTCCTCATCCTTGTGAATAACTTCCATCCCTCGTCCCACCCCAGGTGTGGATGGTCATTGTTGGTTAGCCCTGCAAGCGAAGAAATCAAAGTATTAATTATGGGAGCATTAATGCACATACTTTGTGACGGATGCTCTAATTTATTTACGCTTTTATCTTTGATTTGAGAGTTTACTGCATAATGGATTTGTTTTGTATGCTGTAGCGTCTCTTCTATAGATCTCTAAATCACCAGGATTGAAACAGTTGCTTGTGTTCTATAAGAAAAGCCTATAAGCTTGTGTGACTGTGTGTCTATTTAAAGCTAATGGAGGACTTTATGGATTACATTGTTAGGCTGTTTACTTAAAGCGTAGAGGAGCTCCCCGAGATCTTTATGTTCCATCCGTTAAGCCATCAGGAACTTCCAGAGGCCTAGACTCTCATGATGTGAGAGACACCAAAAGCAAGCTATTTGAAAGGAACTCCGAAGATACAGAGGATGGTGAAGACAGGGATGATGATTCTAGTTTTGACACTGTCTTGCGTGACATGATACCTGGTGTGAAGGTCAAGGTTGTGAAGATGACAGCGCAAGAGAAGGTAGACATGGATCTAATATCAAAGGTAATTGAACAGATAATAGATGAAGATGAAGAAGAGAAGGATTATGAGAACACAGACACTGAAGATGAAGCTAAAAGCGAAAATAGTGAAGAGCAGAATGACATTGAACTGGACTCTGGTAATGAAGTAGCCGAAGACAGTGGCAAAAGTCGGATTGCAGTTGAAGTCATTATTAATGATGGGTTCATCCAGAAAATGTCACGTGGCACACACGTTAAAGACCTGCTTCGCGTTCCAGCAAAGCTAGAGAAAAGGGATCGGCTTTCATTTAAATTTACTGTGGAGGAAGAATCCAGCGATCATCTCCCGGGTGGACAGTTACCACAAAACAAAAGGCCCAAGCTTCAAGGTCAACTCAGCATGGACCATGTTATGCTTGATCTTGTCAAGTCTATTGGAAAAGGAAAGGTGCCAATGAAGGTTGGTTTTTACGTGTAAATTTATAAAATTCATTGCATATAGTGATTTTGTTTTGTTGATTTTAGCTGATTTCTAACTCAACTATTAATACAGGTTCTTAAAGATGTTGGTGAATTAATAAATCTTACACTAATTCAAGATCGAAATCGTCAACCACTATCTGGATCAACAATGTTCAACCGAATTGATGTTTCACCAACTTTAGATCCACTTAATGGTGATCAACTTTATTTACTTATCTGACATATAACTGGAACTCTGAGGTTTATATTGTACTCTTTCCTCACTACCACCATCATGTATTCTTTTTCATGCATTTCAGTATTTCCTTTTTTAGACAATCTATTTGTTTTTCAGGATTATATATTGGCGCACATGGGCTTTACACATCTGAAGTTATTCATATGAAGCGGAAATTTGGTCAGTGGAAAGAGGATGAAAGCCCAATGAAGCACTCAAAATTAGAATTTTATGAGTATGTTGAAGCTGTTAAACTAACCGGCGATCCTTATGTTCCAGCTGGCAAGGTATTTCCCTCATTTACACAGCTTAAACACAAGTGTTTTCCTCTTGTTTGCACTAATAAAAGAAGTTACTGCGGTTCCATTGTTGTAGAGTGATCAGAAGCACATTATTAGATTTTACTTGATGCATAATGTTTGAAGGGAACTGATGACAGCAGTTTAACATAAATATAGTAGTGACCAGATATAGTAGGACTTAATCGTTTACCATGCTCTCCAAGTTAATTCCGTGTGGGTTATACACAATAAAAATTATAGAATTTTTTTTTTTTTTTTTTTTTTTTTTTTTTTTTTCTCTCGTCTGTAAGGACTGCAGTATAATTAAATCTGGTGGCAAATTGATGCATCTAGTATTTGTTAAGATCTCCTTGGTTTCAACATATTTCACTTCTTAACTTGTCAGGTTGCATTCCGTGCAAAAATTGGGAAAAGATATCAAATTCCACACAAAGGGATTATCCCTGAAGAATTTGGTGTGGTATGCTTGCTATTGTATCAGAAGCAAACTTGAAGATGATTGATTTTTTAATTTTTTATTGTTTCTGTTATTCTACCTGTTTCAAAGCTCCATTCTCATGCAGATTGCTCGATATAGAGGACAGGGAAGATTGGCTGAGCCAGGATTCAAGAATCCCAGATGGGTTGATGGGGAACTAGTTATACTGGACGGAAAGGTCTTTTAATTTCTGTGTCAATTTATTTGTTGTATTTCTTTAGATATATTCTCCTATAGCCATTAACAAGTGTAACATTCTACTGATTGCATCATTTTTCTGTCCACTTATTGCAGTACATCAAAGGAGGGCCAGTTGTTGGCTTTGTTTATTGGGCTCCCGAGTATCACTTCTTAGTATTTTTCAATCGACTCAGGCTGCAGGATTGAGTTATTGTACATAAAAGCTCAGATTTTTTTAATTATTTAAGGTAAGCTCTATTTGCTCGACATATTATTTTCCACTCATTTATGTTCAAAACTTCCGGAAGAAGGTTTATTGGATCTGTATCGAGATGGATGATTTGTTATAAGCAATTATTACTTGACCTGTAGTAAGATCTAATCCGTCTCCTGCTCTGTTGCTCTAACATTCTTTATTGTTTATGCTTGTAAATGGTCAAGTAAGGATTACAACTGGGGATCAAGATGGGTAGTTTGTAGAACTATCAGATAATGAATTATGTTGATGTACAATCAAATTTCATGATTAGTTTTCCCAACCGAGTGTGCATCATTGAACATGGAATATTTGCTTGAATGTCATTGTTAGTATGAAACTGATTTCCTTGTGGACTCAGCCATGGATATCTGATGATCTGACCACAGTTTGTTTTGCAGTAGTCCATGGTTGTTGGCTCTTAAGCAATGAGGCTCCGCTCCACATTACATTACTAACCAAGGATGATGATGTTGCTATCAAAAGTTTTTGGTTCAAAATGATTGCCAGGTGACATACTTGTCTAACTATGTAAGTAATGTGGTGTGAGTACATACGTAATAATACCCTTTCTATTGCTTTTTTTCTTTAGAGAATAGAGAAATTCCTATATGCCATGGCATTGGGGCTCTATTGTAGTACAAAGCTATTTTGCTAGTCTCACTTGCTATTTGGTAGTAATAAGAAGATATCTCAATCTTGTATTATTATTATTGTTTTGTATTAGTTGTTGTTGATGTCAATAGAAAATTATTAGAATTCAAAATAGTACTAGTATGCAAAAAACACCAAATTAGTTCCATTGGGGCTGTGTGTTTATTTGGAGGTTTTTTTTTTTTTTTTTTTTTTTTTTTTACTATTTATTGATTTTTTTTTTTCATATATATATATATCCAATTAAAATTTTATTTTTATTTTTATTTTTATATTATAGTATTTTTTCTATTCTAAAATAATAGTTTATTTTATCATTTTTGTTCGTTTCAAAATAGTACTAGTAGATTAACAAATAATATTATTTATGAGTTAGTAAAAATATGTAAAATAATTTTGATATTTTTATTATTTATAGTTAAATTAATCCTATATATTAAGGATATGTTTGTAATTTACATAAAAAAAAAATAAAATAAAATAAAAGATATTTTGATATTAATGTGTTATTATTTTTATTATAATATAAAATGATATTTTTGAATTAAACAGACATACTAAAAATATATATTAAAGGCAAGATGCAGAAAGACTGTTGAATGAGTGTTTAATCCGTATTAGATGTAAATTACTTATAAAAAAAGATTCTTTCATATTCTACTATTTAAATTTTGTGTTATATATATATATATATATGTCACAAATTATTTTATCGTATATTATTTTAATATCAAATTTAAATTAAAATTTTTTTAAATTTATATAAAAAAAAACACCTTTTTTTGTTGAGGTGTAATGGTTTTTCTTATAAATATCTCAAAATTGATTTTATGAGCTAATAAAATATTTTTGTAGTTATTTTGAGTCTTAAAATTGTATTGTGAAGCCCACGTAGAAACTGATGATCTTGCAGTGGCGTTAACATTTTCAATAACAGTCAACTAAAGATCTTACAATATATATAATTTACAAATTATTATTTTTATTATTATTTAATACGATATAAATATGTATTGTTATAATTTGATCAACTATGTATAGATAAACATGTGTGAACATATTCAACGAGGAGGATGTAATACACACATTAGTCTCCATTATTAAGCTTGATCGATTGTCCAAATCATCTTTGGAATTAAAATTTGCAGCGTATTGACCATAGCGTTGACCCCAAATGACACTCAAAGTCACTCACCACAATAATAAATCAAGATTTGATTTTGATTTGATTAAGATTAGATTTCTAAACGGGTTCGAAAATACATCCATAAATAATCAAGAAATTATCCGCTCCCAAGATTTCGCATTTTCCAATTTCCAAATATAATAATTACAATAATAATCATTATACATAATCATGCTTTGGTGGCTACCTCGAGCGCTGATGCTCTGATAGTGCAGTGTTGTAGTGGGCAGCCATGGAAACTCCCGCCGGCCCTATCGCTATCTCTATGCACGAACCCACCGCCACTAACCCTCCCCACCCGCCCGGCGCCGCCTCCAAGCCGCCGCAGCCGCCGCTCTACATTCCGGCGGGGCACGTGGCTTTCCGCCTGCTCTGCCACGCGTCCCGCGTCGGCGGACTGATTGGGAAATCGGGCTCCGTCATCAAGCAGCTTCAACAGAACACAAATTCGAGGATTCGTGTGGAGGACCCGATCGGCTCCAGCGACCACAGAGTGATCAGTGTGGTCGCCTCGCCGGCCGTCGTGGCCAGGGTTAAAATCCCGGCGGCGGCGGCGGCGGGAGAGAACAGCAGAAATGGAGGCTCCGGCGATGGCGACGACGAGGAGTGGTTCGAGGTGTCGGCCGCTCAGGAGGGGGTTGTCAGGGTGGTCGAGAGAGTGGTGGAGGTGGCGGCGGAGGGGGACGCCGCGGCGGCGATTGGGGGAATGGTTTCTTGCAGGCTGCTGGCATGGAAGAATCAGGCGAGCGCGGTTATTGGGAAAGGTGGGAAGGTCGTGGAGAAGATTAGGAAGGAGACTGGCTGTAGAGTTAGGGTTTTATCTTCGGAAAAGTATTTCTCTAATTGGTCGCCGGAGGAGGAAATTGTGGAGGTGAGGAATTGGGGTTTTTTTTTTTTTTTGTTTTTAAATCTTGATTGTTCTTATTGTTTTTGGGATAATGAGATTTGTTCTTTACATTGGTTTATTTTGGGCATTTATAGGTTCATTTTTGTGGGTAATTGTTATGGATAGGAGGATTCAGTCTGTGCATTAGAGTTTTTTTTTGATTTTTTGTTTTTTTTTTTTTTTTTTTTTGGGTAAATGATGTTGATGTTCTTGGAGGTAGTTAGGGTCTGTGACTGGAATGAGAAATGAGGCCACCATAACTCCAGGATTGGTCGGAGTAATTAAGTAATTAAGGGTTTGTTTGGTTTTGATTTGTATTTCGAGTTTAAATAGGGTTTTGATGAAATATTTGGTAAGAAAAAAATCAATCTGATTTGGGTTTGAAACACAAAGCCAGACACTCTTAATACGCTTGTGTATGATCTCATTTGCTTGTGACTATGGATCCCATTGCTTGTTAGGGATGCCTATTTCTTTGTGTTTTTGGTAGGAAAAAAATAGCCATGAATCTTGAACCTCTCTCTCTAACACAGGATTGTGTTTTTTTGATTTAGAACATTATCTATGGAAATTTTTCTATAAATGTCAGTCAAACAAGTGGTTATTACTTATTATGAAATATGCACTAAAAATAGGATATACATTACTATATTGACTGCATCGAAAATGCTAAGTTTGACTCTTCACTAAACAATGTTCATGTATTGCAGGTTGAAGGCACTTTTATAGCTGTTAAAAAAGCAATTATAGCCGTCACAGGTCGTATGCAAGAATTTCCGCCCCCAATTGAGAAGTCAAAAACATATGGGACCAGATCTTTGGTGACTTTGGTGACAGAGTCCCTGCCCATTCTGTATCCTGATATTCCTCCACGACAAAGTCATTTGCTACGACTAATGCCTTCGACCTCTGTAAACCACGCCTCAGGAAGTAGTGTGTCATCGTTAGAGTGTGAAATTGTTTCCAATGTAAGCTCTAGAAAACCACAGCATGAAGTAGTTTTTAAGATACTCTGTTCCAATGAAAAAGTTGGTGGTATCATGGGCAAGGGAGGATCTATTGTTAGGGCACTTGAAAATGAAACCGGTGCTTCTATAAATGTCGGGCCAGCACTTCCCGACTGCGATGAACGATTAATAACCATTACTGCAATGGAGGTAATTTTTAGGTTGGAGTGATCTCATTTCATATTTTATTTGTTGATAATTTATTCATTTTGACATTTTCTGTAGAGCTTAGAATCCCAATACTCGTCTGCACAGCATGCAGCCGTTCTTGTCTTCTATAGAGCTACTGTAGCTGGCCTTGTCAAGGGATTGGATTCTTCAGATTTGAGGGGAATACAAGTATCTGCTCGAGTTATAGTGTCCTCAAATCATGTTGGTTGTTTATTGGGGAAGGGAGGAACAATTATTTCGGAGATGAGAAAGGTCACTGGTACTGGCCTTAGGATAGTTGGAGGAAATCAAGTACCAAAGTGTGCCTCAGAAAACGATCAAGTTGTACAGGTACAACACTAAATTCAGTACTGTTGAGTTTTTACTAAATTAACAAACATTATTTTCTTATTGTGCTTAAGTCATATTGTTTATTGCTCCAATTATTTTGTCCCTAACCACGTGGATACCTGCGCACAAGCTTGTAAATTTTGATCAAATGGGTGATATTTTTGGTTTATGATGCATATGTTTTTGCAAATATATTTTCAAATAGCCTTCTGATATTATGCATTCTTATGTTTTAATGATTTTGAGTTATAAACTCTTATTGTGGTATTCTTAGCCGGTTGTATTCAGTTTTGACTCAAGATGTAAATTGATCTTTACACACCTATTGTTGGATTTTGCGAAACATTTGTGTAAGTCATTTTACTTGGTCGAAAAATGATAAGAACAATAAATTTATTTCTAAAGATATATCATTATTTATAAGGTTTTCTATATTTATTGTGAACTGGTATTTTCTCACATACATTTCACAGATATATAGATATATATACATCATAATAGGAATGTCTAGAGCCTCTGTTCAATACTCTACAAGTTTCTAGGACATCCTACATTTTCTAAGACAATAAGTACGCAATGCTTTCCCATACACCTACTATCATTATTATGCTACATATTCCAATGCAGTTAACTTATATATATATATCTTATTCTCAATCAAAAACAATCTCAAATATCAAAATGGATATCCTTTATCCCGGCCATTCGATGGGTTTTATACTTGTTTTCATCATCTTCATTTAAAAACAATCTTAACCGTCAAGTCGTCTTTATTTTCATCTCAATTGTTTGATGGATCTTATCCCCTCTTAAGAGACAGTTTCAATTGCCAAAATAAATTTCCTCATCTTGATTGTCCAATGAACTTTATTTTATCTCCATCTTAACCTTGTTTTCTTTTTCATCTAATAATTTCTTTTGTGTGTGAGGAATCATGAGAATCTCTTTTTAGAGAACAAAAAGATGTAAAAATTGAAGTATTCTAGTGTTATTCGGAAACTTATTTTTGAGTGCTATACATAAAACCTTTGGGGTGTCTTTTATTTGTATTTTTTGTTGGAAGGTTTTTCAAGTGAAAAAAACTGTTCAATATGATATTTTATATGGAAAATGGGCCTTGAATGTGATGGTTTTGAACAAAAAAATAAATGATTGAATGGTAAAAAAACGGGAAAAAAACATAAAAGAATGCACCCTTGATTATGGTACATAGATAACTAACATTATAAATATATATTATTTCATTGCAGAAAAGACACTATGTTATATTTTGTTTTATTATTTTCTTCAAGATTGTTTATGTATTCTTCTTCTGATAATCTTTGTTCTCTCCTTAGATTACAGGAGCTTTCTCAAATGTACAGGATGCTCTAAATAAAGTAACTGGTCGATTGAGAGAAAATGCATTATTTATGAAAATGCCTAGTGGAAGTGGGAGTCGTATTTCTTGGAGAATAGACAATAATGCCTATAGCAGAGAAAAAGATGTACCTCCTTTTGAGTTTCCTGGGCCATCTTTGTCTCTAGGCGCTTCAGAAAATGTCATTGACCACAGCTCCTTGACTAAGAGCATGAATCATCTTGGAATCTCCACGGATATAGAACAACATCAACCATATCCACAAAATTTTGTGTCACCATTGGTAAGATTGATTTTTCATTTTTATCTTATTACTGAATGTTTATTTTGTTGGAAAAGATTTATCCTATACGATTATGGTAAGATTGATTTTTCATTTTTATCTTATTACTGAATGTTTATTTTGTTGGAAAAGGTTTATACTACACGATTATGGTAAGATTGATTTTTTATTTTTATCTTATTACTGAATGTTTATTTTGTTGGAAAAGGTTTATACTACACGATTATGTTAAGTGGTTCATTTATCCCACAAATTGGTCTTGCTTTGCTGTCACATGACAGCACAAATCAAGGCTTGAATTTTCACATTCAAGCTTGAGCCAAGAAATTTTTAGTCTCGGATCACAAGTAGATTCTATTATATGTATATGCAATATTTTGTAGTAGTAGAATTACATAGTTATTCATAAAATTTTAATTATTCATCTTTTAGTAAACGTGCACTACTTACAGTAGTAGTATACTCTTCTGATAATTGATCTCATTAAGGATAAATGGTTGTGGTTGCAGAGGGTACCTGGAATAATCAAAGAAAATAGCGTCGATGCCCACAAAAAATTACCTCTGGTTAAAGGGGATGTGGAACTTTCGAGGTGATCACATACAGCATTGCTTTGATCATTCAATTTACAATTCCACCTTTTGCATCGTTAATATTTGTTTAATTAGGTCTTATTGTTTTGGAAATAAATGCAAGTGACAACTACGGGTGTTTTAGGATAGTTAGATTGGATATTGGATGCAATGTTTTAAATGAAAGAATAGGTGTTGGATGTCATGGTTTTGGGCTAGAGAAATAATTTCACCATAGTTTGCATACTGCGAAAATGAGGACAAAGATAAGGGACACAATTGATTCCATGAAATATTGAACTTCTAATATTGGTATCATGATAAAGTACAATGCCGAGCTAAACAAATATTATATCCAATAGAGATTGAAAGGAATCAATTAGTTGTTGAACGAACTGTGAAATTACTCTAAAATTTATTAGTTTTGTAAAATTGTAGAACCCACGCAAGGATAGTCTCGCGTGTTTTCAATAAGTTCCTTCCTATCGTCTGCTGAGATGTTCTAATTTACGCTAAACCCCACAAAAAGGTTCTTGTTATGACATTTCTTTTTGTTCAGCAGTGGAAGCAGATCTGCGGACATGGCTACCACTACCTTAGAGGTGGTTGTTTCTGATGATGCGATTAGCTCTATTTATGGGGAGAACGGTAACAACATAGCTCTTCTTCGAGAGGTAATTGGAGACTACCTTCCAAGTACATTTACTCTTCCCTTAAATTTATCTTTTGAATTGTTTATTGGGAACACTGACAGGTAAATTTATAGGAAAGAAAAAAGGAAATTCTGTCGATGTCACAATTTCATGTAGTCTTAGCTAATAAAACGCTCGAGCTTGTTTGTTTTTCTTTTCCAACATTGCTCGGAATTTTTTGGGATATTCAAAATTTCGATTTATGACTAGCTTGCACATTGCACTAGTTTTTATTTCTACAATCCATCAATTTGTTACCAGTCCCGTTGCCTTGATTCAAATAAGAAATTTTTTATTCATTTGGGTATTCTGTATCTTCATTCATTTTTTCAATTTTTGTGCCTCTATTAGATCTCAAGAGCGGAAGTGACAGTGAGTGAACCTCGTCCTGGAACAACACAAAGAAGCGTCGTTATATCTGGGACACCCGATCAAACACAAGTGGCTCAAAGTCTGCTCCAAGCATTCATTCTACCTGGATCATGACAACCATGCATATAATGGATACTGGTCGAGTTTTGCATTTGGAAATATTATCGAAAAGGCAAGTCTATAATCATAGGCAAGCAATGCCCAGTGAGATTAGTTCTGCAAGACTCAGCTAAGACACATTTGAAATCACTTGCTGATCTAATTATTACCACTAACTTGCTTACATTGTTCTAAGATTTGTTAATCTAAAAAGGGGAGTATGTTTTTGTAGTTCTAGAACCTTGCTTTTGTCGAAAGCTGTAAATTCTATGCAAAAGTAAAGTTTTTCCTACTTGTTGCCATTAGAGCTCATTTCATTTGCGCTCGATTAGAATTAACAGCAGATAATGGTAAGTGCGGTATGTATTCGTTCCATAAGATGCATTATTATATGATCAGAAAAGGAAACAAAGTTGTACAGATTTCACCTGGACATATTACAGCAAATAGAAGGATTCAAATTGTCATGTTCATCTCTATGTGCCGGTTGCTGCTGCTTCTGGTTTGAGAGTAATTTCGACATTGTCGTGGACTCCTTGCAGCAAGAGTTCGCCGTCGTATGTCACAACCTTACGCTTCTTGGCAGCGCGCAGTGTTCCGACAAGAGCTTCAAAGATGTTTGCACACCTCTCATCATTAAACAGCACTCCAAATGTGACCTGAAGAGTAGAAATTAACAATCGCTATTAAAACATGTGTAGGATATGATGATGATGTATATAATCTCTAGCCTCTCTAAAATTCAATTAAATGAAAGAAGATTTTCGAATCAAAACCAGAAAGAGATAGCACCCACAAACAATGCGAATCAATTTAACAAATCGGTCGATCCATTATAGATAAAAGACATATTTATGGCGTTTTAATAATTCGTTCATTTCGATCGATCTGAAGGCTACTTTCCCAGGTATTTCCAATTCTTATTAAGGATCCTTCCATTTACTTAAAGCAGTCGTTGCAACGAAGATCCGAATAGAATTAATCAAAAAAACATGAACGAAATCATTAAACAGACATAGATTATGAGAGGGAATCAAGGCATAGCTGTAAATTGTAACTTGTCGTTTCAGCTGGATCCAAATTAAAAGGTGATCCGATCCATCCACATCTTCTACAATGTGAAAAGTGATGAGAGTGAGAGAGACAAGACCTTGTAGGAGCCATCGTCCTGGCGATTACCAAGACGCGTGATCTCTTCCTTGAGTCGCCCTACCTCTTCCTCCACGTTCATGATTTCTGTTTGCCTTTCTTCAACGAGGATGTTATTTCCTTCTGTACTCTACAGAGCCAAACCCGAAACGAAAGGCTAAAATGAATACAAATCCAAGGCTAAAAATGTCACTCCAAAAAAAAAATAATAATAAAAAATTGATAACATGATTTTAGTGAAAATTTGATGTTTTTTTTAATATATTTGTTAGAATTTTAAATAGATATGTGATAAAAAGGTAAATTTGATATTTAGTATAATTTAAAAAATTTAAAATAAAAAAAATATTGTCCAACCAAATACACTCTTAACTAATTAGATAAATTATTTTGGACATTTGATTAGGCAAATACATGTAATATATGGCGCACATAACAATAATTTTATGCAGGTTGTCTTTGGATAAACACTAAAAATATATATTAAAATAATGGCTGCGGGTTGCCACTGTCATAAAAAATAAATAAATAATATTAAAAATAAATTTAATTATTATTGAAGTGAATTACTAATATTATGTTCTTAATTTCTATTTTACTTACTAAACTAATTAATTTTTGATCTTATAAATTTTAATTGTATTAAATAAAAATAAATATATAATTGAATAATTTTAAAGATTTTTTTTTAAAAAAAATAAAATAATGTGAGACTAAAAGAAATATAGAGTCTAAAGAACATTTCCAATTTGTACCACAAAATATCACCCAATTGGCACACACCCTACAATCACTATTTATTTATTTTTTAATATACTCCTAAAACATATAAACTATTTAAATTCAAGGTAAAACAAAACAAAATATTGAATGTGAAAATATTTAATATAGATTAATGAGATTACATTTTGAAATATAACGTCATATATTTAAATTTATAACTCAATTATTTAAATTATGTCCTTTTCTTTTACTGTCATAAAAAAATAAAAAAATTACTTTTTTATTACTATAAAAAAACAAAAAAAAAAGTTGGTTATTTATTTTTTTTAAAATTTTGTGTTCGATGAAATGGCATAAATATCAAGGACAGAAGAAAATAATAATTTATGAAAAAATATATATTTTTTAAAAACTATATATTAGTAAAAATATACATGAAGAAAATTTTATATAATATATATAAATAAATAAAATTATATTATACATTTATATATCATTCATAAATTATTTAATGAAAAATAATAAAAAAATATTTTTTATATTTATTTATTTAGAATAAATAAAAAATAAATTATAAATAACCTCAGATAAATATTTCTATATTTAATTTTACTATTTTTAATATTTCCTGTATATTCCGCAGTAAATGTAAATCAATGAAATGATGGTTAGGGCTGCTTATTTGACTACTGAACTCAATCAAATTCAGTTGGGCCCACGATATAATTTAACTAAGAAGGCCCAACGTAAGACCAATTTACCTTGACAGTTAGATAGATTGGCCCATTCAAATTTATTTATAATTTTCTATTTCTAATTCTTTTCTAAATAAAAAAATATTTATATATTTTAATTTTTAATAAACTGACTTATATTAATTATGTATAATTATATTTATTTTTTATTTATATTATATGTAATTTATATTTTTTTACAAATAACATTATATTTTCCAACAAATTTTTATATCTTTCAATTGTAATTTATATTTTTTACAAATAACATTCATATTCATTATATTTTCCAACAAATTTTTATATCTTTCAATTTGTTTTTGTAATTTTTATAAAAATATTCATTGTTAAGGATTTAATATCTTTCAGCAAAAATAAATTTAATTACAGAATATGTATTATATATAGGACTCCTTAGCATATATTAATAATTGTACTTCCTCCTTTATTTAATTCTATACTAATTTTTTTTTCGTTTAGAAAACAAAAATGAACACGGAATTGAATAAATTACATATGCAAAACTTTTAAAAGATTAATATGTTTGATGTCGTTTTTAATTTTATATATCAGGTTTGTTAAATTATTTTATTTTATTTTATGATGTGTGAACTCGCAGTCGTTATTCGAAAGTGCGTATGGATTAATCGATCAAAAAAAGAACAAAAAAGTCATTCTCCACTTTAGTTATATTTTGAAGAGTTAGCTGACAATTATTTAAGTAAAAGTGAGAATTTTCTTGGCTCGACTTCATAGTTTTCTTTTTAATATTATATCTATGGAGGTGAGCTATGTTTTTTTTGTTCTTTTTAATTTTTTTATTTAAATAGTAATTTGAATGTCATATTTTATAGAAGAATATTACATTTTTAACTACTTATCTTACGAATAGCTTCGAAAAATAGACTTATTATTCATGTATTGTTTATTAAGAATGTATATATATAGTTGATATTTTATTTATTTAAAAAAAATAAGCTATTACTGTATGTGTGTTTGTTTGGGGGTTTAAATTTCGAGTTTAAATTTGAATAGTAGAAATTTTAAATTTGAATAGTTGTATGATGCGATATAAATAGAGGTTGATGTGATATTTTAAATATAAAATTAATTTTTAATATAACATAAAAAATAAAAAATAGATGTTTGATTTGATATTTTTAAAGAAAAAAAAAATGAATAATGTATTTAAAATGCAATCCCCAAATAGTATATATACATATGAATGGAAGAATTTACTCAAATGTAACATTTGTGATTTAGTACTAGGTATTTACATATAATTAGAAAGAGAATATGCACCTGATAGATATACAACCTCTAGCTTATCACTATAATTTTTCAATACATATAATAATAATAATAATAATAATAATAATAACACATAAGATATAAATTAACAACACAAAATATGTTTTATATAATACAAATATACACGGATAAAATATAATTTATACAACCAGACTCAGACTAATTAATATTGTATTTGAAAACTCATTACAATGGGAATAAATAACAATAATAATCCTTCCGTCGTATAACTAAGTATTTGTTTGTTTTTATATAAAGTTTTAGAAATATTAGTATTATATTGGGATGTAGTAGAAATAAAATTAAAATTACTAAAATAATCTTATTAGTATTGTGTGTTATAAATGTAGTGACATTTGTGTAATATATTGTAAGTCGTATTAGTATTTGTAATGTTAAGTAGATAGTATAATTACTGAAAAAAAAAAATTGATAATTTGTTATGAGACGTACTTGTTGAGATATTTTAGATATTCAGTTTTAGATTTAGCAGATTAATCTCTAGATTTGATCTTATTCATAAATTAAATTACTTATATTTAAGTCTATCGAGTCTGTTTAGTATTGTCTACATATAGACTCCTTATTTTATTGATTAATTCTCATTATTTTCCCTCAAAATTTCTAACAAGATATCAGAGCTTATTTTTCTCATGTCATAGATATAGCCTACCAACTTGCGTTTCTCTGCGTACATTCAACCTGGGATATACCCGGATGTCTCCAAATTTTGAAATTTTTTTCTATAGTTTCTAACCCTTTCTTTTTCTGATTTTGATTTTATCTTGAGTCTTGATTTTGTCTACGCTTGAAGTCATATCTGCGTAGCTGTCTGCGATTCGTCTGTTGCGTTTCTCCAGAGTCATGTTTCTGATTGCAATGATAATCCCGTAATTTCCGATTTTGTGGAGAGTACTCCTGTCGTTTTCTATTCCAGTAGAGAGTCATATGTCATTTCAGACTCTGGTGGATTGAGAGTCAACCGTTAATTTTATTTATGTTTCTTTTTGCATTTATATTTAAATTTCTTATCAAAATTTGATTTCTGTTATACTACTTGAATTTGAGAGGATGTTAAGATATTTTATATATTTAGTTTTAGATTTAGTAGATTTATATTTAGATTTGATCTTATTCATAAATTAGATTAAGTAGATTTGAGTCTATCGAATATATTTAGTATTGTTTATGTATAGACTCCCTATTTTAATGATCAAACAATTTCATTATTTTTTCCTCAAAATTTCTTACAGTACTAAAATAAAAAAATAAATAATTTATTTTGGAAAAAATAATAATAATAATAATAATAATAATAACAATAATAATAATATATTTGGAAAGAGAGAAATGCAGCACAATGCACAGCCCAGCCCGACAGATTGGCACGTGATGTACAAGATAAAATCTCACGTGACAACTCCACGCATGCATGCCGTTGCCACTGCCATAGTTGTCTGTCGACCACCTTTAATTTGGACGTTTGAATGTTATTATTTTTTATTATTATATTAATAATTATAATAATATTGTTGTACAAGTTTTTTAACTTAATTTAATTTACTATAAAGCAGTCGAAGCTTGCGTGGGCCTTTACTCCATTTCTTTGCATGTTTCAAAATTTATCAAACTCCGCAGTATTTAGTTAAATTTAATATTATCTTCGTCCGACTCTAAAGTATAATTTACTTTTTGCGTATTAATTTTTAAATATTAATTATTATATCAAAACGTAGTACAAATTAAAAAAAAAATTGCAAAAATATTTCGTCTTATAAGAATAACACGTACAAAAAATTATACAAATATAAAAATATTTTTAAATATTAAGTACAATTATACAAAAATGTAAATATGACCCTTGTAAGTGGATGTAGAGAATATATTTTTAAGCATCAAGATAGGTGTTGAATTAAAAAAATACATATATATATGTATGAATTTTACGTCCTTTTATTATCCAAAAAAAGGATAAAGTTTATCATTGTCATGGTCTATTTAATTACATTTCTTATAAGAAAATAAATATAATGTATCATCAAGATAAATTAATATATGCAAAGGTAGTTGATTTTCTTACAAGGTTTGAATATTATTAAATGATAATACTTCCTCTGTCTTAAAATTGATATATTTATTTATTTTTTGAATCTAAATTTTAAATACTAGTACTTTAATTATTTACAAAGGAAGTATAATTTTTTTGAACCTAAATTTTAAATACTAGTACTTTAATTATTTACAAATGAAGTATAATGATTCTTACACAATAAAGATAGTTTAGTTATTTTTATTTTATTATTTTCATTACTAAGAATTGACTTCGTGTGTGTAGATATTAATGATATGTACCTCAGAGGATGTAACTTAAGTCGTAGGGGTGCATTTCTGAATAAATTCT